ATAACAATATGGCCTTGTTTGTTAAGAAGAAATAATCAAATCTACAAGAAGTTTATCTGGCAAAAAACCCAAAAAAACTAGACTATTTCATTTCAGCATTGTCAAGATCACATGCCAAATCCGGTTCACGGCACCAAATCTGTAATAGGCGCCCTCTGGCTGGCTGCCCAGTGTCAGGATTGCAATCGGAGAGTACTAAGTTCGAACCCTGTTCATATAATTTCGGACTTTGCGTTGTGTTCTACTGTAATCAGTCATGAACAGTGTACACTCTCGAGGTTCTATGGTTGGTCAGGTTCTCAACTTTGCCAAAACAAAACTAAGACAAAATCATAAATTAAAGGATTTATTAACTTAACAAAATATACCAATTAACAGTAAATCAGAAAAATACAAAAAGAAAGCACTCACACACAGGTAAACTTTTGCTCTTGACCTAAATTTCTTTATCGTTAACTGCCTAATTTACTGCCTTTTTTCTCCTACACCTACTTCTCCCCCACACCACTATTCCAATAACTATACTAAATAAATACCTTACAAAACCTACATTTTAACTTATTTCTTACTTTCCAACTTAACTAAGTCCTTATTTCTACATGTTTTTCCAACAACTAATTTTCCCCCACCCGTCTATCACATAAACTAAACCTACACCTAAAACTAGTCGTAAGGAAAACCTTATTGCCTAGAGGGATGTTCCCCCGTAGTGGGTGTTGTGGACTTACTTGTCGGGATACCCGAAACTTCAGACGACTAATCTCGGTCGTATCAGGCTTTTATACCCATGGAGCTAACCATATTCATAGGTCACGGGTCATTCAATCTTCTAAGCTTCCCATTGGTCAAATGATAATTCCTAACATAGCGTGCTCAGCGACACCTATAGATCCAGAAACACGCTACGGCAGGAAGACATGTGGACCTCGCAACCGTCATAGGGAATTCCAATGGAATTTTACTGCCAAACGTGAGTAATAAATAGATTAATTGACTACAAGATAACGACTTCCACCAGCCCTGCTGAAGCACTGCAAAGCCCTATAATTTACAACCCTTACTGTACATGAAAATTAAACTTACCGCCATACTACCCGATAAATTACGATCTATTTTTAGCCCAACTACCACAATATCATGGCAATTTGTAGAGGCGGTAATTATGTAACGTCTCAAGTATTTCAAGTTGTAATTTGGCTTAAAACCAGTTTAAGTGTAACAACTGCTCTGCATGTTTACGTTACATTAATAATATCAAGCATAAACATAATTTCTTGTATGCATTGCATTGTATGTAAATGTAGTTTATGCATCGATGTGTTGATACTGTGTGATGTGTTTGTTTTATTTCACCTATTACATATTTTCATAGTATTTCCTATGCAATTGGCAGAGCTAGGACCGACTGGTACATGTGCATTGTACATTGAATAAAAATACAGCTGTAAACTCACACCCCAGTAGCTTGTTCGGGTTTTGCTGCCCTAACCGTAGCCTTAGTTCGTTAACGGGGCATTCAGCAGTATTCCAGCTACATGACGGCTGCATGTAAATAATCAAGTTTGGCGCACACATCCCAGTGATTGATATCATGAGCATTGATCCATACAGTCAATGACATGCTGTAATCAACCAGGTCACTGAGCCTGACCACATGATCCATTTAGTTGCCTCTGACAAATGTGTTTGGGACTTACTAGCATGAGTGATTTATATTAATGAGCTTGGAATATATGTTAATCATAATCTGAAGTCGAGATTACTACATTCCATTGTTTTACGGAGTTAATTTCAATAAACATAGACTTAGTAAACAGTTCAGGGACAAAAGTCCCTTTAAAGATTGAGCCACTAAGTTGCATTTTTCAGATCAAGACCACATTAAAGACTGTTCATATCAGAGAAGTGAGAATGTTCCTAGGTTCCTTTGTTATGTCACAAGATAAATTCATTGTACACACGAGCTGCATCTATGTTATGGAGACAAACGTTTGTTACCTCCACTGACCACCTCCATGGTCAAGTAGTAGAGCGTCCACCCGGAGAGTGGAGTCAGTATACTGTGTATACTGACTGGGGTTTTCATATTAATCTGCGGCATGGTATCTCAGTTGGCAAGCTATAAAATCGGTATTAGCCGGACTAGTGCACGCTATATAATCCTGGATGCCACGTTAAACCCCATTTTACCACACCTCACCTTGTTACTTTAAAATATCCAATTATCATAATATGTCTTCTCCTCTGATCAAAGCAGCACATGGTCCATAGCATGAAACATAACAAACAAAGAAGCTGTATAGCCAATTTTAATCACTGAAAGCAAACCTGTTATATCTCACTGGGATCATATTGAGTTGAATACATAAATATCAGTTTATCACAGTTACATGAAAGACTTATTAAGTAAAGAGGATATTTGTATATCACACCAGTAAGGTTCTCAGTACTACAACCTTATTAATCTATACTAATCAATTCACACATGTACACACCTTCCCAAGACAAGGCATTAACTGACTATAAAAAGTCCAGTATCCACCGTTGCCAAACTAGGCTGGAATTTCTCAGTTATATTTTGGTTGGACTAATGAGTATGCATAGTTCAATCAAAATTGCAAAAGAAATTGACACCCTGTTCATAAACAACATGGCAACTGCTGTGCAGATTTCAGTCGAATGCAGTATTTGCAAAACATGTGCAAATGGGTGTCAACAGGATTTTTCCAAATCTTTTCATGTTTTTAATTAAGGTGTTCAAATGTTGCGCTACAATCCACATCCACTGGCTACCTGTAAGGCAGGGAACATGATCTTTTTTCTATTAGATCGTCTTGATTGGGCGCTGTTTGAAGCAAATGCAGGTGATATGAGCGGTGAAATCTGGAGGGACATAACTCATTATAACCACTGGTAGTGCTACAATTGCACCACGAAATACTAGCCAAGTATGACAAGGGTGGAAACTGGACTTTCATAGTCAGTTAACTCCCTTGCCTCGGGAAGATATGTACATGTCTTAAGATAATAAACTGCATTTCAATTATTTTTTCAAATTATGGAATTATGTCATTTTCAATGTAAAAACAAAAAAACAAGTGTATAAACTTACAATATATACAATATAATATTGGTTATATTAAAAAATGAGAGAGCAATGTAAAACTTGTCAGGGTCAGAGTAGAACTTCAGGGTCAACAAACCAAGCAAATTAATTATATACTGTCTGTTCATGTTTTTCAAGTAAACATTAATTGATCACAATCAAAGCATAACGGAATGCTTGAGGTGAGTCATGATCAGAGAGTGAGTGAGTTGTGTTTAACACCGCCTTGAACAGTATCCCAGTTATATCGTGGCGTGCCAGCTTTATGTGGGAGGAAAGCCCGAAGTGATGCAGGTCTCTGACGTTTACCACTTTGGTGAAACCCACGAGCATGGGAATGGTGCTGACAAACCTAGCAACATAATCGGGGCGAACCAGGATTCGAACCCACAATCATAGGTTTCTGGCTTGCCCAAGGGACGCAACTCTGCACAGCGAATCGCGGCGCCTTAGTCAACTGGGCCACTCGTGCCCCCCATGATCAGAGACCCACCAATAGAAGGCCTCTTATTACAGTCAAATCACCCAAGTTCAATCACAAAGTGGCTCACGTCCCACACCACAGACAACAGACAACACATGATCATATCAACTCCACTGGTTGAACATTCCAGCAAGATAAGTGTGGGGGACCCTCCCTGTAATGTGGAGTTCCACCACTTCCAGTGCCGCAGATTATTAGGGAAACAAGTTTACACAACACAGTGTACAATGGCTGAAAGTCAGGCTTGAAAAATCAGAAAATAAATAATTACTCAAATAGTTCCACTTTCAGAGCCTCAAGGATTTTAATATGATTATTTCTTTTCAATTTCAATTTTTTCAAAGCTTGAATAAAATGGCAATAAGGACACAGATCAGAACAATTTTGATCAACAATTTTGATCAACTTTAGTGATATCTTTTTTAAAGCTAATTTGTTTAGTGCCCTGCTGTGATATAACTGGAATATTGCTAAAAGTGTCCTAGAACTACCCACCCAGTATATTATCATTGGTGGTCAACCACCCAGACCACTGGCTGGGTGGTTGGATGAGAGTGAATTTGGTTTCAGCAATAATCCATATATTTCACACCAAGAAAAGGCTTCAGACTTTAACCCCTCTGGGGAATCAAACCAGGATAGGCAAACAACCACTTTAACTGCTAGACTACCCCACTGCAAAGTGTCAGACAGGAGATAGTTACAGAGGAGGAGGAGATAGTTACGGAGGAGATAGTTACAGAGGAGGAGGAGATAGTTACAGAGGAGGAGATAGGTACAGAGGAGGAGGAGATAGTTACGGAGGAGATAGTTACAGAGGAGGAGGAGATAGTTACGGAGGGGATAGTTACAGAGGAGGAGATAGTTACAGAGGAGGAGGAGATAGGTACAGAGGAGGAGGAGATAGGTACAGAGGAGGAGATAGGTACAGATGAGATAGTTACAGAGGAGGAGATAGTTACAGAGGGGATAGTTACAGAGGAGATAGTTACAGAGGAGGAGATAGGTACAGATGAGATAGGTACAGATGAGATAGTTACAGAGGAGGAGGAGGAGATAGTTACAGAGGGGATAGTTACAGAGGAGGAGATAGTTACAGAGGAGATAGGTACAGATGAGATAGTTACAGAGGAGGAGGAGATAGGTACAGAGGGGATAGTTACAGAGGAGGAGATAGTTACAGAGGAGATAGGTACAGATGAGATAGTTACAGATGAGATAGTTACAGAGGAGGAGGAGATAGTTACAGAGGGGATAGTTACAGAGGAGGAGGGGATAGGCACAGAGGAGATAGTTACAGAGGAGGAGATAGGTACAGAGGAGATAGTTACAGAGGAGGAGATAGTTACAGAGGGGATAGTTACAGAGGAGGAGATAGGTACAGAGGAGATAGTTACAGAGGAGGAGATAGGTACAGAGGAGATAGTTACAGAGGGGATAGTTACAGAGGAGGAGATAGGTACAGAGGAGATAGTTACAGAGGAGGAGATAGGTACAGAGGAGATAGTTACAGAGGGGATAGTTACAGAGGAGGAGGAGGATACACTGATAACCAACACATTTGATCACCAGCAAAATGATGAAGAGGTACATCCTCACAAGTACAATGATGAAGAGGTACGTCCTCACAAGCACAATGATGAAGAGGTACATCCTCACAAGCACAATGATGAAGAGGAACATCCTCACAAGCACAATGATGAAGAGGAACGTCCTCACAAGCACAAAAAAAAAAAAAAAAAAAATTCTGAGAAGTGGACAAACTGAATAATAGTAGCTGCTCATCTCAGCATTTTCAGCAAAGACCAAATTCATCATCTTCATCATAATCATCATCTTCATCAGAGCTGGAAACATTTTCAGTTCCCAAAAGTGTCTTGAAATCCTCTGCTGAAATGTCCTGGATTTGGTATGGAAGCTCCAACCATTTCTTGTAGTACTGTGGTTGCTTTGTCTCCTCGTTGATGACAATGAAGTACTTGATACCCAGGGAGGGGAAAGCCACACCTTGGTAGATGAACTTCACCCCCCATGGCTTATGGCAGTTCCGACACTGCATGCTGCCTGTCATTGTGATTCCATCAAACGGTTTCTTCTGGTTCCTAAACTGATGGGTGTTGATCCGATCTTCAAAATCACGGCTGATGACAACATGTTGGCTCCCATTAATGATCCTGAGATCTTTGCTGTGTGCACACAGCTTTCTGCAGCAAGCACACATTAGTGTGAATTTTGTATCCAGCTTCTGTCTGGTCTGATGGCGTCGAACCTCTTCCTGTATTGCCTCTTTGGCAAGAGTTTCAGCCTGATTATTGTCAATCCGACGTTTGACTCGATCCATTGGCATACCTCTGATGGTGGTAATGGCTCGTTGCATCATGCCTGCCCGAGCAACATTCAACATCTCTTTCTGCTGGACTTTGCTGCCGCCCAAAAGAATAGATGTCCCTCCTGCCTTCCTGCTTCTTCCTGAACACAGAATGAACATACAACATGTGGCTGTACCACTGAGGTACAATGACACACAATCACTCATGATCAAGTCACTTAATCTTACCACCGAACCAATTTAGTCCCAGTTTACTGAAAGGGTGCTGGGGAGCTACTCTGACTCAGGGTGCTGGGGAGCTACTGACTCAGGGTGCTGGGGAGCTACTGACTCAGGGTGCTTGGGAGCTACTCTGCCTCAGGGTGCTGAGGAGCTACTGACTCAGGGTGCTGGGGAGCTACTAGACTAACATTTAGTCTCTGAAATCTTATATTACACAATATCCTTCTTGACTCTAAAAATAAAAACAATTCTCTATGCTGATTTCAGAGCTAGCTTGAGATGGCTAGACTTGCTTTTGTATGCATTTCTAGATTATTATTTTTTCATAAAATAACTATATTCCACGGTCATGGTGCAGGACTAGGGAGCTACTGACTCAGGGTGCTGGGGAGCTACTCTGACTCAGGGTGCTGGGGAGCTACTGACTCATGGTGCTGGGGAGCTACTGACTCAGGGTGCTGAGGAGCTTCTGACTCAGGCAGCTGGGGAGCTACTGACTCAGGGTGCTGGGGAGCTACTCTGACTCAAGCAGCTGGGGAGCTACTTTGACTCAGGGTGCTGGGGAGCTACTCTGACTCAGGGTGCTGAGGAGCTTCTGACTCAGGGTGCTGGGGAGCTACTGACTCAGGGTGCTGGGGAGCTACTCTGAATCAGGGTGCTGGGGAGCTACTGACTCAGGGTGCTGGGGAGCTACTGACTCAGGGTGCTGGGGAGCTTCTCTGACACAGGGTTCATGGGAGCTACTGACTCAGGGTGCTGAGTAACTACTGACTAAGGGTGCTGGGGAGCTACTGCCTCGGGGCAGGGGGGTGCTGAGGAGCTACTGGCTCAGTGTACAGGGGAGCTACTCTGACACAGGGTGCTGGGGAGCTACTCTGAGACAGGGTGTTGGGGAGCTACTGTGACTCAGGGTGCTGGGGAGCTACTGACTCAGATTCCTGGGGAGCTACTCTGACTCAGGGTGCTGGGGAGCTACTGACTCAGGGTGCTGGGGAGCTACTATGACACAGAGTGCTGGGCAGCCACTGACTCAGGGTGCTGGGCAGCTACTGACTCAGAGTGCTGGGGAGCTACTGACTCAGGGTGCTGGGGAACTACTGACTCAGGCAGCTGGGGAGCTACTGACTCAGGGTGCTGGGGAGCTACTCTGACTCAGGCAGCTGGGGAACTACTTTGACTCAGGGTGCTGGGGAGCTACTCTGACTCAGGGTGCTGAGGAGCTTCTGACTCAGGGTGCTGGGGAGCTACTGACTCAGGGTGCTGGGGAGCTACTCTGAATCAGGGTGCTGGGGAGCTACTGACTCAGGGTGCTGGGGAGCTACTGACTCAGGGTGCTGGGGAGCTACTCTGACACAGGGTTCATGGGAGCTACTGACTCAGGGTGCTGAGTAACTACTGACTAAGGGTGCTGGGGAGCTACTGCCTCGGGGTGCGGGGTGCTGAGGAGCTACTGGCTCAGTGTACAGGGGAGCTACTCTGACACAGGGTGTTGGGGAGCTACTGTGACTCAGGGTGCTGGGGAGCTACTGACTCAGGGTTCTGGGGAGCTACTGTCTCAGGATGCTGGGGGCTACTGACACAGGGTGGTGGGGAGGTACTTACTCAGGGTGCTGGGGAGCTACTGACACAGGGTGCTGGGGAGCTACTGACTCAAAGTGCTTAGGAGCTACTGACTCAGGGTGCAGGGGAGCTACTGACTCAGGGTGCTGGTGAGCTACTGACTCAGGGTGCTGAGGAGCTACTGACTCAGGGTACAGGGGAGCTACTGACTCTGGGTGCTGAGGAGCTACTGACTCAGGGTGCTGGGAAGCTTCTGACTCAGGGTGTAGGGGAGCTACTGACTGAGGGTGCTGGGGAGCTACTGACTGAGGGTGCTGGGTAACTACTGACTAAGGGTGCTGGGGAGCTACTGCTTTGGGGTGCTGAGGAGCTACTGGCTCAGTGTACAGGGGAGCTACTCTGACTGAGGGTGCTGGGTAACTACTGACTAAGGGTGCTGGGAAGCTTCTGACTCAGGGTGTAGGGGAGCTACTGACTCAGGGTGCTGGGGAGCTACTGACTCAGGGTGCTGGGGAGGTACTGACACAGGGTGGTGGGGAGGTACTTACTCAGGGTGCTGGGGAGCTACTGACACAGGGTGCTGGGGAGCTACTGACACAGGGTGCTGGGGAGCTACTGACACAGGGTGCTGGGGAGCTACTGACTCAGGGTGCTGAGTAACTACTGACTAAGGGTGCTGGGGAGCTACTGCCTCGGGGCAGGGGGTGCTGAGGAGCTACTGGCTCAGTGTACAGGTGAGCTACTCTGACACAGGGTGCTGGGGAGCTACTCTGAGACAGGGTGTTGGGAAGCTACTGTGACTCAGGGTGCTGGGGAGCTACTTTGACTCAGGTTCCTGGGGAGCTACTCTGACTCAGGGTGCTGGGGAGCTACTGACACAGGGTGCTGGGGAGCTACTGACACAGGGTGCTGGAGAGCTACTGACACAGGGTGCTGGTGAGCTACTGACACAGGGTGCTGGGGAGCTACTGACACAGGGTGCTGGGGAGCTACTGACACAGGGTACTGGGGAGCTACTGACTCAAGGTGCTAAGGAGCTACTGACTCAGGGTGCTGGGGAGCTACTGACTCAGGGTGCTGGGGAGCTACTGACTCAGGGTACAGGGGAGCTACTGACTCTGGGTGCTGAGGAGCTACTGACTCAGGGTGCTGGGAAGCTACTGACTCAGGGTACAGGGGAGCTACTGACTCAGGGTGCTGAGTAACTACTGACTAAGGGTGCTGGGGAGCTACTGCCTCGGGGCGGGGGGTGCTGAGGAGCTACTGGCTCAGTGTACAGGGGAGCTACTCTGACACAGGGTGCTGGGGAGCTACTCTGAGACAGGGTGTTGGGGAGCTACTGTGACTCAGGGTGCTGGGGAGCTACTGACTCTGGGTGCTGAGGAGCTACTGACTCAGGGTGCTGGGAAGCTTCTGACTCAGGGTGTAGGGGAGCTACTGACTCAGGGTGCTGGGGAGCTACTGACTCAGGGTACAGGGGAGCTACTGACTCTGGGTGCTGAGGAGCTACTGACTCAGGGTGCTGGGAAGCTTCTGACTTAGGGTGTAGGGGAGCTACTGACTCAGGGTGCTGGGGAGCTACTGACTCAGGGTGCTGGGGAGCTACTGGCTCAGGATGCTGAGGAGGTACTGACTCAGGGTGCTGGGGAGGTACTGACACAGGGTGCTGGGGAGGTACTTACTCAGGGTGCTGGGGAGCTACTGACACAGGGTGCTGGGGAGCTACTGACTCAGGGTGCTGGAGAGCTACTGACACAGGGTGCTGGGAGCTACTGACTCAGGGTGCTGAGGAGCTACTGACTCAGGGTGCTGAGGAGCTACTCAACTCAGGGGGCTGAGGAGCAACTGACTCAGGGTGCAGGGGAGCTACTGACTGGGTGATGAGGAGCTACTGACTCAGGGTGCTGGGGAGCTTCTGACTCAGGGTGCAGGGGAGCTACTGACCCAGGGTGCTGGGGAACTACTAACTCAGGGTGCTGAGGAGCTACTCAACTCAGGGTGCTGAGGAGCTACTGACTCAGGGTGCAGGGGAGCTACTGATTCAGGGTGCAGGGGAGCTACTGACTCTGGGTGCTTGGGAGCTTCTGACTCAGGGTGCTGGGGAGCTACTGACTCAGGGTGCTGAGAAGCTACTGACTCAGGGTGCTGGGGAGCTCCTGCCTCAGGGTGCAGGTACTGACTCAGGGTGCTGGGGAGCTACTGACTCAGGGTGCTGGGGAGTTTCTCTGACTCAGGATGCTGGGGAGCTACTGGCTCAGGGTGCTGGGGAGCTACTGACTCAGGCTGCTGAGGAGGTACTGACTCAGGATGCTGGGGAGCTACTGACTCAGGGTGCTGGGGAGCTACTGACTCAGGGTGCTGGGGAGCTACTGACTCAGGGTGCTGAGGAGGTACTGACTCAGGGTGCTGGGGAGCTACTGACTCAGGGTGCTGGGGAGCTACTGACTCAGGATACAGGGGAGCTACTGACTCTGGGTGCTGAGGAGCTACTGACTCAGGGTGCTGGGAAGCTACTGACTCAGGGTACAGGGGAGCTACTGACTCAGGGTGCTGAGTAACTACTGACTAAGGGTGCTGGGGAGCTACTGCCTCGGGGCGGGGGGTGCTGAGGAGCTACTGGCTCAGTGTACAGGGGAGCTACTCTGACACAGGGTGCTGGGGAGCTACTCTGAGACAGGGTGTTGGGGAGCTACTGTGACTCAGGGTGCTGGGGAGCTACTGACTCTGGGTGCTGAGGAGCTACTGACTCAGGGTGCTGGGAAGCTTCTGACTCAGGGTGTAGGGGAGCTACTGACTCAGGGTGCTGGGGAGCTACTGACTCAGGGTACAGGGGAGCTACTGACTCTGGGTGCTGAGGAGCTACTGACTCAGGGTGCTGGGAAGCTTCTGACTTAGGGTGTAGGGGAGCTACTGACTCAGGGTGCTGGGGAGCTACTGACTCAGGGTGCTGGGGAGCTACTGGCTCAGGATGCTGAGGAGGTACTGACTCAGGGTGCTGGGGAGGTACTGACACAGGGTGCTGGGGAGGTACTTACTCAGGGTGCTGGGGAGCTACTGACACATGGTGCTGGGGAGCTACTGACTCAGGGTGCTGGAGAGCTACTGACACAGGGTGCTGGGAGCTACTGACTCAGGGTGCTGAGGAGCTACTGACTCAGGGTGCTGAGGAGCTACTCAACTCAGGGGGCTGAGGAGCAACTGACTCAGGGTGCAGGGGAGCTACTGACTGGGTGATGAGGAGCTACTGACTCAGGGTGCTGGGGAGCTTCTGACTCAGGGTGCAGGGGAGCTACTGACCCAGGGTGCTGGGGAACTACTAACTCAGGGTGCTGAGGAGCTACTCAACTCAGGGTGCTGAGGAGCTACTGACTCAGGGTGCAGGGGAGCTACTGATTCAGGGTGCAGGGGAGCTACTGACTCTGGGTGCTTGGGAGCTTCTGACTCAGGGTGCTGGGGAGCTACTGACTCAGGGTGCTGAGAAGCTACTGACTCAGGGTGCTGGGGAGCTCCTGCCTCAGGGTGCAGGTACTGACTCAGGGTGCTGGGGAGCTTCTGACTCAGGGTGCAGGGGAGCTACTGACCCAGGGTGCTGGGGAACTACTAACTCAGGGTGCTGAGGAGCTACTCAACTCAGGGTGCTGAGGAGCTACTGACTCAGGGTGCAGGGGAGCTACTGATTCAGGGTGCAGGGGAGCTACTGACTCTGGGTGCTTGGGAGCTTCTGACTCAGGGTGCTGGGGAGCTACTGACTCAGGGTGCTGAGAAGCTACTGACTCAGGGTGCTGGGGAGCTCCTGCCTCAGGGTGCAGGTACTGACTCAGGGTGCTGGGGAGCTACTGACTCAGGGTGCTGGGGAGTTTCTCTGACTCAGGATGCTGGGGAGCTACTGGCTCAGGGTGCTGGGGAGCTACTGACTCAGGCTGCTGAGGAGGTACTGACTCAGGATGCTGGGGAGCTACTGACTCAGGGTGCTGGGGAGCTACTGACTCAGGGTGCTGGGGAGCTACTGACTCAGGGTGCTGAGGAGGTACTGACTCAGGGTGCTGGGGAGCTACTGACTCAGGGTGCTGGGCAGCTACTGACTCAGGGTGCTGAGGAGCTATCGACTCGGGTTGTTTGGGAACTATTCTGACTCAGGGAGCTGGGGAACTACTCTGACTCAGGGTGCTGGGGTGGTACTTACTCAGGGTGCTTACTCAAATGTGGAAACAGATACAATGATAGAATTAATTAGATTAATAGAACTTAATTTTCTGTCTCACCTCGGGTCTGGAGAGTTGTGATCTCATTGCCGACATGGTTGTACTTCACGACAATGTTGCATTCTGGGATATCCAGCCCTTCCTCCGCTACTGATGTGGCGACAATCAACTTGACCTGACCACTTTTGAACTTGGAAATCACTTTGTCTTGTTCATTCTGTGTCATACCTAAACATGAACACTCAACATGATTACTGCAAATATCTAAAGGCTAAAATTACCTTCTTACTGTGGAGAGTCTATGAAGAAAGGGAAAACTATTCACTAACAAGACATCTTGTTACTGGAAAGTAAAGAATTCATAAAGGTTATCATGCAAATGTGTTTTGAGACGGTATCATCCTGCACCAGGAATAAACACTGTATTGGTGAGATATATGCCTGGGTCTTTACTCCTAATACAGGATATTTATCATCCCACAGAAGCATGAAAGCCTCTTCATCATAAAATGTCATTCTTAAATTCGAATAGTCGAAAAAAGTATCCTCATCATCCAAAACAAACTGTCTAAAATTCAGGAAATGACCCCAAGCTGCTGAGGTCTACAAGCACAGATATGGAAACTGGCATCCTCGCTAACTTTGCTTCTCAATTTATGCCTCCAGAGTTGCCTAAATTTGTAAAAGGCTTCAGCTACAAGCTTGTTAGACACTGATTTTCAGGATGCTTGACTATTTATTTTGCTTATGCTAACAGTAGGACTACTGTTATATGTAGTCATATGTCCCCACATTCCGACTTGATCGCCTATAGACAAGGGCCATGCCATATGAACACTGTAACCTTTACATGACCTTTATATATTTGTATATTTAACTATACAGTAAACTATGTTAATAACGAACATTGTTATAACAAACTCAGAGATATACAAATGTTTTTGGGACCTTTTGCTGTATATATGCTGTATATATGATGATAATGAACTACGGTGATAATGAACTTATTAGAGGTCCCTTTGAATTTGTTATAACCATAGTTTTCTGAATAAGAGAGCCATACGATAAATTGCAAAGAACAATGAAGAACGAAGCATGGTTTATTTCAGGATAAAACATTGTTCTATCATGAAGTCATGTCTGGTAATGTGTATATGTGCTCGCAACTTGATGACGTCATAAATTGGACAATGTTAATTTTGAGAGGGAAGTGTCTAGTAAGGTGTTCCCATAGATGTAACTGGGCTACCACAGTGGAGATTGCATCCAAAAGTGGGAGAAGTATGACAATCATTATTAGGAGAAACGGTAGAGATAGTCGATGTGAGGATTGTGAGAATATGCAGGAAATGCCACATTTAACCCACCTGTTCATAAAATGGACTCATCCAACATTTCCGAGGGTCGGATTCTGTTCATTATAAAAAAATGGGTAAATATTTCTAAAGCTTGTACATTTTATCAATGTCCTAAAAGAGTTTGTACATACTGTTGATATCTCATGTAAGAAACAAACGACTTGTGGTCATTGTTTATCATCCACCAAAACACTGTAGGGAGAATGAACTGCACCCTCATGCTTTATTCTCCCTGCAGTCCGTTATAACCGTAGTTCATTATAAGCATATATACAGCATAACTACAGCAAATAGTCAGGACTAAAAAAGTAAGTTCGTTATATCCGTCAGTTTGTTATAACCATGGTTTACTGTAATGCAAAGGAGCATAAAACCCAACTCACTCACTCACTCACTCACTCCTTCAGACTCCCACATACTGACATTACTTTACCTCCTTCCTCCTCATTTGCTCCAGCACCAGTGAACGCCATGGCTTTCAGATCCTTCAGCTGGGGATCAATCTTGTCGTCTTCGTTCAGCCAGTTGGTCAGAGCGTAGCAGGTGGCCCTGGTTCTCACAAATATGATGGCTCGGGAGTCGCTGCCTTTTGAATCCAGCATTTCTGTCAGTGTTTTAGCTAACACTTTCAAATTGGGGTTGTCATACTTGGGATCATCTCTCCTTTTCTGTTCATAACGGATCAGTTTCTTTTTCAAACCTAAAATATAAAGACATGAATTCCAGGCGTTATCAGCTTGATGACACCACTGAAGTCAAAATACAATATGCATCATGGCACTTTTTTCAGGATGCAATACACAGGTAAATTTGCAACAAAGTATTCCAAGTGACAAATATGTCAAACATTCATGCTACTTAAAGGAAATCTAATGAAAACAAACTTTTTAATTAGTCATACAAAGTATATATATACACACACAAAAAGTCATATGTGCCTTTCTAGTTATCTAAAAAGCAACACACAACTCCCGCAACCAGCGCATATTCAAAGCCCAGCTAGAGGCATGATGAGATGGTGGAGAGATGTCCGCCATTTTTTTTGTTTACAGTGCAATAATCTACATGACAATGAAGTGATTTTCCGTTATTTGCGGCATATTGGGGTGTGTGATATTGGGTTGTGTGATGGTGGGGAGGTGAGGGGGAGGGTTTAACCCTCACCTCTGGGTTCACTACCAATGATTATTTCTGATATTTTCTGTGTCTTAATCTAGAATAAATTATTGCATGCCTAAAAAAATGTTTCAGCTTAGATGAGTGTGAATGTGGTTTACATTTTTAGAGAAATAATAATGTGACAGATATTTTTAATTTGATATTCTCAGTTTTAATTCATTTATTTGTTGTTAAATAAATTGACTGAAAAAATAAATTATTTCCTTCTTTGTTTGTGTCCCTCGCTAATACATGGCAGTCCATGTGATAATGATGGATGTTTTGGACAAGAAGAGTAGAGTCACTGTGCATGTAGTAGGCTAAATGTCTGGTCATCTACGCTAGTCATCTGCAACTATGACTCTCAGTAGATTCCGGAATATGAGCAGGATTTTAATGTTATTGTCACTAGTATTGCCTTTACAACTTTTTTTCTTTCAAGATAATTGTTTTCATGTGCTTTATAAATGATTTAATCCCATATTTACAGCTTACTGCACATCTCCTTTAAGACAAACCTTTACCTAATCGTATTGAGTAAGGACTTCATTCGACAAGCACAAATGTTTCTGTACCATGTTGTAGGTCATCTGATGTCCAGATACGCTGTGATACATATACAGAAAGAATCATATCCTAATCATATTGTTGAGTTTAATATCATGACACTCAGGTTGGTCAGGAAATCATTTCAGCCTTAATACAAGTAGTCTCAACCTGTGAAGATCCAGGTTAGAACAGGTCTTCAGCAACCCATGCTTGTCCCAAGAGGCAACTAACAGGATCAGGCAGTGAGCTCGCTGACCTGGTTGATGCATGTCATTGTATACAAATTGCATGATTTCTATCACTGGATTGTCTGGTCCAGACTCAGTTATTTACAGACTGCCATCATATATCAGGAATATTGCCGAGTGCAGTGTTAAACAAACAAACAAGCAGCCTCACCACTGAAGATCTCATCCAGCTTTTCTTCACAAGGTACATGCACACTGCCACCACCAGGTAACTGGGTGCTGTGGCAACCGTGACTGAATTCCTTCTGGAGGTAATCCACCACATCCTTGATCCTTACAATATCATGAATTTCCAAGGCTGCATTGTATTTCTGAAAAACAAATAATATTCATCTTATGACTGATTTCTCTAGAGGTATCATAAAACAGGTTCACATCAAATAATATACAGTTGTGAGGAGAAAGCTGTCATAAACAGTTGTGAGGGAAAGAGCTGTAATATACAGTTGTGAGGGAAAGAGCTGTAATATACAGTTGTGAGGGAGAAAGCTGTAATATACAGTTGTGAGGGAAAGAGCTGTAATATACAGTTGTGAGGAGAGAGCTGTATTATGCAGTTGTGAGGGAGGGAGCGGTAATATACAGTTGTGAGGGAAAGAGCTGTAATATACAGTTGTGAGGGAGAAAGCTGTAATATACAGTTGTGAGGGAAAGATCTGTAATATACAGTTGTGAGGAGAGAGCTGTATTATGCAGTTGTGAGGGAGGGAGCGGTAGTATACAGTTGTGAGGGAGAGAGCTGCAATATACAGTTGTGAGGGAGAGACCTGTAATATACAGTTGTGAGGGAGGGAGCGGTAGTATACAGTTGTGAGGGAGAGAGCTGCAATATACAGTTGTGAGGGAGAGAGCTGTAATATACAGTTGTGAGGAGAGAGCTGTAATATACAGTTGTGAGGGAGAGAGATGTAATATACAGTGGTGAGGGAGAGAGCTGCAATATACAGTTGTGAAGGAGAGGGCTGTCATATACAGTTGTGAGGGACAGAGCTGTCATATACAGTTGTGAGGGAGAGAGCTGCAATATACAGTTGTGAAGGAGAGAGCTGCAATATACAGTTGTGAGGGAGAGAGATGTAATATACAGTTGTGAGGGAATGAGCTGCAATATACAGTTGTGAGGGAGAAAGCTGTCATATACAGTTGTGAGGGAGGGAGCGGTAATATACAGTTGTGAGGGAGAGAGCTGCAATATACAGTTGTGAGGGAGAGAGCTGTAATATACAGTTGTGAGGGACAGAGCTGTCATATACAGTTGTGAGGGAGAGAGCTGCAATATACAGTTGTGAAGGAGAGAGCTGTCATATACAGTTGTGAGGGACAGAGCTGTCATATACAGTTGTGAGGGAGAGAGCTGTAATATACAGTTGTGAGGGAGAGAGCTGTAATATACAGTTGTGAGGGAGAAAGCTGTAATATACAGTTGTGAGGGAGAGAGATGTAATATACAGTGGTGAGGGAGAGAGCTGCAATATACAGTTGTGAAGGAGAGGGCTGTCATATACAGTTGTGAGGGACAGAGCTGTCATATACAGTTGTGAGGGAGAGAGCTGCAATATACAGTTGTGAAGGAGAGAGCTGCAATATACAGTTGTGAGGGAGAGAGATGTAATATACAGTTGTGAGGGAGAGAGCTGCAATATACAGTTGTGAGGGAGCAAGCTGTCATATACAGTTGTGAGGGAGGGAGCGGTAATATACAGTTGTGAGGGAGAGAGCTGCAATATACAGTTGTGAGGGAGAGAGCTGTAATATACAGTTGTGAGGGACAGAGCTGTCATATACAGTTGTGAGGGAGAGAGCTGCAATATACAGTTGTGAAGGAGAGAGCTGTCATATACAGTTGTGAGGGACAGAGCTGTCATATACAGTTGTGAGGGAGAGAGCTGTCATAAACAGTTGTGAGGGAGAGAGCTGTAATATACAGTTGTGAGGGAGAGAGCTGCAATATACAGTTGTGAGGGAGAAAGCTGTCATATACAGTTGTGAGGGAGGGAGCGGTAATATACAGTTGTGAGGGAGAGAGCTGCAATATACAGTTGTGAGGGAGAGAGCTGTCATATACATTTGTGAGGGAGAGAGCTGCAATATACAGTTGTGAAGGAGAGAGCTGTCATATACAGTTGTGAGGGACAGAGCTGTCATATACAGTTGTGAGGGAGAGAGCTGTCATAAACAGTTGTGAGGGAGAGAGCTGTAATATACAGTTGTGTGGGAGAAAGCTGTAATATACAGTTGTGAGGGAGAAAGCTGTAATATACAGTTGTGAGGGCGAGAGCTGCAATATACAGTTGTGAGGGAGAAAGCTGTAATATACAGTTGTGAGGGAGAAAGCTGTATTATGCAGTTGTGAGGGAGAGAGCTGTAATATACAGTTGTGAGGGAGAGAGCTGCAATATACAGTTGTGAGGGAGAGAGCTGCAATATACAGTTGTGAGGGAGAAAGCTGTCATATACAGTTGTGAGGGAGAAAGCTGTAATATACAGTTGTGAGGGAGGGAGCTGCAATATACAGTTGTGAGGGAGAAAGCTGTAATATACAGTTGTGAGGGAGAAAGCTGTAATATACAGTTGTGAGGGAGAAAGCTGTAATATACAGTTGTGAGGGAGGGAGCGGTAATATACAGTTGTGAGGGAAAGAGCTGTAATATACAGTTGTGAGGGAGAGAGCTGTAATATACAGTTGTGAGGGAAAGATCTGTAATATACAGTTGTGAAGGAGAGAGCTGTCATATACAGTTATGAGGGACAGAGCTGTCATATACAGTTGTGAGGGAGAGAGCTGTCATAAACAGTTGTGAGGGAGAGAGCTGTAATATACAGTTTTGAGGGAGAGAGCTGCAATATACAGTTGTGAGGGAGAAAGCTGTAATATACAGTTGTGAGGGAGAGAGCTGTAATATGCAGTTGTGAGGGAGAAAGCTGTAATATACAGTTGTGTGGGAGAAAGCTGTAATATACAGTTGTGAGGGAGAAAGCTGTAATATACAGTTGTGAGGGAGAGAGCTGCAATATACAGTTGTGAGGGAGAAAGCTGTAATATACAGTTGTGAGGGAGAGAGCTGCAATATACAGTTGTGAGGGAGAGAGCTGTCATATACAGTTGTGAGGGAGAGAGCTGCAATATACAGTTGTGAGGGAGAGAGCTGCAATATACAGTTGTGAAGGAGAGGGCTGCAATATACAGTTGTGAGGGAGAAAGCTGTCATATACAGTTGTGAGGGAGGGAGCGGTAATATACAGTTGTGAGGGAGAGAGCTGCAATATACAGTTGTGAGGGAGAGAGCTGTAATATACAGTTGTGAGGGAGAGAGCTGTCATATACAGTTGTGAGGGAGGGAGCGGTAATATACAGTTGTGAGGGAGAGAGCTGCAATATACAGTTGTGAGGGAGAGAGCTGTAATATACAGTTGTGAGGGAGAGAGCTGTCATATACAGTTGTGAGGGACAGAGCTGTCATATACAGTTGTGAGGGAGAGAGCTGTCATAAACAGTTGTGAGGGAGAGAGCTGTAATATACAGTTGTGAGGGAGAGAGCTGCAATATACAGTTGTGAGGGAGAAAGCTGTAATATACAGTTGTGAGGGAGAGAGCTGTAATATACAGTTGTGTGGGAGAAAGCTGTAATATACAGTTGTGAGGGAGAAAGCTGTAATATACAGTTGTGGAGGAGAGAGCTGCAATATACAGTTGTGAGGGAGAAAGCTGCAATATACAGTTGTGAGGGAGAGAGCTGCAATATACAGTTGTGAGGGAGAGAGCTGCAATATACAGTTGTGAGGGAGAGAGCTGCAATATACAGTTGTGAGGGAGAAAGCTGTAATATACAGTTGTGAGGGAGAGAGCTGCAATATACAGTTGTGAGGGAGAAAGCTGTAATATACAGTTGTGAGGGAGAGAGCTGTAATATACAGTTGTGAGGGAGGGAGCGGTAAGATACAGTTGTGAGGGAGAGAGCTGCAATATACAGTTGTGAGGGAGAGAGCTGCAATATACAGTTGTGAAGGAGAGAGCTGTATTATGCAGTTGTTAGGGAGGGAGCGGTAATATACAGTTGTGAGGGAGAGAGCTGTAATATACAGTTGTAAGGGAGAGAGATGTAATATACAGTTGTGAGGGAGAGAGCTGTAATATACAGTTGTGAAGGAGAGAGCTGTAATATACAGTTGTGAGGGAGAAAGCTGTCATATACAGTTGTGAGGGAGAAAGCTGCAATATACAGTTGTGAGGGAGAGAGCTGCAATATACAGTTGTGAAGGAGAGAGCTGTATTATGCAGTTGTTAGGGAGAGAGCGGTAATATACAGTTGTGAAGGAGAGAGCTGTAATATACAGTTGTGAGGGAGAAAGCTGTCATATACAGTTGTGAGGGAGAAAGCTGCAATATACAGTTGTGAGGGAGAGAGCTGCAATATACAGTTGTGAAGGAGAGAGCTGTATTATGCAGTTGTTAGGGAGAGAGCGGTAATATACAGTTGTGAGGGAGAAAGCTGTCATATACAGTTGTGAGGGAGAAAGCTGTCATATACAGTTGTTAGGGAGAGAGCGGTAGTATACAGTTGTGAGGGAGAAAGCTGTCATATACAGTTGTGAGGGAGAAAGCGGTAATATACAGTTGTGAGGGAGGGAGCGGTAATATACAGTTGTGAGGGAGAAAGCTGTAATATACAGTTGTTAGGGAGAGAGCGGTAGTATACAGTTGAGAGGGAGAAAGCTGTCATATACAGTTGTGAGGGAGAAAGCGGTAATATACAGTTGTGAGGGAGGGAGCGGTAATATACAGTTGTGAGGGAGAAAGCTGTCATATACAGTTGTTAGGGAGAGAGCGGTAGTATACAGTTGTGAGGGAGAAAGCTGTCATATACAGTTGTGAGGGAGAAAGCGGTAATATACAGTTGTGAGGGAGGGAGCGGTAATATACAGTTGTGAGGGAGAGAGCTGTAATATACAGTTGTGTGGGAGAAAGCTGTAATATACAGTTGTGAAGGAGAGAGCTGTAATATACAGTTGTGAAGGAAAGAGCTGTAATATACAGTTGTGAAGGAGAGAGCTGTAATATACAGTTGTGAGGGAGAAAGCTGTCATATACAGTTGTGAGGGAGGGAGCGGTAATATACAGTTGTGAGGGAGAGAGCTGCAATATACAGTTGTGAGAGAGCTGCAATATACAGTTGTGAGGGAGAGAGCTGCAATATACAGTTGTGAGGGAGAGAGCTGCAATATACAGTTGTGAAGGAGAGAGCTGCAATATACAGTTGTGAGGGAGCTGCAATATACAGTTGTGAGGGAGAGAGCTGCAATATACAGTTGTAAGGGAGAGAGCTGCAATATACAGTTGTGAGGGAGAGAATTGTAATATACAGTTGTGAGGGAGGGAGCTGTAATATACAGTTGTGAGGGAAAGAGCTGCATCAAGGCTTGTATGTGAAACTGAGTGAGTGAGTGTTGTGTAATGATGTTCTGTTTCATAGCAAACTCAATCAATCCTGGACCACTCAAAACAGCATGAGCAACAATCACATCATGGCTTTGAAATTCATTCTCATCCTCTGGGCCCAGACTTCTGAACCGTGCTGAAGCAAACCTCCAATGATCATAGTCCTCATAGACTAGCAGCATTTGAGGGCTGATTCTGAACCAGTTCTCAATTTTGCTGCAAATTGGAAGTCAATAAAACTGACAAAAAATATAAATATTGTAAACATTTTAGTCAAAATTTACACTAGTCCGTTGGATTATTATTCAAAAACTGAATTTCTCAGGCTGACAAGTAATCAGTTACAGAGCCTGATCACACATAATCTCTATTCATAGGGGATATAATGGCTACTTACAAAGATATGATCTGCCATGACAAATAGACTCCTGGCCATTTCTGCTCTCTTAGGGTCAACATCTACAGTAAACAGACCATCCCTGCGGCCTGTATGAACAAGTCTGGATTCATTCTTCATCTGGACTGCCCACTGGCCGTACGGCTGGCTGTTCCGGTTGCTGGGGCGCTTCATCAGCAAATTGTCAATTGCTTTATCGTTCAGATCTGCAAGATGAACCTGATGTCTTAATGACTTGTTTGCTAAATATTTTCTTATCCACAAGTAGTCTACAACCTTAGCAACTGGCTTGGTTAGCTTAGTTGATGAAAGTTCATTTATTATATGATGTCAAGTGACAAAGTAGAAGAATCAAAAGACGTTGCCACAGATGGTTAATGTGAAACACATTTCTTGTGATCACCATTTAATATTGTGCTAAGGTTGATATTTTGTTTGCAACAGTTTTTGAAAATTAAAGTCAAGGAGACAGTTTCATATCCTTGATGTTAAAAGCTAAAACTTTAGGGGGTCCCAAGATTCAAATGCTATAGCAGAAAACCCGAAGGACACCAGGACCTCCCTTAATTTCACAAAATTTTAAAACCCTGTTACAATGACTTCCTGTCTTTGCATATTGGAATAGAATGTTCAAAAAGAGCAATATCAATGCAGTGTTCGAAATACCTGCCTGCCCAACTGTCCGAGATGGGTTGATTTCAACTCGGGCTGAGAGATTTTCAAATCCCCCTGCCCGGCGGTCGGGTTATATTTCATAGGTGAAAATATTCTAAATATTTCCCGATGATAAGCATTAATTCAGATGTAAAGATGAATGATAAAATGTAACCAAAAAGAAACCCTGTTAGCTTTTAGACAACCTAACATTTAACGATGCGCTTATGCTACAAGCAATCAGTTTTCATATTTTTAATTAAATTATCCTGAGAAACATATGATTATAGTGGGCAGGCAGGTTTTGGTCAGGGCTGGCAAGTATTTCAGCTAGCCAGTCCTGTGGTCTGGCTGAAATTTTTTGGAGTTTCATACCCTGATCAATGTTCATGATGCAGTCTAGGGCTGGGACAAGTCCAGATTTAATACCCGGGTACCCACCCCCCTATTACCCAACCCTACCCGGGTACCCGCTGTAGGTTTCAAGAGGTAGGTACAAACTGTCCGATTGGGAATTTTTTTACTGTAGCTCTGGTAAAATGTGTTTAGATACATGTATGAAACGATCTGGTGTATACACTGAAGTTGACTGAAGTTTTAGTTTTATTCAAACATATAAAAGTCAGAAGGAATGGGCGTATTAGTCAGGAAGAACTGCGAACATTAGTGACTTGTAGTTAAAACATAGAGTTGTAGATACCTTTTGTCATTAAACAATATATCATGTGACTAACCACGGGTCCGGGTAGTCCTGTGGGTACCCAGGTCCTCCTCAGTACCCACCCGACCCGAGTACCCGAGTTACCCGTCCTAGCCATAATGCAGTCCATGTCTGGATGACCAGTGTGATGGACACTGTGATGGACACTTTGAGCAAAAGTCATTTTGGACTTATGTAACATATGGATAGTTTTTCAAAACTTCTCAACTTGTCTCTGATTAGCATGAGTTACTGCACCTAACCCTGGCCAAAATAATATTTGCAAGGTGATGGTTTGTTCACACATACAAAATAGAACTAATAAAGTAAGGAAATAGTAAATGTCAAAAGCAAACATTAAATCCCTGATGGTAGAAAACATATGACACATATCCTGGACACAAGTGTTTGACACAACCAGTAATGAAAAGAGCGAGTAAGTGAGTGAGTGAGAGAGTGAGTGAGTGAGTGAGTGAGTTCAGTTTAACTCCGCCTTTAACAGTATTCCAGTTATATCACAGTGTGTCACAGGGTTAGAAACTAACAGTTTTTGTCCACTAGTCCTTATAATGATAACATATAGCAAAACCCTTAAAATGGGCCAATTTCTAGTAGTCCTTAGGCTACCTTTACTATAGGTCAGTTTGGTAAGGACTACAGGACTAGTGCCAATTTCTAACGCTGTGTCAGCTAAATGTGTGAGGAAAGCCTGAAGCTATGCAGGTGTCAGACATTTACCACTTTCGTGAAACCCATGATCATGAGTATGGTGCTGACAAACCTAGAAACATAATCAGGGCGAACCAGGATTTGAAACTACAATCATAGGTTTATGGCATGTCCAAGGGACACAACTCAGATACAGACAGATAATTGCATCCTCTTAAATTACTGGGCCACCCAAGCCCACTTGGATATATCTGGAGATAATATACGGTATATGACCGCGTATAAGCCGAATTTTGAGGACCAGAAAAAAGATTCTGTAGAAAGGGGTCGGCTTATCCACGGGATACACTTTCATGATAGTATTTTTCAGATCGTGATCTGTCAGAAACATCTCCTGAATGACGGTCCGATAGATTACAACTTCCCGAAAGTTTGGAAGTTGCCACGACTAGAGCCATTATTATTATAAATTATCAATAAAGTTATTATTATACACCAATGTTGTCATTATTAAAAAAATGTTATGCATGTTACTACTTCCGATAATAAGTTTTCAATTGAATGTTCAAAGTTTATCGTTCTTCGTAAACTCCACAATCTTTACATGTAACAATATATGTTGTTGTTGTTGTTGCATTAGGTGTTTAAGAGGTCGCATTCTGCCTAGGCAATTTCGGCTGACCTGTCCCTCTTTGGGACTCCTGTGTGTGAGAAGGGTTCACATATCTATTGTGAGTTCTATTTTCTTATATTGATATGATTTCATTTTTATCCTTGGCTGCTCTGTTTATATACGTTCGAGCAGCTGTCCATCTCTCAGAAATAGAGTTAGTTTGGCCTTCGCTATTGCATCTCTTGGCTTTAGGAGATCTATGACAGATAGCGGATCTAACTGCAATTCTTGTTTTAACCTAGCCCGGGCTGGGGCGTGGTCTTGACATTCTAGTAACAGGTGGTCAATGGTTTCAGCCTGATTGCAAGATGAACAAACCTTGTCATAGTGCTTTTTGTGACCAAGTCTGAGGCGTGAGATAGCAGCTTCAATTTTCCTTTCATTTGAGTATGAGTTTGGCTTTTGTTGGACCTTGGGTTGAATTTTGTATAGCCATCTGCCGTTATTATTATACACCAATGTTGTCATTATTAAAAAAATGTTATGCATGTTACTACTTCCGATAATAAGTTTTCAATTGAATGTTCAAAGTTTATCGTTCTTCGTAAACTCCACAATCTTTACATGCAACAATATATGTAATAATATGTTCATAAATTGATAGTGAATAAGTGTCTACCTTTATTGAAAGAGGCAAATAAACAACTGTATCGGCGAGTTATTCCGTTCGCCATTTGCAAAAACATGTGATCAGCTGTTTCCTGTGACGTCTCAAACGGTGACCACTGTGATTGCTTCCTGTTGTTTAAAAAGCAACACGGTACACAAGGAAATGAGCATTGATAATAACGGGCCGATTGGTATTGTCATGTTGTTTACACAAACATTTTCAAGTTGTGGGTGCTTAGCGATCGTGTTGGGAGTAGGGGCTTAATTCCTTTGTTTTCGAGAGATTAGTTTATTAAACTGGAGAAGCCTGTGAGTAAGTGATGGTCATTCAATGTGTTCATAGTATGATAGTTTATTTAATTCAATTGGATTAACATACAATAGTGGTGTAAAGGGAGTTATAAAAGTTGGTATATTTTTACCTATTGACATTCTCATCATGAGTTTGAAACGAAAACGCCATGCTTATGATGCTGAATTCAAACTGTGAGTCTTCGCTCCAGCTGATATATTTTCTCACGGGTTCATAATTCTATATACACCGATTCACAAAATGGCCCTTGGTTGTTGATGGCAACATATAACAATCATTATGAGATTAAAAAAACCCACGAGAAACAGCTTCCCACATTATGAAAGTGGATGACTGGTTTGTTAAATCTTTATTAGAAATAATAATGACCTTTTTCAATATAATTACAACATTTTTCATCTTATATTTTTGAATATCTGCGAGTACCGGCATATGTCTTGCAGTCCGACTTCGCAGTGTTTTTTGCCTTTCAATTCCTGGTTCGGCCTATCTGCGAGTCATATCATTTTCTTTCGTATTTCAATGGTCAAGTTAACACCTCGGCTTATCTACGGGGTCGGCTTATCCGCGGTCATATACGGTAACTCACCATTAATTTCAATCATAAGGTCCTCTATCTTCTCCATGGCGTTCTCCAACTCTTTCCGTGCTGGGTCTTTTCGGTCCTCAGTCAGCGGATAAGTCTCTGGTGTTGGAAAGAAAATTCATTATATTAGGCTAATAAAAATAATAGTCTTGGTTCTCAGGCACCACCCTCATCATCATAAGGTCCGCAGCATGTTTTTGATTATTTCCTTTTTCCCCAAAACATATTTGTATCTTGAACACACGACCCGGCAGTAAAATGCTACAATACTTAAAAACAATGTAATCCAATACAGCGAGCAGTTACTTCCCTTTACATGCGCACTGCTTTACTGCACATCTTGAGATATGGTCATTGCAGCAATAGGAGTTTGTGTGCTTGTCTTGCCGTTTGCAAATTTGGTCAATGAAAACATGAAAATCAAATCTAAGGTTTCGCTGTCGCTAAACAAAGATCTGAGGACATCCCATATCGAGTCACGTCAGAACAACCTTTCCCGAACTTTGAGCCACCACTGAAACGACTAACAAGAAGTCGATATCAGCCAATTAGAAAGCAGCTTTCTTGAGCTTTACGGCACTCATTTCAACCTGGCGACTTCCATTTCAGACTATGCTTGAAAAATATGTTGACATAGTTCACAATTAAAATTTTGAAAACGGAACAAACGAACATTCCAGAATGTTTAATATATGGTTGCGATTGTATGGCAGTGCTTCCCATGTACTGTACAAGGCCTCCTCCGTTCAAATGTTTATCCCACGGAAGCGAGAGATAGGTGATAATTTTGACAGAATCAGTCGTATGGGCCGTAACTGTCGTTCGGAATACCCCGTTTTAACGTTTTCGAGGTTGCATGATTAGAAAACACATTCCGACTGTCACTTTCATGATCTGGTAAGCGACGCTTTGATTGGTCGGATGAAAGGTCGTTCTAACGTGACCCATAACGGGATGTCCTCAGATCTTTGTTTAGCGATAAAAGAACTAAGATTTGATTTTAATGAGATTGGATATTTATGATAAAACATCACTAGACATGAGGATTTACAAATTCAATGGTATTTGTGTAGTGTATCATTTCAACAGGACACTACTCAGGGGTTTGTCTCCGCCTCCAAGACCACCCTAACTCTGCTTATTCTTAGTCTATATAATTTATTTGTGTATTTAACAAAATGATTGAAAAGTTGCATGTAAAAAGGTTTGTATGATGGCAACATTGTACATTGTTGTGTTATTACCCCTGGTAGGTCAGTTGATGATGATGTTGGACATTTTATGAGTGCTTCTAGTAGAGCCAATCATGCACTTGTAGGTCGGTTAAACTGACTGTTACTTTTCCAAATAATTATTTCATGGACTTACTTTCAGCTGGCACTGGGACCTTTAAGATCATATGAGCTCTCTGTTACTTATACAATTAATTATTTCACAGACCTAATTTCAATTGTCACTGGGACCATTGAGATCAGAAAAGCTCACTGTTGCTTTTCCAATTAATTATTTCATAAACCTACTTTCATTTGGCACGGGGACCTTTTCTTTGAGTTCTTCTATGTGTGTCTGTACTGTGGAGAGATAGGGGGCATCCATGTTGGCACACAGTTTCAGGATACTGTCAATGGCCTCCTCATCAACCGTTGCCTTCTCTACTCCCAAGGAGGCTGTCAGGCCTACAATCTGAAACCAAAAGGCAGGCAATTCATGACTAGATGTCATCTTCATGATTTTCATATCCTAAACCTTTCACACAGAGAAATGGTAGTTTAGTGGTCAATCTGATTGCCCACAGCTCTCAAGAGTGGGCATGATTTCGGATGGGGTACAAACGTGAAGCCCCTTTCTGGTATCCACTGCCCTGATACAGCTGCATAGGGCTGGGAACTTGGGTACCTGAGAAGGACCCAGGTACCCACAGGACTACCCAGACATGTGGTTAGTCACGTGATATATTCTTTAATGACAAAAATTATCTAGAATTCTATGGTTACACGACAAGTCACTACTGTTCGTTTTTCTTTCTGACAATGCTCCCATTCCTTCTGACCTTCACATGTTTGAACATTGATAAAACTTCAGTCAACTTAAGTGTATGCATGACCACATTGTTTTATACGTGTATCTAAATACATTTTGCCAGGGCCATGATCAAACTATTCCCAATTGGAAATTTTGTACTAAACTCTTGAAACCTACAGCGGGTACCCGGGTAGGGTCGGGTAATAGCAAGGTGGTACCTGGTTAGTAAATTTGGACTCTTCCACGGAGTATAAAATCTTAGTCAGCGGTTTAAGTGTAGAAAATACCTGCGGTAGGCGAATGGATTTCTTTTTGCTTTTCTGCTTGAGATATCTGATCATGAGCTTGTTGTAGGGCTCCCCTTTCCGTGTGTGGTGACACTCATCCAGCACAATAAGGCTGAACACAGACAGGGACTTGATCTTTGCATCCCTCAGTTGGTTCTCCAGAATCTGTGGTGTCATCACAAAGATGTCGTACAGGTCCAGCAATTGGTGGAGGTACATGCTGCTCTCGTCCTCACCACTCAGCTTGAATATCTGGGTGAGAAGACAGGGATTTTCATGGAAGATATATGGGGAGTTTTGGAACAAAAGTCATGTTCCTGGACACAGTGATTGATTTGCAAAAACACAACAGCTTCATGGATGTTGTTACGTTAGCATGATGCACATGCTTCTGTGCTAGTTGAGCAAAACCTGTGCATGCTCAAGACATACAGTAGTATCAGTCAGCGTTAGAAATTGGCACTAGTCCTGTAGTCCTTGTCAAACTGCCTAATAGGTAAGGTATCATAAGGGCTAGTAGACATTTGCCCTTTTTAAGAGTTTGCTATATGTCATCATTATAAGGACTAGTGGACTTAAACTGTGAGTTTCTATCACTGTCAGTTAGTTTCTGGTACTCAGAGGAGAGGTAAAAAATTGATAGCTCTCTCATTGTGACAGAAATAGTGAACGAGAATAGTATAGTAGAGAATAGAGCAGAAATAGTTGAGAGAGTTGTCCAATGCCATTGTAAAAATATGCTAATCAAACAGCCACCTCACTTCAAGTTCATTGTTTCGTTGTATCTTATTACACTATTATTGCTCAATACATTTTAAGGGTATTTCACATTTAGTTGATTACAAGTGGATATCACATTTTAGTTGATTGTAAGGTAAATTCATGTTAGTTAATTCAGTTTAGTTTCCACTGTTAACCGTGGTCGTCCAAGAAAATGTTGCAACTGGGCACACGCTGAACTTGGCCATAAAATACAGTGTCAGTTGCATAGCATGGACAACAGAAGCTGCTTCATATGATTTGGAAAATTTAAAAAATAATGTTTTGACTGGCATTAAAATATTTAATGACAGGATTTTAAAAAATGTGTCCATGCCTAAGAAACATTTCCTCTAGCAACTATTTATGTGGTAACAGGAGGGACTTTCCAATTATGGCTACCTTTCTGCAACAATGTCTATAATAAACCTTGAATAAGAATTAGGGTGTGATTTTCAGTTTATTTAATGCTCAATATGGTTATATTTGAAATATATTACAATAAATATGCTTTTAAAATAAAACTATTTTGAGCTTAGTCATTTGAAAAACACTATTTTCTGAGAATACCCCCTATACTTATGGAATAAATCTGATATTACACAAGGAGTGATCAAGAATCCACATCCAGGAATTATTCCCTTTATCAAACGCTCTGATAATGGACGTTTTCAATGCCTGTTTAAAGCAACTGCCCTGTTTCCTAGTACTGGTTAATGTATTTGTGCTTCAGAGTAGTGGGAATTATCATTGAATTGTTTACTCTTTTTTCTTATGATTAACATGAAGGTTAGTGAGATAAGTATTCTGTATGTATGATGTTTCTATTCCTATCCATGATCAATCATTACACAATGATTATTCATAACAATCAGGGTTGAAAATAAGCAAGAAAGTGAAAGGGTCCTTGTCATAATCCCAGAGTTGAGACTTCCACATTTAGGGGGTCCCCAGATTTAAATGCTGAAGCAGCAAATTCATCCCCAGCATCCCCCTGAGTTTCGGACACTGCCAGTGATCAATCTCATAATCTTAATCTTTGTCTGTATGTTTCTTGTTTAACGCTGCACTCAGCAATATTCCAGCTGTAGGACATTGGTCTGAAAACAATCGAGTCAGCCTCGGACAATCCAGTGATTGACATCATGAGCACCAATCTACATATTTGGGATACGATGACATGCATCAAACAAGTCAGCAGGTCTGACCACCCCTATACCATCGAGTCAGGGTCGGACAATCCAGTGATTGACATCATGAGCACAAATCTACATATTTGGGATACGATGACATGCATCAAACAAGTCAGCGAGCCTGACCACATGATCCCACTAGTTGCTGAAGACCAGTGTTCGAAATACCTGCCTGCCCGACCGTCCGAGACGGGTTGATTTCAACTTGGGCTGCCAGATTTTCAAATCCCCCTGCCCGACGGTCGGGTTATATTTCATATGTAAAAATATTCTAAATATTTCCCGATGATAAGCATTATTTACATGATGTATTCTAGGATATTAAATACAAATCTGACCTAAAAAGTGTTTGCTATTTCTTTTCTTGCATTACTTCATGTGAAATGAATTCAATTTAAAGTTTTAATTAAATTATCCTGAGAAACATATGATTATAGTGGGCATGCAGGTTTTGGTCAGGGCTGGCAAGTATTTCAGCTAGCCAGTCCTGTGGTCTGGCTGAAAATTTTGGGAGTTTCATACCCTGTGAAGACCAATTCAAGGTGGAAAATTGTAACCCAACACTAGATGATACTTACCCTGTAATCCTGTCCAAAGAATCTTTGGAAGGTACCATACTGCTGATTTACCAGAGGAACAGTCCGTGCCAGAAACACCACCCTCTTTTTCCCTGGAACAAGCACTACAGTTGTTCAGTGAATATGCTGTCCTGTGTGCAGTGTTCACTAAGCAGGTCTTGAGTTTAACATATGGCACACAGAAGTGGATACAGAAAATAGTGTTTTAGTTAAGGATTGACTGTGTATTTTTTTGGTTCATTGAGGTATGAATCGAAAAACCAATGCGAAAACTGTATGAATCCACGTAGCAGATTCTTACAAAAGTTTGGACATGGGTTTTTCAATTCATACCTCAATGAACCGAAAAAAATACACAGTCAATGCTTATAATTAAATTCGACAACGAAAACATATTTTATCTACAATATTTTAACCCAAAACAGTTGCATATATCAAAGCAGACAAAAATGACAAGATTGATAAACATTCCAGGTGTAGGAATACATACTGTGGCATGACATGAATCAGGTGATTGTTTAATTTATGCACATAACTTTACACGCCTACAAAGTCAGTAGCCAATCAACGAAAGTATGATAAAAACAAAGTTCATAGCACCTGTCAATCAAAGCAAGAGGCAAGAAGAACAACAACAGCACCTTTAGAATACAGTACCACAACTTCCCGTGAGGACGATCTCTGCCATAGGTCACATGTCTCAAAGACAAGCAACCAGTTTTTGTGAGAATCTGTCGCAAACTCGCAACCTTTAGATGGTTAGCCTGACAGCTAGCCGACTGAGCCACATCCACAGTGTGAAACTATGTGCAAATATACCTAGTCATGCCTACGGGACTTAACAAAAAGGGTCGAAGGTTACGGGAAGGCATGGTGTCTCGTGACTTTAGTCATGGTGTCTCGTGATCCCGATGCCATTTGGTATGCTCGTCCCATTACGTAATCTAACATGATACAGAGTGGTGAGGAATGAGCCGATAGGGCGAGAACTGAAAACGGCTCTTGGCGTCAGACGTTGAACTCGCGGGTACGCATGAATGACATGGAATTTAATCATTCTTTGGGTGATTTTTGTTTCAGAAAAGTGTGGTAAGGAAAAAGTGTGGTAAGGAAAAAGTGTGGTGAGGATAATGTTAATAATTGTAAGGAACGAGGGAGGCATAAGCATGGCTAGTGACGACACAAGTGTGAGTTGGCTTTTGAATCAATACTGAATAAATGTAGCGTGTGAAAGTGGCTTGTGTGATTGTTCAGGGACAGTTTCCTGTAGCCAAAATATTCAACACTAAATCATTTCATCCTATTTTTCTTGACGTTTGTGGGAAGAATATTAGGAGCAGCTACAGAATCAATAATAGACACAAAACAAGTACCTAACCCTAATGATCGTAAAGGGGTGATTGATCGTAAAGGGGATCCAAGGGCTAAGGATAGAGTTCAGGGTAACCTACCCTAACACCGGCGACATTTTGGATGTGTTCAGTGCTAATATAGTATTACCTAATAAACTGCATTCCTGTGCATAATAATTCATGAATAAAAAAAATGATATATGCATATTAGTTCCCATTTATCATCATTTTAGCCACTTGAATTACGAATAAAACGAAATAAAGAAATAAAAAATATATTGAAAATGAAAGTGCTTTCGTAAACTAGCGCTTGCTATATACTGTGCCGCCGCAGTCTATATTCAGTAAACAAATATTCAAAACTCTCCACAGCGCTTGGCATATTCCATGACATTTCGTGTAGAGATGGTAGATCACTGGGAGGAGCTTATGCACATTCGATGACCCCTGACGTCACAGGGCATTGTTTCGCCGGTGTGACTGGCAACAAAATACTACTAATTACGTCATAGGGTATTGTCCCGTGTTTGAAATGTTTTTGGTACTGTATTCTAAAGGTAGGCCGACAGACTGTAACGAACCAGAACAAATATGTTCAGGAGAAGGCGGCTGTTTAAAAATGACATGGTCAGTTACCGCCAGATTCAAACATTAGTTCCCTGAGAACGGGAAGACCCAGTTGGAAAAATGCTAGTTACAAATGAAACCCAAAGACATGAAAGTTGTCGAACCGAGGTGAAAAAACAGGCGAGCGAGCCTGCACGTTTGCTGTTTCATTTAATCTCGGTCTCCAGTCTCAAAGAGTTGTTTGGAAAATGTATATGCATGAATTTCGCCTAATATCCTGTCCATGACGATACACAAGAGCAGAAAGGGAATTCCATCACCTGCAATATTGGGAATCCCTAACATTCCCTATAAAAGTAGTCCGCCTCAGTGGGCATGGCTTATTTTTTTTAAATCATTGGGAAATAAATGCAATAATACGTTACCAATTCAGCTAATCAGAAATTGTAATGAACACAACAATAATTTAATCATATGGACATACAAAATGTATTTCACTTGTCACTTATCTAGGTTAAGATGAAAATGGAAACCTTTTTGTAACAATGTCTGTCCAAAAAGTATAAAAATAACTTTCCAGTAACATTTGTTCCTCAATCTCTGTTTTTTTAAGGAAGTCGTTCAATAAGTTACATATCGCCTACCATCAGCTTCAGCTTCTCTTGTTTGTTAAGGAAGTCGTTCAATAAGTTACATATCGCCTACCATCAGCTTCAGCTTCATCCTGCTTTTCAAGATGGTCTTTGACGATGTAGAGTGCCACTCTTGTCTTGCCTGAACCGGTAGGGGCACAGATGATGGTGTTACGGCGTTTTACTGCATTCTCAGCCAACTCCAGCTGGTATCGGCGGAGGTTGAGATCTAGTGGATCATCTTTGGCTGTATCAGCTGAGTCTTTCTCATCATCTGAGGCAAACACAACTAATCTTGATACAAAATATTCTCTTCTTGAGGGGGTCTAACTTTGGATGGAGATGATTTACTGACAAATTTAATCAGGTATATCAGGTATTTGGATGGCATTTAGATGTGAGATGAATACGAGAGAGAATGTGTTTATTATGAGGAACACACATGCATATCAGCATGATATGATCCAGAGTTTCACTTTCATTCTCAGCTTAAAAAGAAGAATTGTAAATGTGAGGCTGAGATGGAGCTTGGACAATCTTCTATGAAAATGCTTTGTAATCACAATAATAATGCCATTTACAATGCCCCAAGTTCCATTTACCAAGTGAACGCTCATGTCGCAACTTAACGATTACTCTGGAAAATAGATCTGTGTGCACTCGATTTTCATTCTCAGCTCCCTGGGAAGTATACAACCCAAACTGCCATTACCATCTCATCCTTCTGAGTACCAGTAGCATATTTTGAACAAAGTCAGCCACCATGTGCTTCAATGTGCTTCATTGTGCTTCAATGTGCAGGACCCAAGCCCTAGAAATTCTCGGGGATCAAACTGCTAAACATGGTCATCCATCAAACTACTGCTGAATTATGGCACCAATTTGGTGTCTAACCATGTCAACACACAAGATGGCGCCATGTGCTCGAATTATACGCAACAAAGCATTGGCCCCCTCCCCCTCAAATGAAGGTATTGTGTATGCCCTGAGGATGTGCTTCCGGATTGCTTTACAGACAGGGTATGTAAATTAGCATCCATTGTGAAGGTTTTCACAGGGGGGTCGACTTACATGGAGTCACTCTATGGACGGCGATAAACGGTAGTGACTGGCGGACAAGAGTGTTAGGTCCATGTCGTCTTACCCTCATCATCTTGTTTTTCTTCATCAGAGAACTCTGGGGCACTGCCGTCGTGATTCGATGGCTCACTTGTAGCATGACTGTGGGGCGGACCATCTGAGGGAGGATGCAGCATGCTTTCAAGATCTCGCAAGCGATCTTCTCGGGACATCTCCACAGGGGCTACATAAACATCTGCAACCAAATACGTAAATCATATAGTTTCGTCTGATCATAGGTTTTCGGACATCATACGTTTTTGACGGCCATGTTTATCTTGATTATTCGCGCTATAACAAGGGGTATGGCATCACAGAGACTTTGTAAATACCCAGATGATGGCTTGTTTTTTAGATAAAGTTATCTTGCATAAATGAGTGAGATGTTTTAAAGTTGTTCTTGTGATTTGTGAGAAAACCTTGAATGTCCGTAAACCCATAACACAGGGATAGTCCCATTTTTAGTGAATTTGTGTTTGGTCCAGGAGGCTCAGCTAGAAGAGTCCATATGATAAAACTAAACTCTGCTCAAGATGACACTGAGACATCTGTCAAACACACTTAAACTTGAAATAACTTCTTTGATAGGCATTTAGAAGTAGGAGTACTAAGTAAGGATTAGATTTATGGATGAACAACTTCTTTATTAAAATTAAGAGCGACGTTTCAGTGTAGATTCTAACACCATTATCAAGCAAACATCGCTCTTACTTGTAATAAAATAGTTGTTCATCCATAAATCTTATCCTGACTTAAAATTGAAAGTTTTCACCACAGATACAGAGACCAAATATTGGTGAAGTGAGAAAATGTTGCTTAATGCCACAATCAGCAATATTCCAGCCATATCACAAGGGCCTGCAACTGATGAAGTCTTTAGTTTATGTATTCTGCCACAGAATCCCCCCATAAACCAATAAGTAGCTTCGTATCCAATCAATGAAATGGCATTTCAAATGAAATTCATGTTGGTATTCAAAAACATTTTGTTCCATAGTATAAAATGCCCGGCATCTAACAAAACAAAGTCACAATCTACCTTTAGGATTAGTTTGTGAGACTGATGATGCCAGGCTTTCTGCTCCAGTGGCTATTGAGGAATCTAAAAAGTATAAACATATGACTGCTTAAGTCAACAAATATAGTAATTAAAGTAAGTATGCTATTCTTTATAAAAAAGTTGTTTTCCATAATAATACTCCTTGTCATGCTAGTCTAACACAAAAGAGAATATATATATAATTAACTCCTAATCATTAAATTATCAGTGATATGACAATGACATTTGTCATTGCTTTTGTTTTCTTGTATGAAAAAAATCGGGATCTGCTACAAACCATCATCATCATCATCACCACCATCATCATTGTCATCGTCATCACTACAAGACTCATCTGAAATATAAGAGTGAGGTGAATGAGTGAGTGAGTGAGTGAGTAAGTGAGTCCCTTAAATAGTGTCATCCAATTTACAAGGTATGTTCTGGAGAACTATCGCCGGGAACATGAAATGTTCGCTGGGAATACCACTGGGAGCATTCGTGTGAACGCCGAGTGCTTCGCGGATTTTGTAGTTCATGAAAATCGTGCGGCACGTGAAATTGCCTATGTATAACCAAGCTTTGTGAAAATAAAGTCTGTTCGAAAAACACTGCGTAACAAGGTAACCAAGTTGTGAGCGTATGTTTGAATCTCCAGAAATGGAGTCATGACAGAACGATGTGTTATCCTGAAACAAACCACACCTTGTTCTTTGTTGTTCTGTGTGGTTTATTGCACAGCTATCCCATATTAGTATATCAAGTGTATATCACAGTTATCGAGTGTATATGACAGTATCATGACCAAGGAATTCCATATCCATTATCTTTATAAAAGTGTGTGCTCACCAGTCCTTCTTTTATGCCCTTAAAGCTGAGCGCAAGGCAGAGTAACAACAAGTGCCTTATTTTACTGTTTCTTGGTTTGACGTGGCCAGGGATCAAACCACTGACCTTCCACTCTCTGGGCAGACACTATCTACTAGACCCCGGAGGCTGTCTTGATTTCAATCATGTAGTATGGGATGATAGCAGTTTATTGAATATTGTATGCTTTTTTCACAAACTTACCTCTGCTTGACATCATCCTCGATTCTCAACTGTATTTTATCTCAATCCAATTAGAATAAATACCTGGACCGAGTCGCTACAAAAGCCTCGTTTTGAATCTTATTTAAATAACATGTGGCTAAAAGTAGCCACTCAATCAAATTCTACGAACCTCTTTGGTCATATGGACAAGGCGTTCGACCTCGGATCAGAAGGTCTGAGTTTCAAATCTCATCATGGGACTCAGAAGTTATACGGCTGCTACACAGTGTTATGTATTTCTGTGCTGCTTCACTACCTGGGTGAGAGGTGTTTAGCACGTAATTATATGATTATCTGACAATGTTACCAAGAACGAAAATGCTGTTATGAACTGGTCATGACTGTCATCACAACTTGATAAACTGACCACACTTGACGTGGAACTTGGTGACAAGCACTCAATCTAGCACTCAATTACAGTGTAAGAAATTGGCATTAGTCCTATAGTACTTGCAAAACTGCCCAATAGTTAAGGTACCATAAGGACTTGTAGAAATTTGTCATTTTTAAGGATGTAGCTATATCATAATCATTTTAGTCTGGTTCAAAATTATTATGAATTTTAATGTTATATTCAAGGAAGCATACATAAAATATCAATATTGACAAGTGTTAAAAATTGAGGTATGGTCAAAGGGAAGCAACTCTTCTTCAATTCTAGAAGTTGCAAATTAGAGTCATCTCCCTTGATTATGGAGCCGACGACTTTTCCTGATATATGTCAGAAATGAGTGCAAAGGAGAAAAGGTTGATTCTACAGCTCCATGATGAAGGCATCACTGATGCTGCTACATTAGCAAAGAGCACAGATACTCCTCTTTCTACAGTGTATAGAGTTAAGAAGAATATTGAGAATGGTTCAGGAATTGAGCACAGAAAAGGAGCGTTTGGTGATCGTGTGAAACTGGGTATTTTGGCTTCTAAAAACAGAAGGGCGAGTATCTCAAATATCCAACATGAAATGGTAAATAGAGGGACAGTAATTGTATCCAAATCTACAGTAAAAAGAAATTTGATTGAACTTGGATGGGAAAAAAAAAGAAAGGAATTGCCTCTCCGCTCTTGAAACAAGAACACAAGGATAGACATGTAGAGTGGTGTTTGGCGCATGAAACCTTTGACTGGAACAGTGTTATTTGCACAGATGAGAGCTCTGTATTGGTGTATCCTAACAATGTTAAAATGTGGACAAAATGTCATTCCGTTCCATTGTACCAGAGACCAAAGTACAGTCCGAAGTTTCATGTTTGGGTAGGGATATTTTCACTTGTAACGACGCCCATGGGGGTCTTTGAAGGTAATTTAACCAGTGAAAGGTATACAGACATTTTGAAAGCTCACCTGATCCCAAATGCAGATGTTTTTTATAGAAATACTTGGATTTTGCAACAGGATAATGACCCCAAACACACCGCAAGACATGCGCGGCAGTGGTTTGAGGACAACAATGTGACCGTTTTGGACTGGCCTAGCTACAGCCCGGACTTAAATCCTATAGAAAATGTGTGGGGACTCATAAAGGAGTCCGTGAACCAAAAGGGCTTGACAAAAGTTGATGGCCTGAAGCGCAAGGTGGTGCGATATTGGAACTCTCTCACCAACGAGACTCTAACCTCTCTCATAGGAAGTATGCCCAATCGTATAAAACTGTGTTTGGAAGCAAATGGTGGTCTGATAAAATACTGATGTTATTGTGATGTGATTAAAGAAGGTTTGTGCTCACTTAAAATATGTTTTATTTGGGGGGGGGGGGGGGGGGGGGGGGGAATTTTCATATTTACAATTTTAAAGATTTTTCAATTCTCAATAATTATGACTCATAATTAGTATAAGGACTAGTAGACTAAAACAGTTAGTCTCTTTTTGCTGCAATTAGCACTTTGTTATGTATGTCAATGTGCAGCGAACCTGATGTGACAATAAACTCCAATATGTGCAGACATAAATGTGACACTTTATTAATGTGGGAAATGGACCCTTGCATTTGTCCAACAATTTCATGCTTGCATTTAATTCATGATTTACAGTAACCAGCAGTGTTACAGCACTGGCTGTTGATATGTTGAAAAATAACAGTGAATTGTCTCTCAACATCAGTGTTGTTATTTGTATATTATCATATACTCACTGTCATCATGTCTTTCCGGGTCTAGTTTGGCATGCAGTCTTGGGTTGTTGTTGTGCAAAACGTCCATGAACTTAACTGGCCAGTGTGGATCTTTCCTGCGCATGCATCGAAACATGTGACGGCATGCATGATTTGCACCTCTTCTATCCTCTATTGCATTTATCTCCTCCTCATCTCCACTGTTGAGTATTGGAACAAGGTCCATAACTATTTCTGATGGAATTATTTTTTTCACCAAATCGCCTTGCAGCAGTTTCAGCAAGAGATCATACTTTTCAGACGCCCGATCCATGTCTTTATTTTCAGCCCGATCATCGAGAATGTTGATAAAGTGCTTAAAACCTGAAATTGATTACTTTCAGTTAAAATAATATAGTAAGAAAAAAGGAGCCATGAATAATGTATGTCATTACATGACTTGAATAAGCAGTAAACTATTTACTTTGTCATGATACAATACATTACATGTCTCAGTATTAAGGTCACTAATAATATATGATGCACAAAACCTAGACACTTGAAGGAGACCTTATTTCCATCCCACAGAGATCCAACCTACAGAATTCTAACACTGATGGGAGTACACAAATTATCATTTATACAAAGTTTCAGCTTTCTGAAGCTTGTAGGTTCATTGAAGAAGTTCCTTAAGGTTTTTAACATACCAACTTCTCTCAGTGCCAGTAGAAAGAATGGCACCCGTTCCTGGGGGTCCTTCAAAATTGCCTTCACCAACTTCTTTGCAGCTTTTGACCTCTTTCCATAATTTTGTAGACCTTCAATTTCTTCTTTTAAGTCTTCTGGAATGAAAGGCCTTTACTTAATTAATGCGAATGGGCAAATGAGTGAAGATTGTCTTATACTACCAGCAACATGCAAACTACAAAAACAGGGTACACACTCCACACATCACGGTGCAAAGTCCATTCATCAGAGTACACACTCCACACATCAGGGTACACACTCCACACATCAGGGTACATATTAAAAACATCTGAGTACACACTCCACACATCAGGATACACACTCCACACATCAAGGTACATATGTAAAACATCTGAGTACACACTCCACACATCAAGGTACATATGTAAAACATCTGAGTACACACTCCACACATCAAGGTACATATTAAAAACATCTGAGTACACACTCCACACATCAAGGTACATATTAAAAACATCTGAGTACACACTCCACACATCAAGGTACAAAATCAACACATCAGGGTACACGCTCCACACATCAGGGTACACACTCCACACATCAAGGTACATACTCCACACATCAGGGTACACACTCAACACATCAGGGTACACACTCCTGACATCAAGGTACACACTCAACACATCAGGGTACACACTCCACAAATCAAGGTACACATTAAACACATCAGGGAACACACTCCACACATCAGGGTACACACTCCACACATCAAGGTACACACTCCACACATCAAGGTATACACTCAAAACATCAGGGGAAAAATTAAACACATCAGGGTACACACTCCACACATCAGGGTACACAATACACACATCAGGGTACACACTCCACACATCAGGGTACACACTCCACACATCAAGGTACACACTCCACACATCAGGGTACACACTCCACACATCAAGGAACACACTCCACACATCAGGGTACACAATACACACATCAAGGAACACACTCCACACATCAGGGTACACACTCCACACATCAGGGTACACAATACACACATCAGGGTACACACTCCACACATCAGGGTACACAATACACACATCAAGGAACACATTAAACACATCAGGGCACACACAAGGCAAAATAATTACTGATTGTCATTTATGGAGTTAACATCGGTTCTTGCCAACTGTTGAAAATGTTTCCCATTTAACTCATCAATCGAGACTGGTTGTTAAACTTCGTTCCACAAAGCGCCATTTTGGTCTCGGAGGTATCAAGAATATTTTTTTATGAACTAATTGTATATAACATCAAGTTCAACAAATGTATGATGTCCAATGTATGAAAAAGAATTTTATTGACCTGAAATATACATATAAATTGTTTACATCTTTTAAGATTTTGCAAACACAGATCTACATTTTAAGTCTCAATTACGAGGGGCCGTGAAACGTGCTTGCATGTTATGTAGGGAGACTTTATGTTTCAAAGTTTATATTTGTAATTAAATACATTAATCAATACTCATTTAACAGTTACTTTACTTGGCTTGATTTTTGTTTTATGTTTTTACTTTTCTATTCATCAACTGTCGAACAAATGAAAGAAAAACTGATTTTCTAATTGTCACTTTTTGCTTGGATAAGGTGAATCTGTAAACCTAGAATATAACAAATGTGTCACCTTACCTGGTAATTTAATTTTATCGATGATAAGTGATGGATCAAGATATTTCTCAAATGTGTCCATCATGATCTCTATCATGAAAACTTGATCCTCCAGTGTTGGTCCCTTCTTCTTCAAATCTTCAGGAACAGCAGCAGCAGCAGCAGCCATAGTGTTGTCTTTCTGGTTGAAGCTGTGTCTGCAACAAATTCATTGAGAAATACAAGGAATCATATGACTTGAAGCCAATGGTCATGAGTTGCATATTTAACAGCTATGAAGGATGTGACACTGGGAGTGGATGCTGATAACAAATGTGCCCCAAGGGAACAGGACCACCACTGAGACACCACACACCACCACTGAGACACAACCACCTTGGTCACACGGTGTTATGGTACACTGATGGTGGTGCTCAGGGCCACCACACACCACCACTGAGACACCACACACCACCACCGAGACACCACACACCACCACTGAGACACCACACACCACCACCGAGACACCACACACCACCACTGAGACACCACACACCACCACCGAGACACCACACACCACCACTGAGACACAACCACCTTGGTCACACGGTGTTATGGTAGACTGATGGTGGTGCTCATAGGCCACACTCCATTATGGTCTGTCAGTTTATTACATCTACCGCAACCATGCTGCATTTACATATGCCTGTTTTGCCTCTGCAGATTCTATAAATGGGTCACCCAGATTCTGTGTCAGATTATAAGAATGTCTTTGTGACTTTGTGACATGGGCAGTTTTGCACTCCCCCTTTTCCAAAATCCTGGAACCAACTCTGAATATTATCAGAAGATGTGTTTGTGCTGCATTGAGATTTATCATTGAGGCCTACCTTAAGAATACAGTACCACAAACTTTTCAAACACGCAACAATACCCTATGACGTAATTTGTAGTATTTTGTTGCCAGTCACACCAGCGAAACAATGCCCTGTGACGTCAGGGGTAATCGAGTGTGCATAAGCTCCTCCCAGTGATCTACCATCTCTACACGAAATGTCATGGAATATGCCAAGCGCTGTGGAGAGTTTTGAATATTTGTTTACTGAATATAGCCTGCGGCGGCGCATTAATATATAGCAAGCGCTAGTTTACGAAAGCACTTTTATTTTTTATATATTTTTATTTCGTATTTCTCGTAATTCAAGTGGCCAAAAGGGTTATAAATGGGAACTAATATACATATATTATTTTTTCGGTGCATTAATTTTCATTATTATGCACAAGAATGTAGTTTATTAGGGATAATATATTGGCGCTGAACACATCCAAATGTCGCGTCACATATATACATATATTACATAACTGCATGTCAACTATACTTCCAAGTGATAATTATTATATGACATGCATATATTGTCATTATGTGCTGTTGATATTGACTTGATACTTGCTGTCAATGCAACTTTACCTAATCATTTCAACAAAATAATATTTTGGAATGTACAAACATTTAAAGAAAACAAGAAGGTTTGAGTGAGAAGTGTTGATGTGATACGTTTCTCTATTTCTCTATAGCACTACCATCAGTCTACCATAACACAGTGTGACCGATATTTCGTCTTTCCTTTCTGTCATTTAATGAGGTAATTGTAAATCTATGGGAGAGAATGTTCTAAGATGGAATAACTTGTGCCAAATCCATTTCATGAGAATAAAATTTGTTTAAAATAATTGTGATTTCTAATGATTGTTTGTTTGTTTGTTTGTTGTTTAACACCACACTCAGCAATATTCCAGCTATATGATGGCTGTCTGAAAAATAATCGAGTCTGGACCAGACAATGCAGTGATTGACATCATGAGCATCGATCCACGCAATTGGGATTGATGACATGTATCAACCAAGTCAGTGAGACTGACCACCCGATCCCGTTAGTCACCTTTTATGACAAGCATAGTCGGGTAAAAATCTCAAAACCGACAAATTTTCTGATATCAACTTGCAAAAATAAAAGTGTCCCTAATATAATTTTTCTCTTGATATTAGAGAATATGATACTTGAGAAGTACTTTCTATTTCAATGCAGTGCAGTGATGTGTTTAATTAATTAGAAAATAATTAATGAATTAGCCTAATCTGCTAGGACATTCAACTCCGTTACGGATCACAAAATGGAAAGTAATTTTAATAGCGCTAGGTTGCTTTGAAATATAAAATCGTATTCAGCAATTAACATTAAGTGTGAATACAATTCAGTGTTAAACAAATGCAAACTGGCTAAATAAAATGTATGATTGGACATTTGTAAGTGCTCGCTCCATATTTCAAAAGTTTGCCTAGACAACAAAGTCATTTACATGAAAGACGGTATCCAAAATATAGTATTTTTCATCTTTTGTCACAACATATATTATCATTAGTCCTAATCTAAAGTTAAAACTCATAAAAACAACAAAGTTTTTCGTCAGTTGTCAAAAGAAGTCATCTATTAAAAAAATCCTGACGTAACAGAGTTGAGTTTGTTGTAACGGAGTTGTAACTCATATATTTTGTTATTGCTCTCTAGCATAAAATAACAACCTTTTCATCCCTTTTGAGATGAAATGTGAAAATACATGCACTGTGTTGTGTTACTTGTCAGGACTTTGGTACTCATGGTTTATGAGCCAGTTACTGCAGTAATGGCATACAAAAGTGGGTCTACTAAATTACTAATGTTCAACCCTTTGTATAGACGTTGAAATAAATAAGCACAAAGTTGCTTAAAATGCCATTTTAGATCACTATAATATATTATAAAACTTCAAGATCAAATTTCAGATCAATCATATCATCAACACTGTCAGAAAATATGTTGTTTATACATGCATAATGAAATTGCTTTCTGCAGCCAAAACACAATAGCCAGGCACTCCCATCAATGTAAAAGACAACAGTTCTGTCTTCAATAATTAGTCCACTGTCGGAAAGAGCGCTATCAATAGAATCAAATCCACATTTTGCACGGGTCCTAACATCTTGTTCATCCAAAACATCAGAGCAGTCTGAGTGACTATTTAAAAAAAAAGTTCTTACTCCAGACTGTGGGAAAATTATTTGTCAGGTATAGGGTTAAAATAAAATAAAATATTCGTGAAGAACAAAGCTATGTACTGACAATAACTATCGAAATTGTGCAGATGCACAAATTTTTCCTCTCCGTTACGCTGTACAGCATTACAGAGTTGAGTGTAACGGAGTTGAGAAACCTTACTATAAATGGCTTATATCCCAGCATGCTTTGCTTTTTATGGAAATTAAAATACTCACTGCTAACATGGTCTTGCTAACCAATTTCTCTTGGAAAAGTGAAGGAAATTAGAATGAGATATAGATCTATAGACAGTGTAACAGAGTTGAGGCTTAGAAAACATACTGTACTTAACAGACATATCTTGATGTCATTGGCTTGAACATTGTACATAAATGTGGCATCTATCTATCACCAGCAGATGAACTTCATACACATGTTGCCAAAAGAGGAAGCGTATGAGAGTTATCTCCCATAGCACAGTTATTTTTTTAGTATTGGTACGTTGTAACGGAGTTGAGTGCCTTTTGAGGGACATCTTTTTTTTCTTATTTATTTTTTTTTCAATTAGGTTTTAGATAATAATGATAGGATACATGTAATTAATGTTCATTTGAGAGTGTGAAAAACAAAATTTGTTACATTTTTAGAATATTTAGATATAGATTAGGTATTATTTTTTATTCTGGTCCAGCTGAGGGACAGCCATGTTTTTAGTAAATCCAGAAAATATTTGCTTATAAACAAACAAATATTAACTTGAAAGTACATTTTTTTAGCATTTTACATTTGAAGAAAGGTAATCTACTTGTGAATAGTCTTGAAAAGGAAATCAAATATTTTAAAATACATTTCTGCAAACAAACTACTGATGTACAGGTCAAGTGGGAAATTGTTACGGTGTTGAGATTTTCACCCAGTCGCCTTTTACGGCAAGTATGGGTTGTTGAAGACCTATTCTACCTCGGAATCTTCACGGGTGATTTCTAATGATACACATGAGGAATACTTGAACACTGCAAAGATAGATGCAGATGTATAAATGTCGATAGTAAGGTTGCAATACACATTTCAAACATATTTAATTAAATTTATGATTAATATATCTCGGGATGATAGGTTTTCGGACATCATATACGTTTACGGACGGCCATGTTTATCGCGCTAAACGGGGGGGGGGGGGGGGGGGGGGTGGGGGGCTGAAGAGAAAGTTGTCTTAAATAAGTGAATGAGATGTTTTACAGTTGTTCATGAGATTAGAGAGAAAACTATGTTTCTTAAATGTCCGAAAACCCACAACGCAGGGATAAGTGATAAATAAGTGTAAATATGTAACATGAGTGAGCATGATAATAATCATAACTATCACAAATGTGTATAACTGGTCTCACCTATGAGTAAGTAATGACAACTTCTAAGCCGCTGGAGACAATCGTGTTCACAGTAGCTGTCCCAACAGGCCAAGCTGTTGATCACGTGGATGGCCGGTTCCCAGTTTCGCCGTTCTGAGATGAATTCGTTCCAGGTGTGTCAGCCTTATTTATATGCAACCTTACCATTACGTGGCTGACGTGATCTGATAGGGATTTCCTATCATGCACTTCTCGGAACTTCCAACTTTCGGTTTCGCTTTGTTTAGCGACGATCCTGATATGCAATGTCAATATTTTCCTGGAAAATCCCACGTATTCTCGGCTAAAAATAGAAACACGTACTTGGACAGACGGCAACATGAGCTCAAACGAGAAAAAAACCAATTAAAGTAGTAGTTGCAGGAATGGATGTGTCCTAGGTCTAGGAAACAGAAAGAATAAACCAAGAAGAAAACTTGATCTAGGCAAGCCTTGCATGGTCGAGTGCTCTGTCATGTTGAGATTTTCGTCTGCTTGCTTTAAAGGGAAGTAACTCTTGTAGGTCAAGTCTAAACTGGTATCCGGTGTCAGAGAGTGGCATTTCCCCCCTAGCCTAATTTCCCCCGGAAAACTGGCTATATAGCCATACTTCCCACGGAAAGCACGCTATATGGCCATATTTCCCACCCGGAAAATACACTATATAGCCAATTTTCCGCTTTGGAGTCGGATTTTCCCCATAATTAAACATATGTCTATTATCAAAAGTACCTATACAGTTGGCTTATGGAGTAATTTACAAGAGAAACCATGATTAAAATCTTGTGCTTTTTTGCGCCATACATTCTTAATTTTAATAAATAGAGGATAGTTCATTTCGACAGTGAGATATGGCGGATCTGTCACTCGACAGATCAGATCAGCCTTTTATCACTGACGAAATGAAATGTTTTATTTATTATATATTTATTTAGTAGGGTATGTGTTGTTGTTTTTAATTTATATTTTGTTGTGTATTTGAGATAAATCAGCGAATCTAAAATCTTCCAACTGTCTTCAGTAACAATACGTCACATTGCTAGTTGAAACACACTTTGCTAGATGATTTCTATCAGGTCTGCACTGTAAACTTGAACGGCAGTCGTTTTCCTTAACATGGTTGCAGTGCCATATCACTTTTCTGTCATCGAGAATCCCCTGTCTCTCACTGCCAAGTATATTATAAAGTATATTTACAACGTATATAGCGCATATATCTGTGCGTGCTCATGGCGTTTCTTGCCACGATCAGAGGTCCGTATATTTTGCATTCCAGAACTTCCCAGCTACATGTGAAATATGCAACCAAAGCTGCCGGTCAGGCGCTAGAAGATTACCCATTCACATTACCATTACCACATTAACTCCTTGGTACCAATTTACTGTTTGTGGACAGAGGCATGCATGAACAAGATCACTTGCCAAAGGTGACGCCGCAAGTTTTTCAACTCGTGTTTCAGTGGAAGATATATACGTGAGTACTGTTTCCGTCATCTGTTCATTTACCAACTGATGAGCGGATTCTGTTTAGTGCACAGGGTTGTGAACTGCAGGCTATGCTTGCGACAACACTTTTAGGACCTGTCCTAATGTACAGAGTACGATTTCTCGACTCGCAACACGCTACAACCTTACGGGTACCACAAACGACCGTCCACGCACCGGAAGACCTCGAGTCACCACAGCAGCTCAGGATCGCTACATCCGGGTCCTCCATTTACGTGATCGTACTGTTACAGCTGAGCGCACAGCGGCCAGGGTATCGGATATCGAAGGATATCGGGGCAAACAGTACAGAAAAGACTGAGAGAGGTTGGACTGAGAGCCCGGAGACCCTACTTCGGGAACGTGTTATGACGTCAGCATCGCGTCCAACGTCTCCGCTGGTGCAATAACATGTCGGCCTTGAACTTACGAAACTGGAGGCGCATATGGTTCAGCGATGAATCTAGGTTTCTTCTACAGAGACGGGATGGACGAAACAGAGTTTACAGACGGGTCCATGAACGTTATGCGTGTACGTCAACCTCAAACTCTTTAGGAGTTAGCTACATTTCTTCAGCAGGAGTGGAGGAGAATTCCTCAACCAGTTATACAGCGTCAGATCCAGTCCATGAAGAGGCGGGTCCGAACTGTTATTCGTGCACGTGGTGGACATAACAGGTACTGACGCTTCTGTGGACGCTTCTTTAATAGTGCATATTGTGTTGCTTTATGTTATGCATGTATGTTCTGTGTGTATGTTTTTATGCCTGGAGTGTTATGTAAGTTTGCATGGAGTGCTATGTATGAGTGCAGATATATGTGTTGGTCTGTAATTGTATTGTTCGTAATGAGTGTATGTATACTCTTTTCACTTCAAATATAATCCAAATTTCCCTCGGGGTAATAAAGCTTTATTCTAAATAACACTAACGGGGTTCGAACCTGGGACCTCTTGCTCTTCAGCATGATAAAGGCAAGAAGTTCGCTTTTGCCATTGCTGTTTGATCAATGTTTGTTAAATGGTGCAGTAGGTTATGTTTTTTAAAACTGCATTGAAAAATCTGAGGGATATAGGGGAAATTCTGCTATATAGCCATACTTCCCCCTTGTGGTAAGGGGGGAAATCTGACTCTAAAGCGGAAATATGGCTATGTAGTCATTTTTCCCCGGGGAAAATTTAGCTATATAGCCCTTTTTCCGGGGGGAAATTAGGGTATATAGCCCCTTTTTCGGGGGGAATTTAGGCTAGGGGGGAAATCCCACTCTCTGACACCGGAACACGTTCGATCCGTTTTACAGCGGCAGAGTACCTGCTGTTTGCGATAATCTAAACACAACGTTTATATAGTGATTTAGACTCTATATCCCATACACTGATGTATATGCTTATAACTTTATACATTTTATTGTAATTTACAAAGGTGAAGCAAAACAATGTATGATCAGGCGTAGGATTACACGTAGTACATTTATGATTGAAGATTTTATCTCCACAAAGGAAAGTGATTTTTGCGTATCCCGTGATATCATAGAACCTATACAAAATGAAATCAGGTGTATAAAAGGGGTGTGTGTGGCTACCCAACGTAAAACCATACTCAATCAATCAAACAACAATGTCACCGGACCTCGCCACCCGGTCTATAGGACGACTGCCTCATTGTGCACCAAATCTAAAAAACGTCGTGTCTGTAGGGGTTGTATCGCAGACAGTTAATATATCTTACATGTTCTGCATGTTCCATTTACAGCGAACATTTCAGGAGTGAGTGAGTGAGTTGGTCTAACGCCGCGTTTGGAGAGTACTGAGTTACATCACGGCGTACCACCTTAGGGTGGAAAGCTAACCTCATTAAAATACATGTATATTCCTCCCATACGATAACGCTCTGTGAGGATCTTATAGGACACCCCGTGTGAGTCTAGCTCCTAAATGCTGAAGTTAATCCTTAATAATTGTAAATTCTTAAAACATATATACAGTAAACTACGGTTATAACGAACTCAAAGTTCGTTATAACCGTAGTTCGTTATAAGTACATATGCAGCATGACTACAGCAAGTAGTCGGGACCAAAAAGTAAGTTCGTTATATCCGTGAGTTCGTTATAGGCGTGTTCGTTATAACCGTAGTTTACTGTATATATTTTGTATGAGTTAAAATAAGGAATTGCATCAGTCACCATTTAGCTCAGTGATTTGTTAATTTCGGAAATGCCCTCCATTGTCTACCATAAAACGTTTTGAAAACTTAACTGAGGCCTTGAATTTTGTAACCTTGATCAAACAACTTTGGAGCAAGCGTTGCATGTCCCTCTTCCTAGAAACAGCATGCTCAATTGTACCTCACAAGTTGTGAAATGTAGACACCAAAGACTGGAGCTGCTGGAATATTGTTCGACATGAGGGGAAAGTTGAAGTCATCCTCTTGTCATACAGTCTTGTGGAGAATGCATAGATATAAATATGAAACAGATGAGGTCTTATTGGTCTCCTTTATTTTCTAGTTCAGGTGGGTAAATCAGTTGAAGGTAATTGGATACGGGATGGGAATTGAACGACATCTGATCATTGACACACCCGAAGCATTACTTAAACTTCTTGGCCAAATTCCCTTGTTTTGACTTTGCCAATCTGCGCAGAAATTACGATTTATATGAATAAAAAGAAACAGATCAGCAAGAAGGGGAGCATAATTGGTGCCGATTGCCTAAATGTCTTACCCCAACAACGTTACACAGATGTTATCAACGAGGAAGTCCAACACTTCACAGATTGTTTTCTCAGTATACTTCAGATGACATTTGCTTTCATGCTTGACAAATTGTCCCGTACCTCTGAAGACTGACTGACTGAGTATGGTTTTACGCCGCTTTTAGCAATATTCCAGCAATATAACGGCGGGGGACACCATAAATGGACTTCACACATTGTACCCATGTCGGGAATCGAACCCTGGTCTTCGGCGTGACGAGCGAACGCTTTAACCACTAGGCTACCCGACCGCCCCACACTTCTGAAGACAGATAATGTATCTGTGGTCACCATGATTAGTTTGTTTGTTTGTTGTTAAACGCCGCATTCAGCAATATTCCAGCGGTCCAATATATGACAGTTGTCGGAAGAGATTGGTTGGTTGGTTGGTTGGTTTGTTATTTAACGCTGCACTCAGCAATATTCCAGCTATATGGCGGCGGTCTGTAAATAATCAATATGGACCAGACAATCCAGTGACTGAGATCATGAGCTTCGATCTACGCAATTGAGATCGATGACATGCATCAACCAAGTCAGCGAGCCTGACCACCCGATCCGGTGGTTGACCCGTGAAGATCCTGGATAGAATAGGTCTTCAGGAAGCCATGCTTGCCGTTAAAAGACAACTATGCTTGTCGTAAGAGGCGACTAACGGAATCGTATGGTCAGGATGGCTGACTTGGATGATGCATGTCATGGTATCCCAGTTACGTGGATCGATGCTCATGATGTCAGTCCCTGGATTGTCTGGTCCAGACTCGGTTATTTACGAGATACCGCCTTTATATAGCTGGAATATTGCTGAGTGCGGCGATAAACAACAACAACAACAACAACATATAATGGCTATGTTTTTTGCGGGCTTTTCAGTGGCAACAACTACACACTTTTCATGGTGGGCAGCCAGACTTTGGATGACAGCTGACAGGGACAGAATGGGTGTATTCCAATTCTGCCTCTTTTTCAGTTTGTGCATTCTACCCATGACAGGGGACACGGATGGCCAAGTCGTCTAAGGCGCCGCGATTCGCTGTGCAGAGTTGCGTCCCTTGGACACGCCAGAAACCTATGACTGTGGGTTCGAATCCCGATTCGCCCCGATTATGTTTCTAGGTTTGTCAGCACAACACCCGTGCTCGTGGGTTTCACCGAAGTGTTAAACGTCTGAGACCTGCATCACTTCGGGCTTTCCTCCCACATTAAGCTGACACGCCGTGATATAACTGGAATACTGTTAAAAGCGGCGTTAAACCCAACTCACTCACTCACTACCCATGACAACACGCGCTGACGTAACCCACTCAGAAAGCCACTCAACAGTTTCCTCTTCTCTAGCTCTTGCTCCATCTTACGACAAAATCCATTATGGTGTGGACGTGAATCTGTACCATCTCGAATCAATGAATGACTGTTGAAATTTGGTGGGTTGACACTTAACTGATGGACACACGTGTTACTGATGGAGACACTTTTTGCTGATGGAGACACGTGTTACTGATAGAGACACGTGTTACTGATGGAGACACGTGTTACTGATGGAGACACGTGTTACTGATGGAGACACATGTTATTGATGGACACACGTGTTACTGATGGACATACTTGTTACTGATGGACACGTGTTACTGATTGACACGTGTTACTGATTGAGACACTTTTTGCTGACGGAGACACGTGTTATTGATGGAGACACGTGTTACTGATGGAGCCACGTGTTATTGATGGAGACACATGTTATTGATGGAGACACTCTTTGCTGACGGAGACACGTGTTATTGATGGAGACACGTGTTACTGATTGAGACACGTGTTATTGATGGAGACACGTGTTACTGATGGAGATACATGTTACTGATGGAGACACTTTTTGCTGACGGAGACACGTGTTATTGATGGAGACACGTGTTACTGATGGAGACACATGTTACTGATGGACACACGTGTTACTGATGGACAGGTGTTACTGATGGAGACACGTGTTACTAATGGACACGTGTAACTGATGGACACACGTGTCACTAATGGACACACCTGTAACGTTTACGCAACAGTGACTTTGGTGAACTACCCTCAGTTTTCCCCAAGGACATAGACACGTAATAATCATGATTTGTCAAAACCTTGATCCTTTCGTTACTACCATTCAGCACATCTGAATATTTGTCCGATATGTTGCCATACTTGGATATCCCTCAAGCGTCTTAACACTTTTGTAAATCTAAGTCAACCATCCATGACAGTTTGACCAGACAAACCAGTGGAAAACAGCTGGGTTCAAACACAGAAACAATCATCCACACAGCATTACCACCCCCATTTGTGCTAATACCACGAAGAAAAACATGTTTATGCCCCTTGTTTTGTCTCCAGGAACATAAGATCAACTGTCAATGAAACGAATAAGTTTATTTCTTATAGCAGACTAGTAACAGCCAGGAACACTGGAACAACAGTGAGTGAGGGAGGAAGGAAGGGAGGGTAATCACAACATGTGGACCAAGAATACTTCATATCGATTCTGGAATCAAGCGCCACAAGGTGATGTGCTTACCCAATTGCAGATAACCGTAGACACAATGTATTGCAGATAAGCCTAGACACAATGTATTGCAGATAAGCCTAGACACAATGTATTGCAGATAAGCCTAGACACAATGAATTGCAGATAAGCCTAGACACAATGTATTGCAGATTAGCCTAGACACAATGTATTGCAGATAAGCCTAGACACAATGTATTGCAGATAAGCCTAGACACAATGTATTGCAGATAAGCCTAGACACAATGAATTGCAGATAAGCCTAGACACAATGTATTGCAGATAAGCCTAGACACAATGTATTGCAGATAAGCCTAGACACAATGTATTGCAGATTAGCCTAGACACAATGTATTGCAGATAAGCCAAGACACAATGTATTGCAGATAAGCCTAGACACAATGTATTGCAGATAAGCCTAGACACAATGTATTGCAGATAAGCCTAGACACAATGTATTGCAGATAAGCCTAGACACAATGTATTGCAGATAAGCCTAGACACAATGTATTGCAGATAAGCCTAGACACAATGTATTGCAGATAAGCCTAGAAATATATTGCAGATAAGCCAAGACACAATGTATTGCAGATAAGCCTAGAAATGTATTGCAGATAAGCCTAGACACAATGTATTGCAGATAAGCCAAGACACAACGTATTGCAGATAAGTCAAGACACAACGTATCGCAGATATATATGCATAGAGTTTAATTTCATCACTACAAAAATTCAGTAAAACATATATCTTATACATCATTTATGTACACATTATGTAAATATACAGGCACTATATATAATGTAGTACATACATTATCACAGATATTATATATACATATAACATTAAATTAATCATAAGTTAGTATCACAGCAATAATTACAATTTTAATGAATGGAATTAAACAAACCTCACTTTGGGATGAGCAAATCCTACAAAACCTGAAATACTGATCTAGATTGTTAGGCCGCACCACATTAATTATTGGGGCCACAATATGATTTCGTCTCATGGAAAAGTCTCCTTATTCATTTCTGAAGGCGATATCAATACTGTGCAATAGCATTGATTGAGTGAGTGAGTTTGGTTTAACGCCGCTTTGGGCAATATTCCATAATGTATATGTCCACAGTTTCATATTAGGCATATAACCCACACACAAGATTCTGTGTAATAGAGACAGAGTTAAATAATCAGTCAGCAATACGTACATAACTAATTCGGAAGAGTTCCTCCAAGGCATATAGAGGATATTTCACGTGTCAATATCTCTTTTTCCCACGTCACGAGATGAGAGAAACATGATATTTCACTCGGCACATGAAATATCCTATTCATTATATACTTTTTGTGTAATTGTCTACCGGAAAATTAAATTATTTCATTACAAATATAATTGAAACGTAAATTCTCCCTACCTCATACACAGGGAAGGTTCACCAGCCCTTGTATTTGCGACATAAAAAGTAGTTTCGTGTTTGCAAAATCTTTAAAAATATAAACAAAAGTATCTAAAATTATTTAGTGTCAAGAAAATTCTTTATCATACATTTAGAAATGATTATATACAAAATCAACTTTAAGGAAAAATACAGGAAGCGAAAGAATATACCCGCTGGTCAAATAAAAAAATGGCGCTTTGCGAAACGAAGAGTCTTGATTGTCGAGTTAAATGAGAAATTTACAGTTTATAACGGAACATTTTCGAGAGAACAACAAACAGCAAGAAGTGATATTAGCTCCATAAATGACCATCTGTCATTATCATACTTTGCCAATGTGGAACTAACGTAAAAAGGACGTCAACAGTTTGTGTACGGGCATGACATTTACGCTAAAGGGAGACAATTTAAGGGGAGGTAACTCTTGTATGACAATAGTTCAGTTAATGTGTTATGTTCACTGCAATGAAAATATCTCTTTTCTCAACTTCAGAAAACTCAGTCTTTCACACTGAAGTTTATGATAAAATCCACATTTCATCAAATCCCTCACTGGGGAGTACATGGGCCATGCTTCCTCAGCATCTGTTGTACTCGAGGGTATCGTCTTGAGACATCGTCCTCGGCCTAAAGGGGCATTTCGTCCACTGTTTGAACTTCTGAGGTTCCTCCGTTCCATTGATGAGAAAGAGTACATGCTTTATTCCCAGGGTGTAGTACACCACTCCACTGACACGGATTCGACTTCCCAGTGTTTTCTGGCAGCCCTCGCACGAGATCCCGCCGTCCATAACCACGTCATCAAATTTGAGTGGGTTCCTGTTCCGACTCGGTCCATGACTGCGTATTTTTGATGTGAAATCTTTGTCGACGACTACATACTGGCTTCCATTGATCACTCTCATCATGTCACCGGTTGTTAGTTCTGCGCGGCAGTGTTCACAAATGATACGGTATTGCACATGTGTCGTCTGCCTTGCCTCAGCCTGTCTTTCTCGCTCCGAGATTTCAGCTGCTGCTAGGGCTTCCTGTTGGAACAGCCTAATTAGCTTTGAAACTCGGTCATAGGGTATTTGAGTGATGGTGTCAACGGCCTGTTTCATCAAATACTCTTTCACGTGGTTGCGATAATTTCTTTCTCGAACTTTGTCGTCTGCAAGATTTACGGTCTTTCCACCTACCTTCCTGCTTCGACCTTGAAAACATAAACAGTTTTAGAGGTAGAAAGTATTTCATACATACAGGCACAGACATGGACGCATACAGGCACATATAGAGGATATATCATGTGCCACGTGAAATATGTTTCTCTCATCGAGTGACGAGGGAACAGGAGATATTTTCAGGTCTAGCGTAGCTACGAGTGAAAATATCTCCTTCCCCCGCCACGAGATGAGAGAAACATGATCTTTCACGACGCACATGGAATACTAGTATATAGCCTATTTATTGTATACTTTTTGTGTAGCTGTCTACCGGGAAAAAAAATTCATTATAAAAGTAAACCCTTGAAACGTATATTCTCTCTACTTCACACGCAGGGGCGTTTCTCGACCCCTTGTAATTGCGACTTATAAAGTAGTTCCGAGTTTGCAAAATCTTATATAAACAAAAATATAAACAGAAGCAAAAATACATATTTGAGGTAACTTAAATTCTTTACCATACATTTGGATATGATTACATACAAAATCAACTTTAACAAAAGTATTCTTGGAAGCTACGAGACCACTGCTGGAAGCCAAGGAATACACGCTAGTCAAGTAACAGAAATGGCGCTTTGCGAAATAAACAGTCTTGATTGACAAGTTAAATGAGAAATTTACAGTTTATAATGAAACATTTTGAAGAGAATAACAAACGGCAAGAAGCGATATTAACTCCATAAATGACCATCAGTCATTATTTTGCCTTTTCAGTGTGGAACTAACGTAAAGAGGAAGTCAACAGTTTGTGTACGGGTCAGACACTTACGATTAAAGGGAGACAATTTGCGGGGAGGTAGCCCTTCTATGACAATAGTTCCAACAAAGCTATGTTCACTGCAGTGAAATATCAAGCGTCATGTTCACTGCAATGAATGAATAGGCTGGTAGTGCTACACCCGGGCACTCACCTCGAACCTGGACCGTTGTTATCTCGTTGCCGGTGTGGTTGTAGGCAACGATCACGTTGCATTCTGGGATGTCGATGCCTTCGTTGCCAACAGAAGTGGCCACAATCAACTTGATACTGCCTGACTTGAACTTGGACAGTACGTTGTCCTGCTGAGACTGCGTCATCCCTTGGGACAGAGATATGTCATTTTAAAGCTTTCAAGAAACATTGCTGCAGATATTCTTGAAACGTTGATAATTATTCTGACATCTGTAACAAAAGCTTTATGGAAACATGGAACGGTAATCGGTAATTAAAATTTCTACGTAAAATACAAATAATTTCAGTGAATGATAAACAACGTCATTGGAGCGAAGTGAAATATAAATATAAGTTTGTCTCAACTCAACCAGTCCTTTGGAGTTTTACCACAGGTCGGGTAGCCTAGTGGTTAAATCCGAAGACCTGGGTTCAATTCCCGACATGGGTACAATGTGTGAAGCCCATTTTTGGAATCCCCCGCCGTGATATCGCTGGAATATTGCTAAGAGAGGCATAAAACTACACTCACTCACTCACTTACCACCGATCTGTTCCCCTGCATTTGCTCCGGTGAAGAAACTAGCGTTCAGGTTCTTCAGAACGTCTGGGACATGGACGTCATTGTTCAGCCAGTCTGCCAGGGCTCCGCACGTGGCTCGAGTACGGGCAAATATTATGGCCCTGAAGTCCGAGGCGTCTTCCATAAGGCCGAGCAGAATATCAACCAGCTGGTTCAGTCTTGGGTTTTCATTTTCCTTGTCTCGCGTCCTCATCAGTTCACATCGCATCAGCTCTTTCTTTACCCCTGAAACATACATTGTTTCGACCTTTACGAGTGGTAAGTACTGTTACTGCCATATTATTCAGAAAACCCTGGGTAGCCCAGTGGTCAAGGCGGTCATCCTTGACGCTGAGACTCGGTTGCATTTCTCAATACGGTCAATGAACAGTAATCCAGTAATCACGGCATGCCAGATTAACATGGGAGGAAATATTCTTTATATTGTTAAAATTTCAGTTAAATACTTACAGAAGCAAGATGGTAAACATAACGGGGTTGACTCTCCAACCAAGCATAGCTTTAACCCTCCGCCAGGAAGGTTGTACCAGCTCTCTGTGGCATCCACAGTTATATTCAAGATATTGTTCATTTTTGTCTCTTGTAAAAAGAATTGCAATTAGTTTCTTGTGACTCCTACCCTTTGGTGACTAACTCCCCAAGAAAACCCACTCGCGTGATTTGGATTTTTTTTTTTTACGTTTTGAACACCAGAACCGAACTACAATTATAAAAGCCTGAATTGATGGGGGTCTTATATGTTTAACACTTTGGTGAAACACAATAGCACGGGTATGGTGCTAACAAACCTAGAAACATAATCTGGGCGAACCGGGATTCGAACCCCGTGTACATGTAGAGTCGTGATATGGCTGCCATACTGCTGACAGCCACTCGACATCCGGTCTGAAGCACAAGGCTCGCGACTGTAAACCCATTTAATGTCAAGACATTGCATTTATATTACTGTATTTAAAAAGTTATGTCATCGCATCGATTTTATTGAAACCTAGGAGAGGAAATATAATTTATTTGTTAAAAAACTTGTTTCACAACGGTCATGCTTCTTAATACTGTGAGTTTATTGTAAAAGAGCGATGAAATATATTGTTAATCTCCAACTCTGATGCCCCTGACGGCTAAAATAAGGGCCTCCTACGTCAGAACGGTGTGAAGTTCACACCTCAATCTGATAGGTTCTAAGTAACGTGTTATTAGAAAGATGGTAAATTAGACGGAACGAGGAGACATAATCTCTTATGGGCACTAACTTCTTTACTGTTTGTACCCATGATTCAGGGCTAGTTCTTCTCAGTCATCAGGGTCGCTATATCAGTGCAACAATCTTGAACTCTTGAATCGTTAACCCCCACTTTCCTTTTAACAGATTAAAATTTATTCACGTTTTCCAAGTTCGAAATGCCTATCTATGATTGTGTGTTCGAATCCTGGTTCCCCCCGATTATGTGTCTAGATTTGTCAGCACCATTCCCGTGCTCGTGGGTTTCACCGAAGTGGTAAACGTCTGAGACCTGCATCACTTCGGGCTTTCCTCCCACATTAAGCTGACACGCCGCGATATATCTGTAATACTGTTAAAAGCGGCGTTAAACCCAACTCACTCACTCACCCACTCTAAATGCCTATCAGAAAGTCTTCCAATGTCAACACATTTTTCGGTATTTGACATTTCGATTCACTACGTCTGAAATACCTATGCATCTGCATATGTGACTGTCCTCCTAGCCACACCCACTGTTGTCATTGGTTACCAGAAACTCTGTTGCCCTCTGACTAATGTAATATGCAAACTTCTATGTCTTTATGACATGTTTGGTTTATTTGTACATTGTTGGTATGGCTGAATGGCGCCCTGAGAAAAAAACATTCGCTCATTCACTCCCTAACGCACTTACTGCTGGCCTCGTTCTGGAGTTGCTGTTCATGGGCTGTCAGCAGGTTTACTCCATATATGGACAGCAGTTCATTGCTGATATAGTCAATGACGTCCTTGACCCGAACAAGGTCATTCAAGGTCAAGGCTACGTTGTATTTCTGAAATAGAATAAGCGGAAACAATTCTTTCACAGTGAATGACAAATCAACTAAATTCGAGAATTCGTTATTCACAAATTAAAAATAGCACGTATCCGTTACGTTTATGCCCCCATTTGTTTCAAGATGTTCATTTCAGGAAGAGGAGTGGAAAGTGGGTCAAAGTCAGAACAAATGCTAAATTCTATATTATACTATTTGCTGAAATTGATGAAGCAACGGCTTACGGGACCATTCGCCTAATTCCGTCAACTATATACATGGGTCGAGTGCATTCATGACCAACTCGCCGAGACAAGCTGAGATTGTGACCAGTGGAGATGAGTTGATTTGAAGTTACACGATCAACAGGTCTTCAATGATTTTATCTCATGCCATCAAGTTTATAAATACACTTACATACAGGTGGTCGGCAATGCTCGACAGGTTACGTATCATCTCGGTCTGCTCGGCATCGCCCTGTGTATTGACCTTGGTGGTGGCGGCCTTGAGATCGACCGTCCATTGGTTGTATGACTGGCTACCAAAATCTAATGGCGCCTCCCGCAGATATTTCCCAATGGTCTTGTTGTGCATTTCTGAAGTTAGTGTAAAGAAGATGAGTTTGGTCTGACCTCGCCCTAAATGAGTGAGTTGAGTTTAATGCCGCTTTTAACAGTATTACAGTTATATCGCGGCGTGTCAGCTTAATGTGGGAGGAAAGCCCGACGTGATGCAGGTCTCAGACGTTTACCACTACGGTGAAACCCACGAGCACGGGTATGGTGCTGACAAACCTAGAAACATAATCGGGGCGAACCGGGATTCGAACGCACAATCATAGGTTTCTGGCGTGCCCAAGGGACGTAACTCTGCCCAGCGAATCGCGACGCCTTAGACGACTGGGCCACCCGTCTCCCCTCGCCAGAAGAGGAACGTACCAGCATGGGTATGGTACTAACAAATTAAGGTCATAATCAGGGTACACCCAGGGAACCCACAATCATAGGATCTATGGCTAGATGGACCGTGAACACCATTTCTAAACTAGTGTAAGTCAGTGAATGAGTGTTGTTCACGCCGTTGTAAGCTATATTCCAGTAATATCCCGTTGGGGACCACCAGGAATAATTGGACTTCAAACATAGAAGCAGTGTGTGGAATGGAACCTGGGTTTTAGCGAGACCCGCGAACACTTTAACTACATGGCTACGCTTGGTTCAACACAGATCAATTTCATTGCAGCCCTAAATAATTGTTTGAACTCACCATGGACTATTGGCAGCGTGCCCTGGATCTTAGCCATGGCCTCTTCGATGACCTTCTTAGCCGGACTGTCCTTGTTTTCCCCCAGATGTATGGTCTCTGCAGCCGTAACAAAATATCGTCACAGAGTGAATGAGTGAGTTTTGGTTTTACGCCGCTTTAAGCAATATTCCAGCAATATCACGGCGGGGAACACCAGGAATGGGCTTCACACATTGTAGCCATGTGGGGAATCGAACCCGGGTTCTCGGCGTGACGAGCTAACGCTTTAACCACTAGGCTACCCGACCGCCCAATATAACGTCCCAGAAGAACCTAAGTCTGATTGTTGCAAACAGTCTGTGCTCATTACGTGTTGCTGACAATTTTGTTATATGAGTGAGTGAGTGGTTGGGTTTTGTTCAGCTCCGCTTTGAACAATATTTCAGTTTTTTCACCGCTTGATGTGGGAGGAAATCACAAAATGATGCAAGTCTTAGACGTCACCATTTTGGTGAAACAGACAAGCACGGATATGGTCCTGACAAACCTTGAAACATTATCAGGGAGAATCGGAATTCGCCTCCACGATTACAGGTCTCTGGCATGCCCAAGGGACGCAACTCTGCACAGATACTTGTGACTCCGAGGAAAACTGGGACACATGTTCCCCTTTCTTACAGGAAGCAATGCATACAATTAGGCTTACCCTCTTCTGCCACCGGGACGAGTCTGACTAGTTCCTCCCTGTTCCGCTGCACGGTGGAGATTATGGGTGGGTGAGGGTCCAGGTTGGCGCAGAGTCTGATGATGTTGTCGAGGGCCTCATCCTCTGTTGAGGCCTTCTCCACCCCAAGGGCAGCGGTCAAACCTACAATCTGCACCAATACATTCAAAAATAGATATTTGTAACTCACGGAATGAAGAACAAGTATCCAATCTACAGCTGTACCTCGAAATGGGTTTATCACTTAACTGACTGGCTGACTCACCTGAGGCAGGTGTTTTGCTCCGTCCTCCTTCTCACGGAGGTGTCTGATCATCAGCTTGTTGTAAGCCTCCCCCTTGCGGGTGTGATGACACTCGTCCAGGACAAGCAGACGACACAGGCCAGACAGACCCTTGATCTTCTCCTGCTTCAAGTGGTTCTCCAGGATCATCGGTGTCATCACTACGACGTCGTTAAACGGCAGGAGGAAATGGAGATTGACGCTGTCTTCGTCGCTGCCTCTCAGCTTCAACACCTACAGCAGTTACGGCATTTGTTTAACGATAAATGAACGTCGTTATTTGAATAGCGGGACAATAGGAAATTAAAATTAAAACTAGAGCAATGTCTATAATCCCTATATCTAGTCATATTTCAGAACAATCAGCGAATACGTACATGCTCACATCAAGAACTTTTCAGTTAACGTGTTCAGAAATATGTCAAAAAATTTGAGTTAACTGACAATGAAAGTTTTCAGTTTGATTTGATTTACATCAAAGGTTCTAGACTGCCATTGAGCCCGAGCCTCTTTAATTCGTAATTTAGAAATACGTCGTAATGGCGCGACTGGTTTTCGACTCTACCTTGTAAGCGTCACCTAGGTAACGTCTGACCTCCACGTGAATCTGATTAACAAGCGCGACAGTTGGTTCCAGGAATATAACTTTCCCTCCCTCTGAAAAGCGAAACAAGCATTGAGGAGTTAAAATGTTTTGCTGTCTTTTGACAACCCAAATACTCCTGACCCCGTTATAGTGCGAATACCCCGCCTTCCAGTCGGTTACACGTGAAGCCACCTCTTTAAAACTGATGACAGTTTGTTTGTTGTTTAATACCGCACTTAGCAATATTCCAACTATATGACCGCAGTCTGTAAATAATTGAGTCTGGACCAGACAATCCAGTGATTGACATCATGACCATCGATCAACGTAATTCGGATACGGTGACATACATTAACCAAGTCAGCGAGCCTGACCACCCGATCCAGTTAGTCGACTCTTATACGACAGGCATAGTCGCCTCTTACGACAAGCATAGTCGCCTCTTACGACAAGCATGGGTTGCTGAAGACCAATTCTAACCTGGATCTTCACGGGGCTGATGACAGTACAGCTATTAATGCATGGTGTGGTATTCCGGGCGATTTCTGGCTCCTTTGCATATGAACAATTGCGAAGCAAGTGAAACTCGAAACCGTCAAGAAAATTAGAATGCAAAATGATTGATGACAAATACATTTTCCCATGACTATATTCCCGACCTATGTTAAGTCTGAATACAATACTGCTGAATGTGTAATGCAAATTCAAAGACTGTTAACTGAGGATACCTCTCTCAAGGATGCATTTTGCGATGTACATGGCGACCAAAGTCTTCCCCGAGCCGGTGGGAGCGAAGATGATGCTGTTAAGACCTGCGACGGCACTGGCAGCAAGCTCCAGCTGGTACTCCCGCATCCGCACCCCCCGGGAGTAAATAACATCCTCCCCTTGGCCTGGTCAGATCAGAGGGAACGTGTATTAGGGTCTATCGGTCGGGGAATATCTCTCTCCCTCCCTCTCTCTCCCCTCCCTCCCTCCCCCCTCTCTCTCTCTCCCTCCCTCCCTCTCTCTCTCCCCTCCCTCCCTCCCCCCCCCCCCCCTCTCTCTCTCTCTCTCTCTCTTTCGTTATTCAGAATAGTTGAATAGTTTAATTTATTAGGGTCTATCGGTCGGGGAATATCTCTCTCTCTCCCCTCCCTCCCCTTCTCTCTCCCGCTCCCTCTCTCTCCCCTCCCTCCCTCTCTCTCTCCCCCCCCTCTCTCTCTCTCCTCCCTACCTCTCCCCCCCCCCCCCCCCTCTCTCTCTCTCTCTCTCTCTCGTTATTCAGAATAGTTGAATAGTTTAATTTATGTTATATTTTTATAGTCAGCCATGACAACAAACCTTCATCATCGCTTCCTGATTCCTCAGATGTGTCACTGCTTGGTCTATGCGATGAACTTGGCAGTATCCCTTTAATATAACATATTCACACGATATTAAGAATTGCAAAGGATGTAAATACATTTACAAAATGCTTTTTTGGTGTGTGTTTATCTATTACAACATAAAACGGGTAAACATGCTTATAACGAACTGACCGATATAATATATATATAATATAACAAAAATATTTTTTAGTTCCGACCATTTGTTGTATAAATGCTGTATATATGCCTAAACGAACTACGGTTATTACGAACTAAAATTAGTGGCCCCGTTGAGTTCGTTATAACCGTAGATAACTGTACAATGACATTGATGGTCAGTTTGTAGACAACAGTTTATTGTAGTGATATCTGGTATTTGTTACCTTTCCTCAGTGTTTGCTCCCCCAAACCAGTTTCTGCCAGTTCCGGGATGGTTGTTGAAATCAAATCTGTAAACATATCGCAGTATACATATTACACTTGTGCCACGGGCACTGTAGCTCACCTGAATATGAAGTCAACAGTTTAAACTGTCAACAAAGACAGACACTTATAACAAATCGCTGTCATCATTGACATTCAAGGATGTTTGCATGATTACTGAGGACCATAAACCAACATAAAAATCCTACGATTTGGACAGAATGTGATTTCATCATAAGGAGAAACATGCAAGTTCAGCTTCCTCAATGTCAGAGGAGAGGAATGTTACAGAGCCGATATGCTTTTGAGAGAATATAAATTTGTTTGTTTGTTGTTGAACGCCGCAGTCATATGACGGCGGTCTGTAAATAATCGAGTCTGGACCTGACAATCCAATGATTGACATCATGGGCATCGATCCACGCAATTGGGATATACTGACATGCATCAACCAAGTCAGCGAGCCTGACCATCCAATCCCGTTAGTCGCCTCTTACGACAAGCATAGTCCCTTTTTACGGCAAGCATGGGTCGCTGAAAACCTATTCTACCCCGGATCTTCACGGGTCGAGAGAATTTAAGAGTATGGTTAAAACAATGTCATAATTAAAAATGGAAACTGCATGTTGAGCCACCTCTACTAACTACACATGTACCGAATTCCATTCCATTTTGAAAACAAACGGCTGACTAATGTCCATACTTAGCTTTTTCAATATGGTTTTAAGGTGACCATTTAGAAAATCAGGATTCGATCATGGTCAAAGTTTAAAGGTCAAATCAAGGTCAACATTTAAATATGAAAAAGGAGAATACGAGTCGAGACCCACTACTTCCTACATATATAGATATTAAATTTCATAACATTTTGAACTGAAATAGCTTCGTAATGATTATAAGAAATTTCAGATTTCCGTGTGGTCGAAATGCAAAGGTCAAAATTCAAGATATGGCAACAACAAAAAAAAACCGAACATATATGTTGAGCCCAACTACTAACTGCACTCCATTTCATCCATTTTGAAAGTTTTTGTCTGAGTTATGGTCATAAGTAGGTTTTTTAATGGGGTTGCAACAGCGGCCATATCGGATATCGGATTTGAACCATTGGTGGGAACCAGCATGTGAAGTTTTAGCTTCATTGGTCCAGTGGCTACAGAGATGTTTACATCGACGACAGACAAACAGACCACGACATAAACTCACTTGACTTCGAAGCACCTGAGCTAAAGACTGGGAAAAAGCGAGAGTGAGTCGCAGCCATATCACAGGATTTTTGTGTACATTACAGTAAACTACGGTTATAACGAACTAAAAGGGATCACTGATTTTAGTTCGTTATAACCGTAGTTCGTTATAGGTACATATACAGCCTATATGCAGCAAAAGGACGGGGCCCCAAAACAGTTCGTAATATTCGTCAGTTCGGTATAAGCGTGTTTGTTATCAACGTAGTTTACTGTATACCCATACTTCTTGGAGAAGGGAACCCATATCTTAGGAGTGTGAACAGAAATGTCAGCCCCATAACCCTCGGAGAATGGAACCTGGGTCTTGGACGTGACCAGCAAACGTTAGCCCTATAACACTTGGAGAATGGAACCTGGGTCTTGGACGTGACCAACAAACGTCAGCCCCATAACTTTAGAGAATGGAACCCGGGTCTTTGACGTGACCAACAATCGTCAGCCCCATAACACTTGGAGAATGGAACCTGGGTCTTGGACGTGACCAACAAACGTCAGCCCCATAACACTTGGAGAATGGAACCTGGGTCTTGGACGTGACCAGCAAACGTTAGCCCTATAACCCTTGCAGAATGGAATCTGGGTCTTGGACGTGACCAACAAACGTCAGCCCGATAACCTTAAGAGAATGGAACCCGGGTCAACCTATCATCTTGAAATTTCAAGAAAAAAATACAAATACAAATGGCCATAAAAAGCTTCCGTATAAAACTGATCCTAGAGACACAAGATTCATATGGATTTGGACCTCTATATTCTATATCGACAACGTATCCAGGTAACGTCTTGCCTACGACAATGGCCCGCGATATGAAATTGATCCAACCAGAACACAACGACACTCATTGATGTGCATACATATTCAAATATATGTTAAAGCAGATCAATACGTATTGTACAAGTATCATCCGTACTGAACCCTTCTCGGAGACGTTTTTCTTTATTGTTTTATTTATCTGAAACAGATGTTTGTGTTAATCATCAGTAGGGCGGCGTTGATATTCAAACTGTTAAAAAGTGACAACAATATTTTTACAGACTTCAGAGAAATGATGTCTTACCTCTGTGATGACGTGATGTCGCCGGGGTGGAGTTGTCGGCGTCGAGGGAACATTCCCGTGGGATGTCCGCCCCGACGATGGGGCCTGCAGACCGTGGGCGGAGAGATAACAGTTGGTCCCGGCTATATCTGGCCACTCCCCCCTTCCCGTCCTGGGGGTCGACCTCACGCTCTGGCTGGCTCTGGGTGAACAGGGTGAGTGAGTGAGTGAGTGAGTGAGTGAGTGGGTGGGTGGGTGTTTGGGTGGGTGGGCGAGTGAGTGAGAATTTACGCCAATTTACCATCAATCTGGCATAGCACTTCTCTCGACTGAAAAGATGTGTAGCTTAAAACAACACTTCTGGCGTTTTTTGGCGGTAGAAAGTATCATAAACACTTCTGCGAAATAAATTGTCACAAACCTACTACAGCAAACAAATTAAGGTGAGTATGAAAGGTTAATAGTATCCTGTCGTTATAGATACATCAAGGCGAGACGAAATGTGGTTTAACGTCGCGTTCAAGGTTATTGCGTTGTGTGTGTGTGTGTGTGTGTGTGTGTGTGTGTGTGTGTGGCTACTTCTACTAGCCCTGTGAGATACCATGCCGCAGTTTAACATGGATACACCAGTCTGACACAGTATACGGGCTCCCAGCAGACCAGTACTTGTTTTATTTCCTTAGTGCCGAGAAACAGACAGGGTAACAACAAGTACAATATTTGAACCGATTTTGGTATGAGGCGGCCGGGAATCGAACCCCGGACCTTCAGCTCCCCAGACGCTCTATCCGATACACCACGGAGGCGGTCAGCTTACATGGAGGAACCAAACATACGTTGCACACCTTTAATAGGAGCCTTGTCAGCAGGGTCTTGTCCACACACACACGCAGGCACACGCACACACACACACGCACACGCGCGCGCGCACACACACACACACACACACACACACACACACACACACACACACACACACACACACACACGAAAGTAAATAATTAACAAATGAATATTAACAAATGCATGGATTAAGTAAATCAAGTGAAGGTACATGTATTATAGGCATTATTATAGGCATAAAAGTGTAATATACATTTAGATAATTAGCAAGTAATTAAAGTAATTAATAAGCATTAAGATACTTAAAGTAATTAATAAGCATTAAGATACATTCTGATTCTATAAAAGATCAAGAGGGAGAGTTGGGGTCGGTAAGTCGGGAATAGGTAAATGTATAAAACAGGCAGCTCTGGTTACTTGAAGACTACGGGAGCATGCCGGGCCACGAGGATCCAGGGACGAGGGCAGTAGGTCGAGGGTTATACATGAACGAAATATAATTAACAGATGAGAAATAGATAAAAGGGAAAAATAGAGTTGGGAGGTACGGGAACGTCAGGGACTTTGGACATATATGGTCTGAGGGGGGAAAATAGTCCGAATTCCAAGGGGTAAGAAGTTACATGATAGCAAGTCCGAATAAGGTTCTGGTTATTAGAGAAGAGTGGGGAAGAACGACCTAAGGTAAGGGGGGAAAGGTGTTTGACCAATGAAATAGGAAAAAATGGGTAAAACCTTGACGTAAGCTGGGGGTAAAAAGGACGGGGAGACCCAAGGTTCGGGGAGACTGGAGGATCCCAATTGAGCACCACGATCTCGACCTTACTCTGAAAAACACCAGTTTACACCTCCAGTATTTCGGCCAGGACTGAAGCTTTGCGGCTAAAGTCCTTAAACCATCGTGACCAGAAGTTGTTGATCAATCATTAGTGATTGAATAAATAGTCATCAACGAAAGAAACTCTTTGTGCTCATTGGGAGAACTACGGTAATTCATCCAAGGCCCTCGGGTACTGACCTTGTACCTCTCGTAACATCCCAGTCTGACAGCACCAAGAACGAGGGGATTACCGTAGTACAGGTGAGGAGGTAACGACTGTTACCCTCCGGTTAATTAACACCAATTAACACCTGTAATTAAGGGGTGAAAAGTACCTTGGATACATGTAGGTATCGATCTCACAAACACAGGGGTTGTCTTTGCCACACTTAAGATCTACTTAATTTAGTTGTAAATTTTAATAACGACTGCAGTTTCAAACATTAAATAACTTACATTTTCTTCCAGAGTGTCTGGATCCGGGTAGGATACACTATCGGTGTCAGACTGGGAATCTGTAAGTAGTAGTTATAAGGAAGAGAATTTATGGATGTCAACTTCTTTATTATAAGAAACACAACGTTTCGGAGTATATGCTTACTCCTTCATCAGGTGAATGAGTAAGCATGTACTCCGAAACGTTGTGTTCCTCATAATAATTTGTTTGTATTTGTTTGTTGTTGAACGCCGCACTCAGCAATATTCCAGCTATATGACAGCGGCCTTTAAATAATCCGAGTCTGGACCAGACAATCCAGTGATTGACATCATGAGCATCGATCCACACAATTGGGATACGATGACATACATCAACCAAGTCACCGAGCCTGACCACCCGATCCCGTTAGTCGCCTCTTATGTACAAGCATAGTCGCCTTTTACGGCAAGCATAGGTTGCTGAAGACCTATTCTGACCCGGATCTTCACGGGTCTCTTCATAATAAAGAAGTTGACATCAATAAATTCTCCTCCGTATATGTATCACTTCTAAATGCCTTTCAAAGGCTTGAGTAGTAGTTATATTAAGTACAGATATCAAAGAAATTACCTGGCCAACAAGAACAGATTTAGAGCTAAGCACAAGGAGACAGGTCACATATTATGTTCATTTAATTGTGTCTTGGCCTTACAAACTCACCGAAGTCACTTTCATCTTCATCATCATCACCCTCATCATCTTCATCGTCATCGTCATCATCAACGCCTACATCTGAACGATCATAAAATTAAACAAAACTCATTTTAATCTTCGGTTCATTGGCAATATGCGTGAGTGTTCTCGTTAATAATGGTTTCAGTGAATGGTATTGTCACGAACAGCTTGTGCTGCTACCTGTACCACCTTTTCATTTTATTTTCATTTGTTTGTTGTTTAACGCCACACTCAGCAATATTCCAGCCATATGCCGGCGGTCTGTAAATAATCGAGTCCAGACAATCCAGTGATCGATATCATGAGCATCAATCCACGCAAATGGGATTCGATGACATGAATATATCAAGTCAGTGAGTCTGGCCATCCTATCCCGTTTGTTGCCTTTTACGTCAAGCATGGGTTGCTGAAGACCTATTCTACCCCGGATCTTCACGGGTCACTGCTACCACTGTTACTAGTACTACACTGATGCATACCCCGCCCCTAAAGGAATCCTGCTACATACGTGGGTCGGGTACATACGTGTCTGTATTGCAAGACTATTAGTAACACGTGAACTGCTCCCAAAATAATAGGGGACACGCATGGGCGGATACAGAGTGGGGGATGCACACACACACACACACACACACACACACACACACACACACACACACACACACACACACACCTTTATTTCGAAAAAAATCTTTATTTCTGTATAAATTACCACAATAAATAGACAATAAGACAATAAATAGATCTTAATTGTGCACCCGCCCCCCTTTCAAAAGAGCTGTATCCGCCCATGACACGGATGGCAGCATTTCGTCGTGCAGAGTTGCGTCCCTCTTCACGACGGAAACCTATGATTGTTGGTTCGAATCCCAGTTTTACCCAATCATGTTTCTAGGTTTGTCAGCACCGTACCTGTGCTCGAGGGTTTCACCAATGTGGTAAACGTCTGAGACCTGCATCACTAATCTGTGACTTATGCATCGCGATATAACGGGAATACTGTTCAAAGCGGTGTTAAACCCAACTCACACACGTCTAACAGACGGACATTGCTTCGCGGATTATTGTGCATTCATCTATCTCAAAATACACCGCGGTTGAAGGACGGTGCTGCACCCACCATGAGCCAAGTCAGGGTGTATTTTCCTCAGCAACTGACCGCCATACGCGTTGTACAGAGCGTCCAGGAAGTAGGAGGCCCAGCGTGGAGTCTTCCTCTGGATAGCTAGGAACAAGTCCTGGCAGGCTTCCTGGATACTTCGTTCCCTCTCCGTGTTGCGTATCAGCTCGTAGTCTCTGTCACTGAGTATTGGCTTCAGGTAATCAATGATCTCTGTTGGAATGATCTTGTCCTTCAAATCGCCCTGGAGCCAGAGAATCAACAGTTCATATTTGGCAGACGTTCTGTTTCTGTCTTGCGGGCCTTTGCTGTCCTCGAGGATGTCCGTGAAGTGTTCAAACCCTGCAACATGCATGAAGACGTGAGACGCCGCAGTGTCAACAGCCGTAGTCGCCACGGTGTCAGCTACATTGAACCAAATCAAGTGTTATAAGTTTCTTTTAATGACAATTCAACGAGTTAGCTCCCTTACGAAATTAATCTTTGTTTTGTGTGTCAGTCAAATTTATGTTATTGACATAGTATAGCCAGAAGCAGACCACCCTCAGTTTACCACCCTCAGTCTAGGCATGACATCGAATGTCGCTACAGCACTGGCAGGTCACGTGGTCTTCTCCCTACCTGCTTCCTTGAGGGCATATATAAACATGGAGACGTGGGCTTCTGGGTCAGCCAGAACAGCATCTAACAGCTGTTTGACCGCTTCTTGTCGCTCCAGACGCTGGTAAGCCTGAATCCTTTCCTTGATTTTAGCTGGAATAAAGTTACGTGACTCCTTTGAGTCATCTGATATCAAAATCTAAAAAAAATATAAAAATAATCTTAAGAAAAAACCGACAGAGGTCAATTTCATTACATTCAGATCTTTGACTCCTATGCAATACCTGCGTTAAGATCTGAGGACACTTTTTTTTTGTAGAAGGTCGCGTCAGGACTACACAGCCAATCTAGACAATTTTGTTTGTTGTTTAACGCAGCACTCGGCAATATTCTAGCTATATGACGGCGGTCTGTAAATAATCGAGTCAGGACCAGACAGTCCAGTGATTGATATCATGAGCATCGATCCACGCAATTGGGATACGATGACATGCATCAACCAAGTCAGCGAGCCTGACCACTTGATCCAGTTAGTCGCCTCTTACCACAAGCATTGTCAACTTTTACGGCAAGCATGGGTTGCTCAAGACCTATTTTACACCAGATCTTCATGGGTACCAATCCAAACAAAGGCTATGTAGGCTCTTGAGCCAAATCAGTTACAAATGAAGTGAGTGAGTGAGTTTGGTTTAACGCCGGTTTTAACAGTATTCCAGTCATATCACGGCGTGTCAGCTTAATGTGGGAGGAAAGCCCGAAGTGATGCAGGTCTCAGACGTTTACCACTTCGGTGAAACCAACGAGCACGGGTATGCTGCTGACAAACCTAGAAACATAATCGGGGCGAACCGGGATTCGAACCCACAATCATAGGTTTCTGGCGTGCCCAAGGGACGCAACTCCACAAATGAAACACCACATAGAACACAAATATTCCTTCGATGGTACACCTTGTGGGTTGTAGATGCACGCGGCTCAGCGAGGACAGAATATGTGTAATATCCACAACAATATTATGGCGCCGCTCTACATCGTTTCAACGCATACATATATTATATATGATAATTTTAATGCTACGATCACTCGAAACGAAAATTGTGAAGTCTCGACGCTTGAATTTAGAAACCTTGACGCATGAATTTAGAAGTCTCGACGCATGAAATTAGAAACCTTGACGCATGAATTTAGAAGCATCGACGCTGAGTGGCTGATACGATTGTGTCTTCAGATCTTCACGTAGAGAGGTATCGTATATCAGATTGAACCATATACGTGATTTCCGTCACTAACACCCGTTTTAAATCAGTATTGTCATACCCGAAACATGGAGTCCGCTAATTACAGAAATTAGGTCAAGATGACCTAATTCTGTTAACACTGGTGATTCCGTCACTAGGACAATCTACTGGACCCACAGGGGTGGTAGGCCTGTTTTCAGCCAAGGGGTTAAGGTATTTGCTTAACATGTGGAAAACCTTGCATGAGGCCCAGCCTTTCTATCCCTGTCGGGAATGTTGATTTAAGCAACGTAACCCTATACTGAAAACGGGGCGGTCGGGTAGCCTAGTGGTTAAAGCGTTCGCTCGTCACGCCGAAGACCCGGGTTCGATTCCCGACATGGGTACAATGTGTGAAGCCCATTTCTGGTGTCCCCCGCCGTGATATTGCTGGAATATTGCTAAAAGCGGCGTAAAACCATACTCACTCACTCACTCACTCACTATACTGAAAACGAACAGGGCCCGGAAACCATTCATACCAGCCAGTATTAGTCTTTTAAATGTTTATCTCATCCTACCATTATACCATTCACTAAAGTTTACTGTTGCTGTGATATAAATACATATACTGCTGTGGATATATAATATGTCCATCATCCACAATCTTAGTAATTGAAAAGTACATTCCTCCAGTAGATGTCAAGTTGACTGGGTTTTGCTACACATGTAATAAATGTTCTTTTAATTTATAGAAATGCCTTGTTATACAGCTATTTTCATTGTGTGTTTTTTTAAAGTTAGCTGCATCTGTACAGTTATTATGTTTTAGTGAACAGTGAGAAACTTTTAACATTTTTTCCGTAGGTTGAAGAAAATAAGCTGAGCCCCTAGAAATTAAGACCCCCTCCCTTCTTAAATATCAAATATCAGGGTGTAAAGATGAGCTACTCACGGTGTATATTCATGTTATCCAGGATTGTCGATGGGTCGAGATATGTCTCAAAGGTGTCCCTGCACATCTGAATCAATTCAATCTGATATTCCAGGGTGTCCTTCGCGCTTCCCTGGTCGCTGGTGGCCATCTTGCTGAGCAAATAATCACAATAAGCATATAATTAATGTAATACTAATTAAAAAACGTTATTTAATCCAAAGCAAACAAGTGACAAGCCATGATTGTATACGTGTTTACATAGCGCCAAGGTAAGTTTGTAATGCTAACGCCATGACGCATGAATCACCTTTGATCTATGTAAAATAACCGACCAAGGAGAACCTGAACGGTAACATACATACCTTAGTCCCGAACCACCGCTGTAGAATATACATGTATTTTATGAAAACAAATCCTAGAAGAGCAGATCCAGACAGATCTATTCCACTATGACATCAGAAAAACATACCAAAGGCGATCAATGTATTGCGTACTGAAAGATTCCATAGACTATATACTAGTATATGCCCACCTAGGAGAAACGTGCAACAAGTCGTTGAGATAAAGGCCGACTAGGGACTGAAGGCAAATGCACACTGTATTCTCTGGTAAACGTTACCCAGAAAACGCCTGTGTGCAGTTTTCCTTTCGTCAAAGCAGCCACTCCTTTCAGTCCTGCCAATGTTATCGAAATTCTAGGAAAATCCGATAGTTCTAAAAATAGCCACATGTGTTTTCCGAACTATAAATAGCATCATCGTGGCTGACAGTCAGGGCGCACTGACATTTGAGTTATTTGATGATTTTAGTTCCGCTTCAATTAAATATCCAAACATATTTGCGTAAAGAAAACGATAACTACTTCTGGTTTATTTCAAATGACGACATTTCGATGTGGATTCTTACGCCGTTGTTAAGCTGGAGTGACAAGAACCAAGTGATGAGAGGTATATACGCATGACATGTTGTGATTAGGTGTTAACATTGACAATAGCATGTAATATATAGATAACAAGTTGCACACAGATAGTTGGCTGAAGCCAGACGTACAGCAAGAATAACAAATAGCACACAGGTTTGTTTTGCTTGATTGTTGTTTAACGCCGCACTCAGCAATATTCCAGCTATATGACGGCAGTCTGTAAATAATCGAGTTTGGACCAGACAATCCAGTCATCGATATATGAGCATCGATCCACGCAACTGGGATACGATGACATGCGTCAGCGAGCCTGACCACCCGATCCCGTTAGTCGCCTCTTACGACAAGCATAGTGACAATGACAATGACAATGACAAATTGTTTATTTTTGTCTCATCGGAGATACAGGTTATAGGCACATACATTATTATAAAAGTACACTATAAAGTATCTCTGCCACCCACGATGTGGGTTATAAGAGACCATACATAATACATAGTAAAACAAATTGAGTAAAAACATATAAAAAGCAATATAAATATATATGGTGTTATTGGTAGTGAGAATTTCTTCGGACAGCCATTTTGTAGCACATACTACCTAGTGTTGAAATAATATTATAATCATTTAAAATATATACAAGCTCAATATAGTTATTTAAGTTGCCATTTGTGGGGTTAAATACTTGTGGACGAGAAAGTGAGTTTCATCTTCTACACATCCAGGGCAATATTTACAAAAACGTTGGTTAACTGGCACAGGAGGATTAGAATAACGTCTCAATTCAATCTCGAGCTTCATTGAACCGCATCTTAAAGATGATAAAACCGACCTTTTATAACGGGGAAGGGGGACATAAGGCTCTGTATAAATAGCTGTTTTAAATGTTCTGTAGGTTCTCATTTTCGGTTTAGTTTCCAATGATGGAAGCCAGGTGTCATTATCATTGGACTTGAATGAAAGTTCTATCCTAGATAAAACCCATCTTGCACTCTTTTCATTACATCTTAAAATATCTAAAAGTCCATATTTGTCAAAAATTCGTTGAACTCTTTTATCCCATGAATTACCACACTGTAAGGACCATTTGTGTATCTTATATGTAAGACTCTGTACGGGAAGACGTTCAAGCTTGCACCACAGACGAGCTGTTTCTAAGTAAAGTTTCAACTGTGGGTCAGTCCATCCCATGTCGCCCCGCACAGCGAGATTGCATTGCCTTGTACGGCAAGCATGGGTTTCTGAAGACCTATTCTATGCCGGATCTTCACAGCACACAGATAATCAAGTGATGACGAAATTTGGAGAAAAAAAATATCTTAATTGTTTTAACCGTACACATATCGTAACACAAACAACAGGTTTTCGTTTCTGTGCTCATTCTTCAAACCATAAATATTTTATATTTCTGTGTTAATATGATTTTAAATTTTGCCCACCTACCTTACTTTTATTTTTACAAATATCTGTAAACAAACTGAGTAGAAAAAGGATTACTCTGTATAATTTAACTGTAGAGTAGCATGGATATATGTCACACAAAGTGAATTTGTTCATTACAGTGGTAGACACTAAGCAAAACCTTTTTTTAAAAAAAAAAACACACAAAAACACGATTAATCCACTTGCGTGTTTTATCGAGGAAAACTAGTCAATAGACATGATGCCGTAAGTTGCAGAGCACCTCAGTATAAAGAGTCATGTGATTCGCGGTAACCACGTGACAGTCCAAGATGGCGGGCGACACACACGATCCGGATAGGCAGACTATCTCGTCGAAAACGATTACAGATATTCATTACAGACCCTTGATGCAACCAGAATACACACTGTACGCTCGAAGATGGTACATCGTCCTAGTTGTGTGTGTTGTCAGCATGGCGAACGCCTTGGTGAGAAAATATACCGTTTTATAACATCCCTTCTAAGTATTAATCAAATGTTTCTCCTTGGTTGTCAGGAAGTGGTAATGTCGGAGTCGGCTGATAGCAAGCCAAGATCTTATGGGTCACTCTTCAGCTTGATCGGCAGTGTAGAAAATAGCAGCATGACAACACAAGTGTGTTGAACATCTCAGGATTTATGTTGTAGTCATAATTATTTCGCAATTTGACATCGAGTCAACAAACTATTAATACCCACGATAAGTTTGTGATTATTATGATTATACGTATGAATGTATGTAAATATTTTGAACAATCTCTGTCCCTCTATCAAATGTTGAGGTGTATATCTATGTCAACAGCCTTCACCTATCTTTCACCATCAATGTCCATGAGTCACACCACCTGGACATCTGCTGTGGGACAAGAGCAATGCAGTTGTGTAAATCAGTACCACTGGATTCCCCCTGAACCCACTCCACACACAATGTTTTTTTCTGAAACAGCAAACATGGCAAAGGCAGCACCACAGTCAGGGAGTTGTTGTCATGGATCAACTCCGGCTCGTGGTATAAAACCTAATGCGGGATGCATAAAACCCCATGAAACATGATCCTGCTACAACTTAATATGTAACATCAATATGTAAATATTGCAAAAAATGGAGTTTAGCTGCTAAATATATAAGGTTCATTATCAAAATATATAATCTTATTATGTCAGTAATCTCTATCTTTCATAAAGTTTGACATAGCCCTTAACTTTCATCCCTAATATTTCAGTTTGGAACCAAATTAACATATCATCAAACATTTGCCTTGTCAGTGCTTTATTTTCTTGTGGTGGAGTGGTATGTAGTCAGAAATTGTTGAAATATCACTCTCAATAGACACCGATTGCACTTTTCAGTGACCATATTTCAGATTTTATGTCATATGTATACATGAGTTTTTAATGTTGTTATTTTGCTATTATGATTAGAATCTTTAAAAGAAACATCAGATATTAAAGTAAAATTCTTTCTCTTTTCTAGGCAGAGGTAAAATATTAGTTTTACAATAATACACCGAAAGAAATATTGTATTTATTTTTATTTCTGCAAATGATCGGTAACTTTAATGGTTACACAAAGGACAATAGATTTCCACTGATTCTCCAGTATATTTGAAATATTTCAAAATTATGTTTCTTTGTGTTTGCATAATTTACCCAACTATTTATAAAATTTGTAGGTTTCCTATTAAATCACTAAAAGTTTGAATTTTGATAATGACCCAAAAACAAAACAAAACTAATGGGTTTTAAAAAATGGTGGTGAACTGTCAAAAAACATGAAAAAAATGGTATGTAATGTTGCAACCTTATGACAAAGAAGGGGATATAAACTGGGTGTCAGTTGTAAGAAATATTGTGTTTTTGTATGGATGGCACAAGAAGTTGGTGATGTTAAGTTGGCATGTCAGTATTTATTCAAAGACTGTGATAGAAGTTCTGTATGTACCAGAATGGACATCCAGGATCAATAATAGTTCTACTTTAGAAACATATTGTAGCTGGAATATTGGTGAGTTATAAAGTTAGTTATAAAACTCAGTGCTGTAATGGACCCATGAAGATCTGGGGTAGAATGATCTTCAGCAACACATTCTTGCCGTAAGAGGCAACTATGCTTGTCGTAAGTAGCGACTAACAGGATTGGGTGGTCAGGTTTGCTGACTTGGTTGATGCATGTCATCGTATCCTTATTGCCTAGACTGGTGCTCATGATATCAATCACTGGATTGTCTGGTCCAGATTATTTACAGACTGCCGTCATATAGCTGAAATTTCGTTGGGTGCGGTATTAAACAATAAACAAACAATAATACACTTGTGTGCTATTTGTTATTCTTACTGTAAGTGACAGCCAATGGGTCCTGTGGTAGAGTGTCCGCCCAGAGAGCGGAAGGTCAGGAGTTCGATCCCCGGCCGTGTCATACCAAAAGACGTTAAAAGATGGTACTTGTTGTTACCCTGTCTGGCACTCGGCATTAAGGGGCTAAAACAAGGACTGGTTGGCTCAGAGTCAGTATACTGTGTCTGAGTGGGGTATTCATGTTAAACTGTGGCATGGTATCGCAGTGAGCTGGCACTATAAATCGGCATCAGTCCAGACTCGTACAAGCTGCCACACACACACACGTGCATGCACGTCGCTATGTAAGTGCAATAATCTTGGATGCGACATTAAACCCAATTTCACCTCACCTCTTACTGTAAGTCTGGCTTCAGGCAACCAACTGTGTGTAACTTGTCATTACCGTCCCTGTGCTCGTGGGTTTCACCAAAGAGGTAAACGTCTGAGACCTGCATCACTTCAGGCTTTCCCCCCACATCAAGCTGACACACTATAACTTGAATACTGTTAAAAGCGGTGTTAAACCCAACTCTCTCACTCATTGTTATCTATGTATATTACCTGTTATTGTTGTCGTGATATCAATCCCTGGATTGTCTGGTCAAGAATCAATTATTTTTTAACAAATTCAGTACTGTTATCCTAGTGATATGGCATTAAGTTAAGATAAGTCATGAATGTAATAAATGTTCCTTTCAGATCTGGATCTGTTTTTCTCCCATCACCAACCTAACAACAGCATACTACGGCATCTCGTCCATGCAGGTCAACTGGCTGTCACTCATCTATCTCGTCGCGTGCATCCCCGTGGGATTTCTGGCAACATGGCTACTTGACACTCTTGGCCTCCGGATTAGTGTGAGTTGTCTTCTTTGAGTGGCATTTTGATGTGCGGGGATTGGGGCGGTCGGGTAGCCTTATGGTTAAAGCGTTCGCTCATCACGCCGAAGACCTGGGTTCGATTCCCGACATGGGTACAATGTGTGAAGCCTATTTCTGGTGTCCCCCGCCGTGATATTGCTGGAATATTGCTAAAAGCGGCATAAAACCATACCCACTCACTCACGTGTGGGGATTAATAACTTTTTTATTACAATCAGTAATTGATATGGATAAATAACTTCTTTGTTATAATTAATATGGATAAACAATATTTTTTACAGTCGGTTATTTATATGGATACACAACTTCTTTATTACAGCTTCTTTGATAGGCATTTAGAAGTTGGAGTACTAAGTAAGGATAAGAATTTATGGATGAACAACTTCTATATTACAATTAAGAGCGACGTTTCGGTGTAGATTCTAACACCATTATCAAGCAAGTGAAGTCAGTGACTCATGACTTGCTTGATAACGGTGTTAGAATCTACACCGAAACATCACTCTTAATTGTAATATAGAAGTTTTTCATCCATAAATTCTTACCCTTACTTCTTTATTACAATCGGTAATTTATACGGATTAACAACTTCTTCATTACAATCGGTAATTTATATAGATAAACAACTTCTTCATTACAATCGGTGAACCCACCCTGTACCCAGGTATACAGTGAACAAATATGGAACTAAAACATGTCATGAATGTTACTACATTCCACTGCAGAGTTGTTTACCCTGTTTTCAAATGGCTTGCATAAATGTTTTGGAACAAAACAATCTGAAGAAAATGAGATATTAACAAGAATGTATTTAACTATTTATAGTCTTTCAGTGTCATTAAAAAAGTAATGAACTTCTACTTTATCGTGTTTATGATTTAGATTTTCAAACATTGTTTTGACAAAAACTTTTAATAAATTATTAGTAAAAACTATTATTCTTATTCAATTATTGTTTATGCTTGGTAAAAACCATTGTTTTGGCATGGTAAATAGCATATTTTCTTGAGTATAGTGCACACTTTTTTCCCCAAAAACACAGCTGTGTAGAAGGAGGTGCTCATTATACACGCCATCATTTTTTTCCTCAATGCAAAGACATTACCTTGAGCACGTAACATCGGAAATACCATGTCAACGAATCCATACTGAAGTATGCAAATTAATCAAATCTTTTTTCCAAAATACTGAGTCTGCTAGAGGGGATGCACATTATACTTGGGTGCGCACTACACTCACGAAAATATGGTACTATAATTCTTATTCAATTATCTTTTTCAGATTATTTTATCAGCATGGTTGAACCTGATTGGCTGCTTGTTACGCTCTCTGACCGTGTTTGAGTTCATGCCCCCCGATGCCCGCTACCCCGTGTTGATGACCGGGCAGCTGTTGGCCGCATGTGCTCAGCCATTCATCATGTTCTGTCCCACCAAACTGGCGGCGCTGTGGTTCCCCGACACACAACGTGCAACAGCCAACACGCTCGCTTCTATGGGTAAATACAACCAAGTTTATTGTTCTATCCTCTATCTATTCTGTTTCTGATGACAGATCATGACAAGACGTAGTTTTAGGTCGGGGGTCCGGCTTATCCACCGCACATAACATTTTGATAAAGATTTCAAGGACCAAGTTAATACCTCGGCTTATCTTTGAGATCGGTGTATGTACGGTCATATACAGTACTCATTAATCCTGCACGAAACAAATGGTGCATCTTGAGTCATAAATCTATGACGTCACATGTGATGCGTTTATGAATGTCGGTTCACACAACCTTCCAGTATGTTCGTTAGTGCGTCTTACCAATCTAATATCTCTTGCATATGAGCAATTCTTCATATATTAACCAACATATGGTATTCATGTTTCTTTTGTCAATGAGTATATAATGTAGTATGAACAGGGAGCCTTTGTCAATTCTGTAATGAAAAACCCATCAAAACAGAAACACACACAAGCTCATCCTTCAGAAAATGGTCAACTTGTTTTTATGTATGTTTTATGTAATTTACATACTCGCCCAGCCTAGTTAGGCCAACCACTCATCTCAATATGATCTGTTTCCTCAGCTAACCCTCTTGGAATATTGGTAGCAAATTTGCTGGCACCAAAACTAGTCACAGTACCATCGGAGATGCCAAACTTGGTAAGTACTGATAACAACTTTACTATTGTAACAATGGTAACATAGAATTATCTGTATCAACATCATCAAAATCAACTGTAACCATGGTAACATATAATTAGCTGTATCAACATGATCAAAGTCAACTGTAACCATGGTAACATATAATTAGCTGTATCAACATGATCAAAGTCAACTGTAACCATGGTAACATATAATTAGCTGTATCAACATGATCAAAGTCAACTGTAACCATGGTAACATATATTTAACTGTACCAACATGATTAAAGTCAAGTGTAACCATGGTAAAATATAACGAGCTGTATCAACGTGATCAAAGTCAACTGTAACCATAGCCCGAACTAGTCTCTCGTCATCATTTTCAGTAGGTCTTTGTGTTAATGTGTAGCAGGGCATGGAGTCATCCCACAGATGACATCCTTACCTTGTCAGCTTGCTGACAGGGTTAACCTCTTTAGTCATGTGGACAAGGCGTCCGACCTCTGACCAGAAGGTCTGTGGTTCGAATCCCATCACGGGACTCGGAAAATGTATGAGCTTTTATTGACAAAGCTTACTGGACCAAAGACATTTTGAAGTAACCATGGCCACCAATACTGCTCCACAACCTACCAGTAACTCTTCATTTAATCATATGTGAGTGAGTTAATATTTAACGTCACATCGGCAATATTTCAGCCATATCGTGATGACACATGTACGTAACACTGACATTTCCGATTATCCAGATTATCTGTTGTGATATCTGATTATGTTTTCAGTTGTGGACATGTACAGGAGTGGCTGGTTTAGGTGTTGTCATGGCAACGTTTGGAGTCTGTAGTTCCATTCCACCGACGCCGCCGACTTCAAGTGCAGCAGAGGCATCGGAACCATTCTTCTCAGGACTGAAAAAGGTATTTTGTCTTCTCCGTATCTCATGATGGCTCGACCGCCTCCATGGTTTAGTGGTAGAGCGTCTGCCCGAGATGGGAAGGTTGGTGGTTGGATCTCTGGCTGTGTCAAACTAACAGACATTAAAAGATAGTACTTGTTGTTACCCTGCCTGGTTCTCAGCTTAAACAAGGACTGGTTGGCTTGGATTAAGTATACTGTGTCTGAGTGGGGTATTTATGTTAAGGGGCGGTGGTTAAGTAGTCTGTGAACCGTGGAAAACAGGAAGGCCAGTACATGAGTGCCAACAATTGTATTACTGATATGGTATATGATAAGTTTTATTTCATATTGCACTTGGGGCCGGTAGGGTAGCCTAGTGGTTAAACCATTCGCTGAACATGCCAAGGACCAAGTTCGATTCCCCGCATGGGTAAAATGTGTGAAGCCCATTGCTGGTGTAACCCAACGTGATATTGCTAGAATATTGCTAAAAGCAGCGTAAAACCATACTCACTCACTCACTCACTCACTCACTCACTCACTCACTCACTCTCCCTATTTGACTGGTGTTTTGTGTTTCAGCTGCTGCATGTCAAGTCCTACTGGGTGCTGTGCTTTGTGTTCGGTGCTGGTCTGGCCATATTTACAGCATTCACCACATTTACAGAACAGATTCTCTGTCCGCGGGGATACACGAATGTAGGTACATGATTAGCTTTCCTAACCTGAGCATGGTAAGGCGACACTGTTCTATATGTTTCAACTTGACAGACCTGACACTGAGGCCATAATGAGAACATAAATAGAGATTATTAGTTGAGTGTGTTTGCGTATCGTAAATGTTCGACGTATTCGACGTAATAAGCGCCCAGGGCGCTCTCAAAATTAGAAATAGGGGGCTCTTATTAGAATATTATTTTGGTGGAAAAAAACAGAGTTGAAAGATGAATTTCGTGGTTTATGCTGACAGCCTGAAATGTTTATATACGACATATATATTTCCAGAATTTAATTGCCTATAATTAAGGGTGCATGTAACATACGAGAATGTATTATACGCGAATAAATAAGTCTTGTGTACATTGATCAATCGGAAGGGGTGCTAATTGGGATTGTTCACTAGCCAATATATTAGCAAATATTGCCGTGGGCGCTTATTAGAGTTAGGCGCTTATTACGTCGAATACGGTATTTCAAATAAAAATTGTACAGTGTGAGTCTTGGGGCCTTGTATTGCCCAATCATATTGCAGTACTGGTGTCTGTATTACGATATGCATTGCAATGCAGTAAACTATGTTTATAATTACATGCTTATGACGAACTGATCAATATAACAAACATATTTTAGTCCCGGCCATTTGTTGTATAGATGCTGTATATATGCTTATAATGAACTATGATTATTACGAACTAAAATTAGTTGTCCCTTTGAGTACGTTATTACCATAGCTTACTGTATATTGAGAGTTGAAGTGTTTGACAGTGATTGGCACTGATCGTACGTGAAGATTCATGTAACCATGAAGATCCTGGTCAGAGTTGGTCTTCGGCTTGTTTTAAGAGGCGACTAATGGGATCGGGTGGTCAAACTTGCTGACTTGATTGATGCATGTCATCGTATCCCAATTGCGTAAATCAATGCCCATGATGTACATCACTAGATTGTCTGTCCCAGACTCGATTACCTACTGTTCGTCGTGATATAGCTGGAATATTTTGCTGAGTGTTGCGGTTTTCAACAAAACAAACAAACATAATAAAATAAATATTACTCCTGCCACATTTCTGGGGTCATGTCAACCCAATTTTAGAAGGGGAAAATCATTTTACAGGAATTTATGTGTAGATTCTAGGTGCAAACGATGCAAATAATTAGGAAACATGATAATATTACTAAATATACCGAAACACAGAAAAAATATTTCAAAACATATCATTTGAAAAGCTTATTGCAGTATACCGGTGATGCTGTGCAGTCTCAGTGAGTCCTTGATCCCCGCACAGTACTCAAGTTCGTCCATTTTCCAAAAGTCACCGATCCCTGCCTATTTACTTTACAGCAAACAATTTGTTCAATTGACTCAAGTTTTTTGGTGCCATTGTCTGATCTGTCTGATTGTGTGTCATTGTTCCCTGATCAACAATCATTGGCTCCTTGATTACTAACAGACTTGCCTTTACAGACTAGAGTTGCCTCCCTTTGTCATGCCAGAATCCTATGACTGTGGGTTCAGTTCCCATATTTGCCCAATTATATTTCTAGGTTTGCCAGCACCATACCCATGCTCATGGGTTTCACCAAAGTGGTAAACGTCTTAGACTTGCATCACTTTGGGCTTTCCACCCACATCAAGCTGAGACCCTGCGATATAACGGGAATATTGAGAAAAGCTACGCTAAAGCAGACTCACTCACTCTCTCTTCTGCCTTACAGGGTTTCTCTGGTATGTGTGGTGCACTGATGATTGGCGTTGGTGTAGCTGGTGCTGCTACCGCCGGTGTTATCTGTGATAAGACAAAACGTTTTGAAGAAGTCGCCAAAATCAGTTTTGCAGGAGCGACTGTGTTTGGGATAGTTTTTACAGAGGTAAGAAGTATTTAATTACCAACTGCATGATGACTTTGGCATGTTGACTTTTACAGTATTATGGCATTAATGAAAATGCAGTGCATCACTTTTCAACAAGCATTAAGTGGGTACCCGGTAGTGTGGTGAACAAACTGAGGATGTGCCTTATAGCTTCTGAACATATTGTTGCAAGGAGGTGAATGTTTTTAAAGAAATATATGCTTCCTGTAAGGGGGATACTTCACTGGGATTCTGTGACCTGGATAAGATTCTGTGACCTGGATGGGATTCTGTGACCTGGATAGGATTCTGTGACCTGGATGGAAATCAGTTACCTGGATAGGATTCTGTGACCTGGATAGCATTCTGTGATCTGGATAGCATTCTGTGACCTGGATAGCATTCTGTGACCTGGATGGGAATCCGCGATTCTTTTTTGGGGGGGGGAAACGATTATTGTTACAAACACATCCTGATTGTGGCCTTGTCGTATTGTGTGACCTTGTGGCTGGATGTAGTTATGTTCAGGTTGATGTCCTGTGCATGGCCTTCCCTAATCCCGGAATTCTGCACATGTCAGCAGTTAGCATGGAAAGACTCCTTAAAATGCAATAAAATTCTGTTGAAAACACTCAAGTTTATGGTTCTGCGCTTGTGTTTAGGAATGTCCTCATGTAATGCCAGGGTTTATCTAGATCTGCTCTGAGGCCGATATATTCGGCCCCAAGTCTGTAGCAAATGCCAGTCAAAATTTCCAAATTTGAATGAAAAAATCAATGATAATATATTTTACTAGTAACTAATTTAATGCTTAGGTTTATATTATTGCATTGAATGAGTTCTCCAAACAACGTTAAAAATCTCTGAATTTAGGAAAATAGGAACTTCAAAATAATGATTTCCCAATTTGTGTGCCAGGGGCCCTTAGTTTAGCATGCAGTTATCATATACACAGCGGACCAAACCAATTAAACTCGGAATGTTTTATGAATTGCAGCGCCATCTGGCGTTCTTTATTGTCAACGTCCTTTCGAGCTCACTGACGTTCTTTATTGAAAACGTCCTTTCGTGTTCACTGACTTTCTTTCGTACACATTGTTCTTGCTTTTCGTATGACGTCTTTTCGTAACATTTGACTATTAATATTGCGTACTTTTGACATTTATTTCAACTTTGTATGTTTAACTGGCGTCTGTTTGTTTTGTATTTTGACCTTTAGTAGTAACATTTAGTTCTTTATTCGTAATATTTGACCTTACTTGCATACTTTTGTCCTTTTTTTCAACTTTGTATTTTTTGACCGAATGGCCGCCCATACATATCACATACTAAATGTAACATTCTAAATATCACATATAAAATGTGGCATACTAAATGTGGCATACTGAATGCTCCCCCAGGCAAAGACTCATGGGATAGGTTGTCTAACAAAATGGCAGCATAACATGCAGTGGCCATCCACTTGACCAGTGAGAGGAACACGCTACCCTGATACCCAGCTTCTGAGATGTCGGAGTGAACAAGAAATAACAAGGTTACCTCAAAACACTATCAGTCATGAGCAATGACTGCCTATTGCTGTATGTGACTCACATGTGACTCACACGTGACTCACACGTGACTCACACCATGATCCATGTTAACTCACAAATGTCCTCAGCTGGCACTCTGGTCCAGTAGCTTACACTGTTACATACCTCGACGTTTGCAGTGTGAAACATTGGTTTGTAATATGCTGGGCAAGATTGGCCTGCCATTGACATTAATGATCACTGTTTGAGATTGAGCATCAGAGTAGAGGTGTCTGTGTCCCTCACTCACTCACTCGCTCACTCATGCCGAGAGCAGGCATGGAATTACCTTGAATTAACTCAGGTTATTTTTCTTCCAGGTCAGCCGTCTCCGAGACATGGACGTGGAGATCGCTGTCAGCATATCTCTGTTCGGTTTCTTTGGTTTTGCATTGTATCCTATATGCATGGAGTTGGCAGTCGAGGTTACCTACCCTGTTGCCGAGGCAACCAGTTCAGGGATGCTCTTTATATCAGGGTAAGGATTTTTGACATTAAGTGCATATAGTGCTCTGTGAGACATTTAGCAGTTGGCCATATATGGCATGTGATGTACCCAACTCTCTCACTGTGCTGAACTGACCCATGAAGATCCTTGGTAGAATAGGTCTTAAGCAACCAATGCTTGCCATGAAAGGCGACTATGCTTGTGGTAAGAAACGACTAACGGGATTGGATGGTCAGGCATGTCATCTTTTCCCAATTTCATGGATCGTTGCTCATGATGTCATTCACTGGATTGTCTGGTCCAGACTCGATGATTTACTCATATTGCTGTAAAAGGCAACAATGCTTGTCATAAGAGGCGACTAATGGGATCGGATGGTCAGGCTCGATGACTTGGTTGAGGCAAGTCATCAATCCCATTTTGGTGGATGATGTTATTCACTGGATTGTCTGGTCCAGACTTGATTATTTCAGACCGCCATCATATAGCTGGAATATTGCTGAGTGTGGTGTTAAACAACAAGCAAACAAACAAACAAACAAACAAACAAACAAACAAACAAACAAACAAACACTACACTGAACTCGGCGTGTGTTGTCCTACCAGCCAGGTCCAGGGGATCGTGTACATGTTGGTGGCCCAGATGATTGCGCAGCCTCTCCCCCACCAGGAAGTGGGCCTCCCCACCGGCTGCAGCACCAACGGCTCCTCTATAGGAGACGACTTCACCCCTCAAGACTGGACAAGTAGGTAGCAGTGTCCTGGACTGACTCCATGTTGTGGTTATCTGTGGGAGTGAAGGGGCGGTCAGGTAGCCTAGTGGTTAAAGCGTCCGCTCGTCACGCCAAAGTACTGGGTTTGATTCCCGACATGGGTACAATGTGTTATGCCCATTTCTTGTGTCCCCCGCCGTGATATTGCTGGAATATTGCTAAAAGCGGTGTAAAACCATACTCACTCACTGTTGGAGTGATACCTCACTTGAGTGAATTGTCATGTGATGTTGTGAGTACTGTCTGCCTCAATGTCATTGCTTTTCAAACTAACGTCAGTATGAATATTCATCATAAATAAAATATTTGGCTTTTCTTTTGGCAAAGTACTGGGTTTGATTCCCGACATGGGTACAATGTGTTATGCCCATTTCTTGTGTCCCCCGCCGTGATATTGCTGGAATATTGCTAAAAGCGGTGTAAAACCATACTCACTCACTGTTGGAGTGATACCTCACTTGAGTGAATTGTCATGTGATGTTGTGAGTACTGTCTGCCTCAATGTCATTGCTTTTCAAACTAACGTCAGTATGAATATTCATCATAAATAAAATATTTGGCTTTTCTTTTGAAAAACAGTTTTACCTGTATTTACCTGAATCTTCCTGCATCTACCAATATCTACCTGTGCCTACCTGTACTTACCATTATTATGCCGCAAAGTGAGATTGACCAATCAGAGAGCAGAACTACTAACCCCACATGAGCCTATAAACTGTTAGTAAAAATCCAAGATGGTTGTTACTGACCTAATATGAGACCGTATACCTTCAGTAACAGCCATCTTGGATTTTCCAACACCCACCTCACCTATTTCACATGAAAAATCTGGTACAGAAATCCGTTATTCGACACTGTTTTGTGTTTTTAAATCATTAATTGTGATGTGCAAGGACACTTATCTTTTTTAAATCATATTCTTGACTTTATTGATAAAGATTATAGTTAAAATTGTCAACCATGTTTGAAGAGTAGTCTCCCTTTGACCCTATACCATCTGCGTACAAAGAGTAGTGCAATATGGATACCACATAGTGTAAACTTTTCAGCATAATAAATTAGTTATGGTATCTTTAGTTGCAGTACTATCATGAAAGCCGACCCCTTTCTACAGAATCTTTTTTCTGGTCCTCAAAATTCAGCTTATACGCGGTCATATACAGTAGATGTTAGGTTACCAGAAAAATTTGAAACCATATATGGCAACAAAAGACACCATAACTAATAGTATTAGCCTGTTTTTACCTGTATCTACTTACATCAGCCTTTCTCTACCTATATCTACCTATATCTACCTGTATTAGCCTATGATGTAAACAAATTCTTGTTTCAGTCCCCAACTTGTTCCTGAATGGCGTTGCAGCCTTCGTCTCCATCGTTTTCATGCTTCTATTCCATCCACACTACCGCCGCATGAGAGCCGAGGAACTTGCAAAGGCAGAGACTATTCTGAATTATGAATCTGTAGACTCAGGGTGACAAAAGTATTAGATTTTTAGAAAAACAATACTGCTGAATATTGACCATCTGTGAAATACCTGGGCATTGCTGTGACGATAGCGGGAGTTATTTATATGTGTGAATGTGCCGGCGCCGCCGTGCCTGGTTTGATCCCCAACTTGTTCTTCTTGAACTTCCTGCTTGCTGTGTGTTTATATACTCACCACCAAACAAAACACGAAATTGTACGTTAAGAAGAGATGTTTCCAATGTGTACCACTTAAGGACAAAACAAACACTCAATTAAGTGTTGCCACAGTGTGTCTTTATTCTTATCACGATATGCTGCACGTGATTTCCAAACTTTACTCGCTAATCCTGCATGAGACAATGCAATTGGTGCATCTCGTGTCATGGATCTATTACGTCACGTGTGATGCGTTCATGAGCGTCAGTTCACACAACATACCAGTATGTTCGTTTGTGCATCGAACCAAACTAATATCTCTTGAATATGAGTAATTGTTCATTTATCAACCAACATGTATAGTATTCACATTTCTTTTGTCGGTGAGTATATAATACCAGGAGAAGTATCCTGACATATGATTGGCTGACGCTAATCGTGAGATCCTGCTAGGGGTATAAGAGGATGTCTTTTCAAGAAAATTACCATAATTACCAACGTTGTGTGTGCCGGAATCCTATGACCACAAGTTTGAATCCCAGAACGGACCTGAATATAATCCTTAGTCTTTCAGCATCATCTCCCAATCTCATTAAAATCAGCTCTAAGTCTCGCTACCACTAACCAAAGATCTGAGGATATCCCATTACGGGTCACGTCAGAACGACCTTTCGTGAACATTGACCGACCAATGAAATGACTGACTAGAAATCGACATTTGCCAATCAGAAGGCAGCTATCTCGAGCTTTACGGCACTAGTTTCAAACTGGCCATTACGCTTCAAAACATATTTTGACGTATTCTCGATTAGAATTTTTTAAACTGACCAAAACAGCATTCTGGAATGGCGTATAGATAGCCTAGATTGTATGGATATAATCATAAAATCCGTAACTGTCGTTCGGAATACCCCGTGTTAAATATCTCGAGGTTGCATGATTAGAAAACACATTCCGACTGTCACTTTCAGGATCTGGTAAGCGACGCTCTGATTGGTTGGATGAAAGGTCGTGCTGACGTGACCCGTAATGGGATGTGCTCAGATCTTTGTTTAGCGGTAGCGAGAACTAAGATCTGATTTTAATGAGATTGCATCATCTCCGTGCTCGTGGCTTCCACAAGAGTGATGAATGTTCACGGCCATTGACCCTTTGACTTTCTCTCCACAAGTTAACATGTTGTGACATAAATAAAAATATTGTTCAAAGCTTCATTAAAATGACTCAGCCATACAGAGAGTGATTTGGCTAACCATGGTAACTGATGCTTCTTCTGCTTATTGACTCAGTGTCAGAGGTATCTGTTTCCTTCTGCTTCGGTTACCATGGTAACTGATACTTCTACTTATTGACTCAGTGTCAGAAATATCTGTTTCCTTCTGTTTGGGTAACCATGGTAACTGATACTTCTTCTGCTTCCTTCTGTTTCCTTCTGTTACGATAAATGGAATATTTTGGGAACAGTGGGAAACAAAAATCACCTTGGCTTTTGACCAAAAACATGACTAGTCACATAATCACCATCAAAATACTCATTTTCCAGTCATGGAAGATTAACCGTGTTATTGAATGTCATTAACATAGTATTCATCCTCGTTTATGGTTCATTCTGTTGAATATCCCCAAGCACCACTAAACTCACAGTCGTGCAGTTTTTCATGGTTTCATATATTTTTGTATACTCATAGTATCGTAAAAGGTGACTATGCTTGTCGTAAGAGGCGACTCACGGGATCAGGTGGTCAGACTCACTGACTTAGTTAATGCATGTCATCATTCCCAATTGCGTGGATCGATGCTCATGATGTCAATCACTGGATTGTCTGGTCCAGACTCGATTATTTACAGACCACCGTAATTTAGCTGGAATATTACTGAGTGTGGCGTTAAACAACAATCAAACAAACAATATACTCATATTTCACAAGATTCTTTTATAGCTATTGATAGTTGTTGTGGTCCTAAGATGGTTTCAATTTGAGACACAGGTTATTGTCAAGATTTAATGTAGAAACATTCATTAAGTTGGGTTTATCGCCGCTTTGAACAGTACTCCAGTTATGTCATGGCATTATCATGATGAGTGAGTGAGTTGGGTTTAACGCCGCTTTGAACAGTACTCCAGTTCTGTCACGGCATTATCGTGATGACAAAACATGGATGCCATGGAACATATTCCATGACATAAGCCATGACTACCCCAGTGTACAGGACATGCCTCTGAATGTGAGTGAGTGCGTATGGTTTTACTCCGCTTTTAGCAATATTCCAGCAATATCACGGCGGGGGACACCAGCAATGGGCTTCCCACATTGTACCCATGTTGGGAATCGAACCCAGATCTTCGGCGTGACGAGGGAACACTTTAACCACTAGGCTACCCGACCACCCCCCTCTGAATGTGAAATACAGAAGACTGATCCATGCTAGTAACCACACTGATCAGGCTCTCAAGTTAGACCCTGAGTTTGGATCACGCACGTTGAGACGCCCAACGCTAACACCGCATTTGTGCGTGCGTGATTCCCGTGCACCGTTTTGAGTTGAATTGATTGGTTCAACTGTGTCATATGGCTCTGTGACACAGGGGTAGCATTATGCAGATGGCTGTTTCAATGAATGCTCGTTCCACCCATGACGAACAGGTCTGGTTGTTGATGAAATATAGTGATAGCAAAATAGACAGGTTTTTTATTCATGCACCAATTGTCTTTCAATGTAATATCCAGTTATGTATGACTGTTTAATAATCTCATACCAACTTTGACTGGAGTAGGTCCAATAGTTTTTGAGATATTGTTGTAAACGTTTGTAGCTTAAATTACCTTCCAGACTATAGTTGTCAAGGAAACCCACCATATCTTTTATTACAAATGATAATATTTGCCAACCTACTTATCCTCATCAGGGCACGGAATGTTGTGATGTTGTTCTCAGCCTACAAGTAACTACAGATCTACCTCAATCAACATTCAAAATATCTATCCTAATATTGTAATATGTTGTAACAGACTATCAGAAAATTAGGAAAATCTGAAAATGAGGAGGAAATATGGTGTAGGAGTGATTTAATAAAGGATTGACCGAGTATTTTTTTCAGTTCATTGCGGTATGAATAGAAAAACCAATGTGCAAACTGTATGAATCTGTGTTGTCAAATGCGGGTGAGAATGAAACCGAGGACATGAAACTTGCGGAACCCAGGCAAACAGGAACAAAACAGGGGAGTGAGCCTGCACGTTTGCTGTTTCATTCTTCTCGGCCTTTGGTCTTAAAGGGTTGTTTGGAAAATTGATATGCATGAATTTCGCTAAATGTCCTGTGCATGATGATACATGTGAGCAGAAAGGGAATTCCCTCCACTAATATTGGGATTCCCCGACATTCCTTAGTAATAAAAGTAGTGCGCCTCGGTGGGAGGGGCTTCATTTTTACATTCATTAGGAAATGAATGCAATAACACGTGACCAATTCAGCTAATCAGAATGCAGGAATTTCAAAGAACACAATGAAAATTCAATTATAACCCAATGGTGGCACAGGCAATAGTTTGAGAAACGTGTTTTTAAGAATTGTGATGAAGTAGTTTCTTTCATGACAGTCATGACAGTAAATGTGAAGACAGACACTGACATGTATTTGTGTGTCTGTTTTTGTTGAGCATAGAAAGTCGACTTAATGGCACAATGGCAGCCATGTTGGATTTTCCAATTGTGAATAATGTTGTGGTTTTCTATTTGTACTATTTTTTAAGATACAAATATGCAATTTCATCAAAATGAGATGATGGTGCTAATTAAGATATTAAAGTAACAAGTTTTAGTTTATATTATTTTAAAACAAAATTTGTTTATATATTGAGTTTTGTGGCGACCATGTTGAACTTGTCATAAATAATTAAAGTTGTATGTATGTTAATACTTTTACATAAAATTAGAAAGTTAGCATATGGTGAAAGAAAGAAATTTTCGAATTTATAAAATGCCTACTATGATTTTGAATTACCCACAATTCCTCTGACAGTTCATTTTCCTTGTTTGTGTCTCCTTTATGCCATAAACTATGTTTAGACAAAAATAACATAATATTTATCAGTGACTTTTTAATTTCATGTTATATTTTCTCAATAGTATAGGCATTTGTATGTATGTATATATATATAGATGAAAGTATGTAAATAGGAAAGGAATATGACACATGAGACAATAATATTATTGTCTTTCTCCATTAAGACATCAACATTTGTCTCAATGACTTTTCAGCCACATTTATGAAAGTTCTCCCACATTCAACTTATAATGATTGGGATCATGTTTTATAATTTGGATATGGTTGATTTTATATAATTTTGTTAAAGCGATAATGCAGCTATGAATTTCCTTGCATTGTTTTATTTCAATTAATATTTTTGGTTGAAACTCTTAAAGATTCTTTCTGTTGTTGATTTTTGTTTATTATGAAGTATCACTGTGAAATTGAGCAATTTTTCTATCGGTTTTCTGAATAAATGTTCTATGAATAAAAGTTGTTTGTTTTCTGTTACTAACCAAGAACAATCACTACTAATCAAGAACAATCACTACTAATCAAGAACAATCACTACTAATCAAGGACAATCACTGCTAACCAAGAACAATCACTCCATGCTGCACTGTCGTTTTGACTCCCTTCACATTTCACCTAAAGATAGTTGCCTACCAAATATCATCTGAATAACATTTGATCAGTTGTTGATTGAGGTGTTATCCTGGCTTAAGACAAAAATTAATTTGGTTTACACATTCCTAAACTCTGAACCTTTCCTATGCACTCAATCATTGCCAAAAGGCTACACTTTATAATGCCATACCCCTTTTTATATCACCAGTTGTGACATGGCTGAGATATTGCTGATGTTTATGTTGAAATTTAGACGACTCATTCAGTCTTTGACACAAGAGTTACCGTATGTTCTGTAGTAAGCGTCCTGCTCCTCTGTGCCTCCATGTAGGTCAGTTGTACCCACAATATGTGCAGTGTCCCATGGTAGAGTCGTGCAGTGTCCCACGGTAGAGTCGTGCAGTGTCCCACAGTAGACTCGTGCAGTGTCCCACGGTAGAGTTGTGCAGTGTCCCATGGTAGAGTCGTGCAGTGTCCCATGGTAGAGTCATGCAGTGTCCCACGGTAGAATCGTGCAGTGTCCCATGGTAGAGTCGTGCAGTGTCCCACAGTAGACTCGTGCAGTGTCCCACGGTAGAGTTGTGCAGTGTCCCATGGTAGAGTCGTGCAGTGTCCCATGGTAGAGTCGTGCAGTGTCCCACGGTAGAGTCATGCAGTGTCCCACAGTAGACTCGTGCAGTGTCCCACGGTAGAGTGGTGCAGTGTCCCACGGTAGAGTCTTGCAGTGTCCCACAGTAGACTCGTGCAGTGTCCCACGGTAGACTCGTGCAGTGTCCCACAGTAGAGTCGTGCAGTGTCCCACGGTAGACTCGTGCAGTGTCTCACGGTAGAGTCGTGCAGTGTCCCACGGTAGAGTCGTGCAGTGTCCCACGGTAGACTCGTGCAGTGTCCCACGGTAGACTCGTGCAGTGTCCCACGGTAGACTCGTGCAGTGTCCCACGGTAGACTCGTGCAGTGTCTCACGGTAGACTCGTGCAGTGTCCCACGGTAGACTCGTGCAGTGTCCCACGGTAGACTCGTGCACTGTCCCACGGTAGAGTCGTGCAGTGTCCCACAGTAGACTCGTGCAGTGTCCCACGGTAGACTCGTGCAGTGTCCCACGGTAGACTCGTGCAGTGTCCCACGGTAGAGTCGTGCAGTGTCCCACGGTAGACTCGTGCAGTGTCTCACGGTAGAGTCGTGCAGTGTCCCACGGTAGACTCATGCAGTGTCCCACGGTAGACTCGTGCAGTGTCTCACGGTAGACTCGTGCAGTGTCCCACGGTAGAGTCGTGCAGTGTCCCACGGTAGAGTCGTGCAGTGTCCCACGGTGAGGTGAGGTGAAATTGGGTTTAACGTCACAACCAAGATTATTGCACTTATATAGCGACGTGTGTGTGTGTGTGGCTGCTTGTGCTAGTCCGAACTGATGCCAATTTATAGTGCTAGCTCACTGAGATACCATGCTGCAGTTTGACATGAATATCCCACTGAGACACAGTATACTGACTCCGAGCCGACCAGTCTTTGTTTTAGCCCCTTAATGCCGAGTGCCAAACAGGGTAACAACAAGAACCATAATTTAACATATTTTGGTATGACGTGGCTGGTGATCAAACCCCGGACCTTCCACTCTCCGGGCAGACACTCTACCACAAGACCACGGAGGCAGTCCAATGTCCCATGGAATGCTGTGCTGTATCCCACAGCTGTTCTTTACAGTGTCTCACAGGGCAGTCGGGTAGCCTAGTGGTTAAAGCGTTCGCTCGTCACGCTGAAGACCCGGGTTGGATTCCCGACATGGGTACAATGTGTGAAGCCAATTTCTGGTGTCTTCCACTTTGATATTGCTGGAATATTGCTAAAAATGGCGTAAAACCATACTCACTCACTCACTACAGTGTCTCACATCGGTGCTGTGCGGTGACTTCATTTTAAAGCTGTGGAGACCAGGGATTTGTACATCTTGCCTCTTGATACAAACCATAATATATATATATCTTCTTTGATGGAGGGGAAGAATGTGTCCTTGGCTTTCAATATCTAGGGAGTGGTCCATATAAGGAAGGATACCCAGGTGATGATAAGAGAATCCCCAGGTGTTGATTAGAGAATCCCCAGGCGTTGATTAGAAAATCCCCAGGCGTTGATCAGAGAATCTGAGGTGTAAATGAGAGGATTCTCAAGGGTTAATTAGAGAATCCCCAGGTGTTAATTAGAGAATCACTAGCTGCAAATTAGAGAATTCAAGGTGTTCATTAGGGTATCCCCAGGACTCTAATTGAAAGAGACTCTCATTACAAGAGGATTCCGAGGTATTGATTAGAGAATCCCCAGGCGTTGATTAGAAAATCTCCAGGCGTTGATTAGAAAATCCCAAGGTGTTGATAAGAGAATCTGAGTTGTAAATGAGAGGATTGTCAAGGGTTAATTAGAGAATTCCCAGGTGTTAATTAGAGAATCCCAAGGTGTTAATTAGAGAATTTCCAAGGTTAATTAGAGAATTCCCAGGTGTTTTTTAGTGAATCCCCAGGTGTTTATTAGAGGAAATACAACAATATTGTTGGAACAAGGAGTGAGTCACAGCTTTAAATATTTTATCAAGTACATCTATAAATAACACCCTGTCTGTTATCCATCACCATAAATTGATAATGAGGTTGAAATGCATGACTTATTTTTGTAGCCTGAAGATCCGGACACAAGAGGCCAATCTGAAGCAATGCAGGTGTATGTCGTGTCAACGCAGCTCTGATCTCTACAGCCACCTTCTGTTATACTGTGTAGCCTCATGGAAATCTAGGAGGGATATCAGGATTATGACAGTGTGTTCACTAAGTAAAACAAAGAATATACAGAGTTCACTAAGTGTACAGTGTTCACTAAATACAACATAGTTACGGTGTTCACTAAGTAAAACACTAAGTGTACATTGTGTTCACTAAGTAAAACACTAAGTGTACAGTGTGTTCACTAAGTAAAACACTAAGTACATTGTGTTCACTAAGTAAAACAAAGAATACAGTGTTCACTTTGTAAAACATTAAGTGTACATTGTGTTCACTTAGTAAAACATATGTACATTGTGTTCACTAAGTAAAACAGAATATACAGTGTTCACTTTGTAAAACATTAAGTGTACATTGTGTTCACTTAGTAAAACATTATATGTACATTGTGTTCACTTAGTAAAACAAATAATACACAGTGTTCACTTTGTAAAACATTAAGTGTACATTGTGTTCACTAGGTAAAACATTATATGTACATTGTGTTCACTAAGTAAAACAGAATATACAGTGTTCATTTTGTAAAACATTAAGTGTACATTGTGTTCACTTAGTAAAACATATGTACCTTGTGTTCACTAAGTAAAACAAAGAATATACAGTGTTCACTTTGTAAAACATGTACGTTGTGTTAAGTTATTATAGTATGTTCCCTAAGTATAGCTTGTTCACAAAGTATAGTGTGTTCACAACTTTGGTGAACTCTCTCAGATTACTGGGTTGCTGGTGTTATTTGATGAATACTCCCAGTTTCGTGTTGAACAACAGCTACCCTTTAAATGTTGGCCCATGTGTGTCTTCATCAGTATGTACACTGTTTCAAGTGATGGTTTAGATATAATAGGAATATAATCAGAATATTGGAATATGCCAAAGTGACAATCAGTTGATCTCAGTTTGTTTTGTTCAATATACACACAAAACTAATATTTAAGTTTCTGTATAAGGAACTCATTTCGTTTTATATCTGTATTTTAAAGTTTCATTTATTTTAATTTTATTGATCAAGGTATCCCTATGTTATAGCACAGTTTAGATGAAATCATTCATTTGGTTATCACAATAAGTGAGAAGTGTTTGATTGCAAGCCAATATGTTTCATGAATAATAGACCGGTCTTATAATAGTCAGGGTTCTGGATTCAATTGTCTGAGAGCCAAACACCCTTTTTCACAGCATAAGACTGTTCACCTGTTCCAGTCAAACACCCCTTCTCTCAGCATTAGACTGTTCTGCTGTGATAGCCAAACACCCCTTTTTACATAATTGGACTGTTCACCGGTTCCAGCCAAACTCCCCTACTCACAGCGTTAGACTGTTCACCTGTTCCAGCCAAACACCCCTACTCACAGCGTTAGACTGTTCACCTGTTCCAGCCAAACACCCCTACTCACAGCGTTAGACTGTTCTGCTGTTCCAGCCAAACACCCCTACTCACAGCGTTAGACTGTTCACTTGTTCCAGCCAAACACCCCTTCTTTCAGCATTAGACTGTTCACCTGTTCCAGCCAAACACCCCTCACCCATTATTTGACTGTTCTGCTGTCCAAGCCAAACACCCCTTCTCACATCATTAAACTGTTCACCTGTTCAAACCAAACAACCCTCACCCATTATTTGACTGTTCCTCTGCCCAAGCCAAACATCCCTTGTGACAGCATTAGACTGTTCACCTGTTCCTGCTAAACACCCCTTCTCACATTATGAGACTGTTCACCTGTCCAAACCAAACAACCCTCACCCATTATTTGACTGTTCACCTGTCCAAGCCAAACACCCCCCAACCTTGTATTGCATGGTCTCGAGATCTGATGTGCCTTTGTTCCCAATGTTGCAAATATTTGTTTTAATGCATCAAGGTGTATTTTAGATTGCAGTAGGTATTTGATAACTGTATATGTAAATTAAAAGATTACAGTGAAGCAGACCAACTGTCGCTTAGTTGAAGCTCTGAGCTTACGCAGAACAATCTCAGCACTGTTGTGACTGCTGTTCCTTGACCGACTGTCGGTCAGTTGAAGCTCTGAGCTTACGCAGAACAATCTCAGCACTGTTATGACTGCTATTCCTTGGCCGACTGTCCCTTAGTTGAAGCTCTGAGCTTACGCAGAACAATCTCAGCACTGTTGTGACTGCTGTTCCTTGACCTACTCTCTCTTGGTTGAAGCTCTGAGCTTACGCAGAACAATCTCAGCACTGTTATGACTGCTATTCCTTGGCCGACTGTCCCTTAGTTGAAGCTCTGAGCTTACGCAGAACAATCTCAGCACTGTTGTGACTGCTGTTCCTTGACCTACTCTCTCTTGGTTGAAGCTCTGAGCTTACGCAGGACAACCTCCGCACTGTTGTAACTGCTATTCCTTGGCCAACTGTCCCTTAGTTGAAGCTCTGAGCTTATGCAGAACAACCTCAGCACTGTTGTGACTGCTGTTCCTTGACCGACTGCTCCTTAGTAGAAGCTCTGAGCTTACGCAGAACAATCTCAGCACTGTTGCGACTGCTGTTCCTTGGCCGACTGTCCCTTAGTTGAAGCTCTGAGCTTACGCAGAACAATCTCAGCACTGTTGTGACTGCTGTTCCTTGACCTACTGTCTCTTGGTTGAAGCTCTGAGCTTATGCAGAACAATCTCAGCACCGTTGTAACTGCTATTCCTTGGCCAACTGTCCCTTAGTTGAAGCTCTGAGCTTAAGCAGAACAATCTCAGCACTGTTGTGACTGCTATTCCTTGGCCGACTGCTCCTTATTTGAAGCTCTGAGCTTACGCAGAACAATCTCAGCACCGTTGTGACTGCTGTTCCTTGACCGACTGCTCCTTAGTAGAAGCTCTGAGCTTAAGCAGAACAATCTCAGCACTGTTGCGACTGCTGTTCCTTGACCGACTGCTCCTTAGTAGAAGCTCTGAGCTTACGCAGAACAATCTCAGCACCGTTGTGACTGCTGTTCCTTGACCGACTGCTCCTTAGTAGAAGCTCTGAGCTTACGCAGAACAATCTCAGCACTGTTGTGACTGCTGTTCCTTGACCGACTGTCCCTTAGTTGAAGCTCTGAGCTTACGCAGAACAATCTCACCACTGTTGCGACTGCTATTCCTTGACCGACTGTCCCTAAGTTGAAGCTCTGAGCTTACGAAGAACAATCTCAGCACTGTTGTGACTGCTATTCCTTGACCGACTGTCCCTTAGTTGAAGCTCCTAGCTTACGCAGAACAATCTCAGCACTGTTGTGACTGCTATTCCTTGGCCTACTGTCCCTTAGTTGAAGCTCTGAGCTTACGCAGAACAATCTCAGCACTGTTGTGACTGCTGTTCCTTGACCCACCGTCCCTTAGTTGAAGCTCTGAGCTTACGCAGAACAATCTCAGCACTGTTGTGACTGCTATTCCTTGACCGACTGTCCCTAAGTTGAAGCTCTGAGCTTACGAAGAACAATCTCAGCACTGTTGTGACTGCTATTCCTTGACCGACTGTCCCTTAGTTGAAGCTCCTAGCTTACGCAGAACAATCTCAGCACTGTTGTGACGACTGCTATTCCATGGCCTACAATTATGGCTGTTTTGTTGATATGCTACATATTTTGGTGTATTTCTCTGACAAACTCCCATTTTCTCTCGCTGGACAGGTAAAAACATGATTTGGCCCTTTACCCTTTGTTGATGTTTTTAGCCCTGAAGACTTCTTTCATGCACTGAAGGGTTTCTGAGCCATAATACTTATAGTATTTATGTACGATGCTCATTAATAAGTTCGATTGTGAAGGTTCGGGTTAAATACATTACAAGTGTAGTTGCTACTTACCAACTTCTGGTTTGGCATGGATAGCGCTTACACTGTCATAGTGATCACATATGAATCTGCCATGAACAAATTATCAGAATCATTATCAGAGATATTAATTATGTGTCTATTTTGCTTTTATACAAGACGATGGAATAAATTTTGTACGTTTTTATACATATGTGACTGTTTTAATTTGTAAAGCTGAACTGAGATGTTGCTACAAGCAATATGGTGGACAAGCCATGAGTGCCCAGGAACATCGTCATCATGGCAACCAAGGGACATAATTCTGCACCCCAAGTAGCAGTGAGTGAGTGAGTGAGTGAGTGAGTTTAACGCCGCTTTTAACATTATTCCAGTCATATCACGGCGTGTCAGCTTAAAGTGGGAGGAAAGCCCGAAGTGATGCAAGTCTCAGACGTTTACCACTTCGGTGAAACCCACAAGCACTGGTATGGTGCTGACAAACCTAGAAACATAATTGGGGCGAACTGGGATTCGAACCCACAATCATAGGTTTCTAGCGTGCCCAAAGGACGCAACTCTGCACAGCCAATCGCGGCGCCTTAGACGACTTGGCCACCCGTGCCCCCCCCCAAGTAGCAGTGCCTCAGTCCACAGGGGTTGAGGCATGTTGTTCTCTGCATGGGTTGGGCGGTGCCTTGTGGTATAATCACGTGGACCTGGGTTCGATTCCCTAGTTGGTTCCATCTGTGAAGCCTAATCTTGGTGTCCAGCACTGCCAGTATTGCTGAGCAGCATGAAATACAGTTAATGCACTCATCCGTATTGACCCAACAGCAGTGGGTCTCATGTGGTTCGAATCCAGTAGACCACAACCGAGAACACAATCAACTCTGTTATCTGTGGAGATATCTAGGTTATCTTGTTTGTTGTTTAACACCGCACTCAGCAATATTCCAGCTATGTGATGATGGTCTGGATCAGACAATTGGGATACGATGACATTCAATAACCAAGTCAGCAAGTCTGACCACCCAAGCCTGTTAGTTGCCTCTTATGACAAGTGGATTCGCCTTTTCCTTTTAAGGCAAGCATGGGTTGCTGAAGACCCATTCTGACCCGGATCTTTACAGGGAGACAAGCATGGGTTGCTGAAGACCTATTTTGACCCGGATCCTAGGTTATCTCACTGGTAATTTAATGGATAAGCATTTCCAAATGTATTTTGTATATTTTACATATGCCCCCATGGGATTTTTAGCCAGAATAGGTTGGCAGTAATCTCTGTCTGTAAGAGTTAACACATTAGGATTAGGCGGCAGTGTGTGGTTGCCTGGTGGATTGTTGCCATGGCGACACGATGGCGTGGATAGTTGCTGATGCGGTCCACCACTGGTTTACCCAAACTAACCAGGCCTTATACACGATAAAATTCAGTATGTTGATTTGCGAACATCTGCTACATATTGGGCTAGTTGTTTGTGTTTCAAAAACACATCTCATGGAGCTAATCTGCAAGCAATATTTTCATTTTGTACTTCAGCAAATTCAAAGCAGGTTCCTTAAAACAAAGAAAAGATTTGAAACAAGGTAGGGGCCAGTTCTGAGCTGTAGGTCAACAGAAGGTCAATAGTGATGTTAAGTAAGACACAAGTGAGTTCAGCATGTTATCTTTCAGGGTTGTTCCACCGAGTGATGTTAGAGCTAGGTCAGTGGTAAGGCAAAGAAGTAACGACAGAGTCCATGTCCCTCTTATCCTGTGATCAAGGCTAGGTACGCTGATCTCCATCAGTGTGGCTGGCCTATCTTGGTGAGACAAGTTGGACAGAAACAATAGCCTCTCAAAATTAATTCAAAGTTGTCTGTCCACAAAATCTCAAATAAACAGCTTGTGGAGATCATTAATATTACTTTCAAAGTAAGTTTGGTATTCAAAGATGAACGTGTACTCCAGATGAAGAGACATTACCTGTGATTAACACACAGTCACACAGTAGTGTTTGTGGATGTTTTCTGGAATCCCCATGGGTAAACAAGCATGGGATACTGGGGACCTATTCTGCCCTGGAATCCCCATGGAGTACTGGGGACCTGTTCTGCCCTGGAATCCCCATGGAGACAACCATGGAGTACTGGGGACCTATTCTGCCCTGGAATCCCCATGGAGTACTGGGGACCTGTTCTGCCCTGGAATCCCCATGGAGACAACCATGGAGTACTGGGGACCTGTTCTGCCCTGGAATCCCCATGGAGTACTGGGGACCTATTCTGCCCTGGAATCCCCATGGAGACAACCATGGAGTACTGGGGACCTATTCTGCCCTGGAATCCCCATGGAGTACTGGGGACCTATTCTGCCCTGGAATCCCCATGGAGACAAGCATGGGATACTGGGGACCTGTTCTGCCCTGGAATCCCCATGGAGTAGTGGGGACCTGTTCTGCCCTGGAATCCCAATGGAGTACTGGGGACCTGTTCTGCCCTGGAATCCCCATGGAGTACTTGGGACCTGTTCTGCCCTGGAATCCCCATGGAGACAACCATGGAGTACTGGGGACCTGTTCTGCCCTGGAATCCCCATGGAGTAGTGGGGACCTGTTCTGCCCTGGAATCCCAATGGAGTACTGGGGACCTGTTCTGCCCTGGAATCCCCATGGAGTACTTGGGACCTGTTCTGCCCTGGAATCCCAATGGAGTACTGGGGACCTGTTCTGCCCTGGAATCCCCATGGAGTACTTGGGACCTGTTCTGCCCTGGAATCCCCATGGAGACAACCATGGAGTACTGGGGACCTGTTCTGCCCTGGAATCCCCATGGAGTAGTGGGGACCTATTCTGCCCTGGAATCCCCTTGGAGTACTTGGAGACAAGCATTGAGTACTGGGGTTCCATTCCCACCAAAGGATCCTCACAAAGCATGGGGTTTATGGGCTGTATTCTGTCCTCAAATCCTGGCAGTGGTTCATACAACAACAAAAAGAGAACTGCAACACATCTTAATATTCATTTTTTAATTGTTTAAAGATGATATTTTCAACAGGTTAAGAATAGGTTGATGCAGCATCTCTCTCAATCCAAGCCTCACAAACACTTGATAAACACGATTCACACAGTGTAACCATGGTAACTTTCAATAAACATTTGTTATTTTAATCTGACTAGTACTTCTTGCATCATGACACGTCTCACATTTTGATTGAATGGTTCCTAGGATACTACAATGTGTCCCATGGGCCTATTTCTATACAGATTCAAACTGTTTCCTTGGTAACAGGGTACATAATGATTAACCATGTACAACTAATATACCTCCAATCTGTAAAGATGACATTCGTATAAAGATCTCCCTGATATGTAATTAGGAATATTTCATTTGGCACTGCATACATTCCTTTTTTCAATTTGCTATATGACCGAGTCACCATCTTGACATTTAACGATAATGTTTGTTTCGCCCCACTGTTCCCAAGACATCCTCAAAAGAAATTCTATTCACTGCTTGGTCAAGTTAGTTGGGCTTATTGCCACTTTGTACCAACATGGAAAATATTTGCCCGCTCCTTAACCAATCAGTAGCTAGTATTTTAATGTAAAGCGAGATAAAAGCTAATAGTTACAGAGGAGAATGCTCTGAGAAGACCCATGGGACTCATTGATGGCCATTCAATACCACAAGTAGGCCTCGTGCCTAAGTTGGAAATATGAAATCAGTAATTTCTATTTACTAGTGAATTCAATAATTTCAATCTCATCAAAAGAATGGCAAAATAATATTCTAAACTATTCACTTGATACACTGAAATCACCCGACACATTCCAACTTTGATACAACAGAGAAATTTACACATTCATATTGCAACTAGCATGAAACTAAGCAGCTTCATAAAAGAAAATGACACCTCACCAAATGCTTCGTCTCTTGTGAATGAACAATGGCTTCTTGACCAATGTAAGACTGTACAGCAGGACTGAAACCATTCACCAACAAATGTAAATGCTACTTAGTTCGTGATATGATATGCAAAAATCTCCAAACTTCAGTCAAGTGTAACAGAATCAGACTTTAAAATGGCGTTCAACATTCACTGAGTCAGATATCATGGTGCATTGGTGAATGGTTTCAGCTTGAATCACATGACCGATGAATGACAGGCTGGACAATGTGCTTTGTGAAAGGTGGGATATGAATTTGTCATGATATACGATAAGTGCCATTTGATTCAGTCAAAACACACATCACTCTCACTTCAAACACACCCTTAGTATGTGCATGTAAGTTGCTTCAATCCAAGACTTGAGAAAAAAAACAACATATTTTCACTTACAGCTTCTGGATCTATAAAACCTTAGGAGTCTGTCAAAGGACATCATGTAAGCGTGACAACAGTCAGTTTATTCCCCCCAGGAAGTAGTGAGCCCCCATTAATGGACGCACTAAATTGCCTTTGGTGGGAATGGCGGCTGTTTCATGCAAGCCAATCTCTCTCAAAGTAATCAGAATATGTCTAAACAGAAAGTATTTAACAGTTCTTAATCAATGTAAATTATTAGAAGTTCTGAAGTCTTTGAAAGGCATTTAGACACGATACACATAAGAAAGAGAATTTATGGATGTCTATTTCTTTATAATGAGGAACACAACGTTTCTGAGTATATCCTTACTCCTTCATCAGGTGAAAGAAAAATTCATTACCTAATGAAGGAGTAAGCATATACTCCGAAATGTGTTCCTCATAATACAGAAATTGACATCTGTAAATTCTCTTCCTTAGAAGTTCTGCTCATAATTTACATTCAATAATATGTAAATACACTTAGATCTCCAGCTACCTTTGTTTAAATTGTAAAATTTGTTTGTTATTAATATCCATTATCCTGTCTCCAGGCATTGAGCGATTCATCCACTCAGATAACAACACCAAGGACCAAAGTTTGAACTACATGCAACATTTCCAAAAAGTATCCATTTAAACAATATTCCCCACTTAAACAATATTAACCACTTAAACAATATCACCCACTTAAACAATATTACATATTGATACTAAACTAAACAGGAAAATCTGCCAGGGTGCTACTCCAGAGGAGTGTTTGGCTAACGCAATGCGACTGAGTGAAAGAACTTATGATGGTTTGAATTTCGTTACTGAACTTACAACATGGAAAAGGCACTCGTAACATCGCATACTGAAGATATGCTCACACAGGCAC